CAATACTGCCAACAGCAATGATGAAGAAACAATTAGTTTTCAGATGAAGGACTATATCCACTCAAAGTGATAAACCTTCCCTTTTGCATAAGGTTTAATTTGTTGTCATTGGAAAAATGACATCTCTTAATACCTACTTGAAATGGAATAAAAATCATATCTCTAGGTTTTTTGTGCAAAACACATTCATTTAAAAAAAGTCAATAAAAAACATCTTAGAAACAGAAAGAAGTTAAACAAAAAGAGCTGAACCCAAAGGAAAGTTACAGTACATTTTGAAATGATTAAAAAGTTTTCAGATCTAAAACTTTTTTGTTTTTTTTCCTGTTGTTATCTTAAACTTTAAACCAACTTTGATGACTCTTTAGAATTATATCAAACAAACAAATAAACAAAAAAAAAATTAAAGCAACCTGATTGGCATCAAATATCTACAAAAGCCTGGTAATTTGAAACCGTTATATACATTAGTTTATAAACTTCTTTTTAAACACCAAAACATACATCCTTTACAAACCAGCCTGATTGCAACAGGTAAAATTTACAAGACAATCTTTTCCAATACAGTGCTTTAAAGAGAACTGCTTTCATTCCTAAACATCTTTGTCATCTCCTGAAAAACGGCAGTATGGGCTCATTGCATTGTTAAATAATAGTGTTTCAGGTATTCCTATGACAAAAGAATGCTACAGTTCTGAGGGCTCCAATCTCTTTCCGTAATACAGTTCAAGTGCACTCTTAACACTGGTAAAGATTACTTATGGCCTTTGTGTAATACGACATATTTGCAATTATTGCTTTTCATTATTACATAAAGAAATGAATTTAAATTCATTTCCTCCCATCCACCCATCCCTTGGATGATGCAGTTAAATTACTAACTGAATGGCCCTTCTCATAATGGAGATGTTAAATGTCAGGTTGTGAAACACAGGTTAAAATCCATGGGAATGGCCAATGGTCTAAATTTCTAAGACTCAAATCACAGTTTGGCATATTGAGAGGAAAAGAGATGCAAACAGGCAAAATGCACAGTTTTACTGCATGGTAAATGACGGTAAACCATCAGGGAATGAACCTGAAGATGTAGCTCTCTTCTTGAAAACCGACGAAATGTCCATTGTTACTCAGTGAATAGCTCCAAACATTACCAACAAAGCACAGATGTACTTTCAGTAGTAGTTTTAAAGAACTGGTTTCCTCCATTATTAAGGGTGCTTTCTTTTCAAATGAAACTTTGCAGAACTGGTCGAGGGCACCTTCAACTCCCTCTCCCATGACTGCAACTATTATGGGCTATAAGAATATACTATAGCATCACTTTAGTTTTTTCAAGCAGGAGCTTGGAGTAGAGCTGTGTTCTTAACCATTTTTCTTGTCCAGCCCACATTTATCTTTAACATGGAATTTATATGAGCCAAGAGCAACAGCTTTTATGTCATATTCTCAAAATTTCCCACCTGCCTGTTTTGCAGAGAAAACAGGCTGCTGCCTCCCCATTAATCAGCATTTCAGTGACATGCATTTTTTCACTGTGCTGCACCCACTCTGAGTTTCTGGAGGTACCAGTACATCAAGGCTATCAGTACTTCAGACTACATCAGAGAATTGAGAGAATGGGAGAAAAAATTCTGAGGACCAAAATTTAGGTTCTTTGTGCAACATGCAGAGGGGGAGATCCTGCTCGAGAGATGGATTTCTGATTTCTGAGGAAAACAGTGGCAGTGAGAAGCTTTTGACTCCTTACAGCCTTTTACTGCAACTATAGATTAAGGAAACCCATGGGATAGTTCAGAATCAAAGATGGCACTGAGCTTAAGGAAAACAGATTGATAGACAGGAAATCACAGTTCTGTAGTGAATCTCTGCATTCCAAAGTCCTTCTTACGTGTATGTGTCTTCATACATTGAGTCCTATAGGAGGGTCCTATAGGAAGACAACTTTATGGTGATCTTCTAGTGGGGTTGTCCATTTCCTTCCATGGGAGGGAAGTGATTCTGCAGCTCCTCAGTGTCACATTTGTGTGTCTGCTGTAAGATACTGGCCCAGGATAGCAACCACATCCAGTACCTATGGTTTTGGGAGAACTTTTTGCCCTTTTTTTTTTTTTTTTAGAATGTTTGTAATACAAAGGCAAAATAATTAACATATTTAAGAAAGGTACATAAGCACAAAGACACTTGATGTGGTATTGGCAGCATAAATCATGTTGTCTGCCTCTTTCTTTTGCCAGAGTTATCAAAAGGGCTGTCAGTGTGCATGACACTCTCAACTTGATCAAAATGCAGAGAACAAGTACCTTTTACTCAGCCTCATATACTCCTAGCAAAGTCACTGATTTCTGATACAAGAGAGTATTTGCATTTTAACAAGTTGCTTTTTTCTTTTGACGTTTCTTTACAAAAAGCAAAGACTTCCTTGATTCTAGGAGTTATAACCCAATGATACTCAAAAGTACTTTATTAAGCCTGTGAAATCATCTGCTACAGATGATTCTGAGAGAAAATACCGTGTAGTGGAGCCATCTACAGGGATGTAGTTTGAAATACAGACACACAGGATAAGCAGAGATGTGAGGGGAGCTCTCGCAGAACCAGGGACTTGGCAATGACAGCAGCAGCAATATAAAAATCATCATATGGTAGAAAAAGAAATATATATTGGATGGACTAATATGAACAATAATTCTGACATTAGGTTATGAATGTGGTGTTATCTTCCAGATTAGAAAACTGTGACTTGTACATGTGGAGCAGTAATTAAAAAGAAAATAAAATGGTTTGGTTTAACAGAGTTGTTAATATGAAAATCTGACTCCCTAAGAGGTATTTCACCTTTAGATCTGCATTTGGGTCTTATTTTCAAAAAGAGCTTGAACAAAACCAGAAAGGCCATGGAAGTACCATATTCACAGAAGGGAATCTGTTTAAAGATGGATTTGGAGAGGAGGAGATACTGAGGTATAGAAATCATGAGTAGGACAGAGAAGGCTGAATGGGTGATCATTGGCACCTTCCCAACAGCACTTTAATAAGTAGGCGTTCAGTGAAATGAAATGGCAACAACATCAAACAGAAAAAGTACTATACATTGTATTTATGCATATTTTACCAGTAAAACTCACTACCAACAATATATTACTGAGGCAACAAGCTTGGTAAGAAACATTGATTTTTGTTCTGTATGGCAATTGCTAGGCTCCCATGGTGTCCTCCCTCGTGACACTTTTGATATGTCCAAGTAAAAGCTTGATATAGGTGTCTCAGGCTTATGCAAGAATTTTCACTAAGAAGACAGATGACAAGTACACCTAATAACTATCTGGGGGCTCAAACAGATTTAATTGCATAATGGATAAAAATGTCTCAAACCAAAACTGAGTAGGATCATACCTCATGTAAACTGCAGCCCAATGCTAAGAGAGCATCACATTTCTCAGAAAGTCATACAAGCTTTAAAAGTGCAGCTAAATTTGCAGCTTTGTTTCGCAAACTCTGATGTTCCTACTCTTGAAGAGACATCAGTCTAATTGCATTTCCTTTCCTGTAACACAGACTTCATGAACAATTAAGAGTTATTTTCCATCCATGCCTCTAGGTTTGCCAAACCATTTTATGGCTTTTTGGCAAATCCCTCAGTCCTTTGCAATCACAATACAAATTTCCATATTTTTTTCTTCTTAAAATCACAGGAATAGTAGCAGGGAAAAAGGGGTTGAAACGCACCATGAGCACATTCAGAATATATCACCATCACAGAAGCATGTTTACTTTGAGAAGACCAAGTGACATTCATAAATTCAATGGACGGGACCTATTTGCAGACAAGTACTTGATAATACTTGTATGTGCAGTACATTCTTTCTAGAAGTTCACTCAATTTATTCATGTATCTGTATAATGAACTGTTTTCTACTGAAGAATTGCTGCATCATCCCAAAGAAAATATCTACTCCAGTCTTCAACAGTTACATGAGCTATTGGAGAGAAGCAGCAACACACTGTACCTACTCCAAGAACTTTAGAAATCCTGTTTTATTAAAAGTGTTACAAGCTGCAATTATTTAAATGAAATTCTATGAATAATTTCTTTGTATTTGGGACAATTTCTGAATAAACACTTCCTGTGTGTCAAGAAATGGCCCACAATTTAATCTTGGGTGAAGCTCAAGTCAGTCAAGAACGCGTCCCGGAATACAGCTACTGAAACTACCCAGTTAAGATGATCGACCAAGGGATAGGACACGGAAAGCAGCACAGGAAACCTGTTACTGAATCTATTTGTGTACCACAGTGATTTAGGTATTCAATAACTTTTCAGAATGACAGAATTATGCCATGGAAGGAATGGGAAAACCCAGCAGTAATGCAGACTTGTAGACACACATTCACTGGTAACATATACAGATGCTATAAATTGCAGGGGTAAAAACATTTTTTCAGAGGACTGAGCAACAGGTATGCATATTCTGCTTTACTACACTGAGTGAAAATCCCATACTTCCATATTGAACTTTGCTGCTCAGTCTAAATCAGTGTGAATGGCCATTTACTCCAATCAGGCTGAGGGAAGCATAAAAGCATACAGAGGACATGGTTTTCTTCATCCCACAACAATATTCTGAAGCCTGCAAACAACCTTTGGAAGTTGTCAAATCCTACAAAATCATGAATCCAGTGGAAAATCTAGGGCCAGCCCTTTGGCCACAGTCCATCCATGCAGTTCCACTGCCTGAGTCAGTCTACAGTATCTGAGAGCTCATCCTGTAAACTCTAGGGATGGACATTTGCCAAATGAAGTTCAGCTAACAATCTGAGGTTATGCAACTTAATTGCAACTAATTTTACTGCAGTAACTGTAGCATGATGACTGCTGTTAAATAGGTGGCTGCCTAAGCAAGAAATTTAAAAAAATAATTAGCTGTGTGTAGTTAGTTAGGTTTCCCTGTGTTTTCAGATGCACCTTCACATTGCATACAGAAGGGAGGCTGTGCAGCTGGGGAAAAACCAGGCCACTCCTGAGCCAAACTCTGATATTTCTAGAAGTTCTCACAGGTGAAGCTATGCACACACACCTGATGCCAGGTTTTAAAAAAATGGCAACCAAAGTAGGCCAATTTGGAGTAAATATAAACTGTACATATGTTGCTCTATATGCACATAAAGTAGAATGAAATGCTACGTAACAAACAAAAGTATAGGCAAATATTTATGGACAAGTAACTGGCTGCTTGTCTTTGACAAGCCAATTTGTAAATGTTGCTTTTTTTCAGCCATCTGAAATGTACGCAGCAGCCTCAGCAATCAATTGCTTTCACTCTTTGCTGACATGAAGTTTCATGCAGCAGTGCATCTTGGAATTATCCATACCAGTTCCTTAATACTGTGGGGAGATTATAACACTGTAACACTTTTAATAACACAATGAAAATAAAAAATCAAACTTTAGGAGAGAGAAAGGAATTATTTAGCAATTATTGTTTCCCCCTGCCTCAAAAGCTGAGTTTTACTCTTGGTAATAAATACAGGTACACACTCTCCAGATTGTCTGTAACAATTTTGTGATGTATAATACTTAACACAATTGGTCTCTTCATGTCTGCACATACAGTATCATTTCTGAACAAGTTAATAATGGGTTTTACCATATTTTTGCCTTGCCTAATATATATAGACACACCTTCAGCAAATTTTCTTCTCAATATTTATACTATTAATTGGACCAAATGACAAAATTAAAAAAAGAAGAGGAGGAAGAAGAAGAAAGGAGCTTCCTTTACACTTGTGTCTGATGCTGGGTCTCCACAAATGGAATGTGAACGTTTTCTAAGTTGAGTTCCTCCACGCTTTCAAAGTCACTCATGGCTACTTCGGAGTCATCAAAGCCGCAGCTGGCCGAGACATCAGAGGAGGAGGCATCTAGAGAGTTGTGCAAGGATAAAGGCATCTTACCTGCACTAATGTTTTCTGTGTTCTGGCTTGGGCAAACAGCAAAAGTACTAAATTCGTTCCCAGCTTGAGACCCCGTGGTGTCTGTCTCATTGGGGAACTGGTGAGGAGGGAGGTATTGGCTAGGGTGGAAGTGCGGCCGTCTCCTGCAATCGGGGCTGAGAGTACTTGCCATTGAGACTGGCTGCGAGGGTGGGAGGGTTTCATATTGGTCCGGATAATCCTCTGGAAGAGGGGGTGGTAACTGGTCCTGGCTTAAAAACTCCTCTTCGTGAGGGGGAGGGTAGTCGCTGTCAATGTCGTAGCCACCAAGGTAGTAATCTGTTTCCAGTTCTCTGGTACTGCCGTGATGAGCCGAGCCTCCATCTGTTGTCTCAAAATTGGGCACTTCCTCAATGTCGGACAAGCGAGCACTTGGCATCCAGTCAGAGGTATCCCAGTGATACGCTGCAGCAGGAAAGAGAATCATAGCTCTGTTAGGATGAGACCACAAATGAGAACAGTGTCCTGCATGCATGGAGTCCTCACAGCACATTCAAATCAGCATGCTCCACAGGCCACTGACACAGGTCACTCATGCTCTGACCTGAAGAGGGGGGGTAGAGGAGGAGAATAAATTGCATTATGATGCTAATGCAAACAAGCAAGGAAACAAAGTATCGTCACTCTCAGGCATTTTGCTCTTTAGGATGCCTCTGTGTCGTATTAGGAACTATAAGTCCGATAAATCAAAATGACAAATATGTCTGAATCACTGCTTTTCACAGTTAATTGAAAAGATCCATAAATCAGCATGCTTATGGCATCACATCTCGTCTCCCCTTCCACTTCCAATGACTTCAAGAAAGAAAGTGTGCAAGCAAATAATCTGATTGACTGAAAACTGAATTTTGAAAAAAGTGGCTGACCATTCTCATGCAGCTTATGAACCCAACAGAATTCAAACAAAAGAGTACACGTGAAGCAGTTCAAGAAGAAAACCAAAGAGATTGTCAGTGCTCTGCCCACCCCAGCCCAGTCTGGCAGGCAGAAGGTGTCCCAGAAAAATCACCTCTGTTGTAGTTCTGTCCTTGATCCATAACAGACACTGTCAGATACAAAGTAAAAAGTAAAAACTGGTAACTCAGAGCTTGTTACCAGCATTGTATTACATGTGAAAATACAAAACTTTGCATGCATATTTTTAAAGTACGGCTGCTTTGGCGTTATTTTAATAGAATTTTTAATTATTCTTTATTTTAACATACAAGCTAAACTTGCCCGTCAAATGCAGATATACATAAAAATGTTTATGTCGTGTATTATATTCCTTTTCTATCATATCTTAATTGTTTACCCTCACTGAAGAGATATGGAATTACATTAGAGCTGGAATTCTTAATACAAAAAAGGGCTATCCACCATCTCTACGGTTTATAATTGCAAGTACATTTTTTTCTCACTTGTTCACTTTGAAACAGAAAAATAAGAATCTACCATTCTCAGGGCCGGTTCAAACAAATCTGGGCCCACCTGGGCTCAGATACCATGGTGATGGGCACGGTATAAGAACCTGAATAGAATAGAATACAAAGCCATTTAATGGGGCTGTCAGCTACAATGCTCCACAACCCCATACCCACCTCCCACCTGCACTGCCATGCTAGCTGGTGGGGAGGGAGGCATTCCGGTATGGAGAGGGTGCAGGGGTGGGGAAGAGAGCAAGGAAAGAGGTTTTATGTGAGACAAGAGTGGGGAATAAGCTGCAGCATTTTCTAGATGGATATGCTCTTGTTCAGCCACATGTTATTGGGCTTCATGCAAGAAGTCATTCAGCAAGGTCTCTGGATGGCATTGCTGGAGGAGGTCTGGCAAGATATATAGGCCTTTATGGCATCACCTCTGGGGCTCAGACACAGATGAGGGCAGAGAATACTGTTCTCTAGGCCTCCACCTACCAAGACCTCACTTGTCCTTGCTTACTGCCACATGGCGCATGTGGTGATGGTGATTTCTTCATTAGCTTGTTAGCCAGACAGTAGCTCTCTACCTGCTCTGTGATATCCTGGAGTGAGGAGGGCTGGGACTACTGCAGCTTTAGCAGCAGCGTCTAAACTGGACTTTTGTAAAGTGGATTTTGCTTTATTTGGGTCAGTGTAATGGCATTGCACCCGAGATGCATCAGGGCCCTCTGAGTTGTGGAGTTCAGAATCCAGGAGAACCTCTCTAATTTGCTGACTTGCACAACCCCCCGCAGGTCCCTGGGGCAGGAGCCCCACTCTTTCTCGACTCTGTGGCAGTGATTCTGCCTACCAAGCAGCCAGAGCTCCAGCGTGGCTAATTATTCACTGCTTCTGCCAGCTCCAGAGCAAAGCAGGTAAGAGTCCTAAGTCTCATAATAAGGAACTGAGAAGTGGGGAAAGCATTTTTCAGTGCAGCCTCTTGAAACTGATGCCAAACTGGCTTTTTCGGATCTGTAAAGCATGATGGGGAACCAGTGTGTTTGCTTAAGCCTTCCTTTAGGAAGGAAAGGACGTTTTCAGTGCCTGTGGTTTCTTTTCAAGGTTATTTTCTTATTTTTTGAGTGGGATTTTCTTTTTGTATTAACCTTGGCTATTACATTTATTTGATAATGAGAAGAGTGGCACTCACACTTCAGGAAATCCATAAATGTACTACAGACAAATACTCAAATGCCATCGCTAGCCAGGAGCAAAAGTGTTTTTGAAAATTGCAGCGAACTGGCTCAAGAAAAAAAATCAGTTGTTTCCCAAAAATAATTTACTTAATCGTTTTTAAGTATTATGGAGACTGGATTAGTTGAAGTCTGAAAAATCTGGATCAAATTTGCTATGGACAGATGAAATGTTGAACTTCTGGATAACGTGAGTTAATATTGAGTGGACATTTTCCCATGGATAGGATATATGTTGTAAAAATAAATAAATGTTTATCTCTGAGACACCACATTTCCTCAGTGCTTAATGGAAAAGGAAAATAGTGATATTCCTGCTTTACAGGTAGGGAAGTCAGTTCACCTATAACTTGATGAGCTTGAGCTTACCCAGGAGGTCAGTGGAAGAGGTGCGTGTTGGGTCCTTGATCCCCACAGGCATGCTCTATTCAATGGGCACATTAACCCCAGGGGAAAGTCAGGCTGCTTTGCTACATGGCATCCATGGAGCTATGTCTACACATCTGTTTGACAGGGTTACCTGGGAGAAACCAGCCACCTGCCTACCATCATTTTGCTCCTCTCTGTGTGATCCCATTGGAGCGCATAACCCAGCTCTAGTGCAGCATGGGATACTTTACAGCCTTCCTGTGTCATCTCCTGTTTCCCAGTCTCTGCAGCCAGGATAACCTCTATGATATGGTTCCATTATCAATCTAATCTTTTCTCTGAAGGCAATGGGAGATAACAAGCAAAAACATTGACTTGAACAGAAGATGAAGGCTTGACACCTTTTCTACCACCTCCAATTATCCAGAGACATTTTGTGGTATGTTCCTCTGGCGTTTTCATGTTTGCTGGTGAACATCCTGATCTGCAAAACCCAATCCCTGCCACAGGTTTGCTGGTCAGTGTAGATTAGTGAGGTTCTGCTGGAATTTTTCACAATGAAAACAGGAAGCATTGTTGCATAACAAGAAAGAAAAAAAATTAAATACCTTCATTTTCTATAGTGTCAACTACATTGTTGACAAGCTGTATGACAGTCACTATGGAAGCTTGCAGGGGAGGGAAAGTAGAAAATAAAGGGAGGGGAAGGACAGCTTCAGGTTAGTATTTAAAACACACATCATATGTTACCACAATAAATTCTCTCAAACAGACAGAACTGACATTGAAAAAAAAAAAAAAAGGCTCCCAACCAATGCATGATTTATACAACGGGTTGCAGGACATTTAATTTCAGATAATCCCATACATTTTCAGAGTGGTGATAAATTCCAAACCAGCATTTCCATAGAGGTATATGGCATGATGTGTATCACTCATAAATTCAAGTAGACTGGCCAGCTGATTCAATTAACCAAAGCAGTATCTCGTCTACCTGACACTAATTTCTAATTCATTCTTGCTTAGAGGTCTCTAGAGACGGTGCCATGTGCTCCAAGGATCATTATCTTTTTGACCATCACAGCATCAGAAACAGTGCTAAGCTCATTCTATTTCCTAAGAGGAATGTTTTATTTATTTACTCTTTGTGCTGTGCCATGTAATACCTCTGGGACGTTAAGCAGCACAGGAGGACACATGCAAGTAGCTTTGGTTCAAATTTTGATTTGTGTTTGACAGAACAGTTTCACAAATGCTTTGTGTGTTTTCTGCAGGAGTTTTACCAAAACATACTCTCCCCTTGAAATAATTAATATAGACTGTGCAGTTGTTTAACATGAAGGCCTACAATGTGTCGTCCTCTAGATCGGCACTGTGCACCACCTAACACCCCTGCTTGTGAGGACATGAAATAAACCCACCAGAGGGAAAGCTCTGGTTCAGTGGGCACTGGATCCATGCCTTTTCCTTTGTCTTTACTTATGAAAAAAATGATTGCTTTGGAGCAGGCTAAGAAGGGGACCAGAAATGCTGTGTAAGAGATACTTTTTTGTTTCACATGGCCAACAGATTCTGAGGTCACAAGAAACATATTAACAGTAACAGTGCAAATATATGTTGAATATTTTCACATCTTTGTTAAATTTTGGGCATGAGATCAGGGATATTATCCAATTTCCTCAGTTCTTGTGAAGGCTTGGCAGAAAGAGCCTCGATAAACCAAACCAGTCATGTTTTATGTTTATGTTCAGCATGTTTATGCCATCAACAGCATTGACAATTGTACAAAGGAGACTTGTACTGGCTAATGCATAATAAACATTATAGAAAAATAAGGGACTCCATGCAATTAGCTGCTGCATGGCTGGGAAGACATGGAGGGCAGCTGTAAACTCTATGAGGAGAACAACTGAGAGTGAAAAACAGATCAGAAAGTCTTCATTGCTACTAAGGGTTGGCTCTGGTGGGAGCTGAGCAGAGCATGTTCACAGAAAGGAGGGAAACTGCTTACAGCTCACTGGAGGTCAACACCCAAATACAACATTGTTCAGATTTTTTGCTTTTTGATCACAAAAAATACTGCTAACTACTCTCAGCAAGACTAGGGGAGCTGAGCAACTTAAATGCAGTAGAAATAAGGTGGGAGGGAAAAAAAAAGGTAGGTTAAAAATCACACCCAAAAGGAGTTTTCATGGTAAGACAAGCCCTATTTGACCCAGCAAGAGAAGGTTCCAAGCATTCTGGAGAGGCTGAGTGGAGGCTGCCTGCACCTGATAGAAACTGAAGAGTGCAGGGTTGTCTGCACCTTCAATGGGATGTATCCCAGTGTTTCACCAGTGCAAAACAGGTTTCCCCAGTCAGAAGCAATTACCCATTTTTACAAGACAATGTTGGCACAGCCATTTGTACATCAGCATGACACAAGCCTGTTCTCTCTGCTAGCCATTTGAGAACCTGGGAGCATTGCTCTTGGCTTTGGAGGAGGGGGTTTGGTTTGGTTGTAGTTTCACTGACAACCTTTTAATCTTTGTAGGTATATGAAGCAATAAGAATTAACTTGACAGGAAGAGGAAGGATTTATGGCTCCAGGAGGGATACCTGTTAGTCCTTAAGTACACGTATGTGAACATCTATGTGTTTACGTATGCCTGAATTTGCATTTTAGGCTATTTTACTGCAAACCTTCCCTGCTGCTTCAAGAAAACCACAGCATATGGTCTTGCATTGACCTCTGCAAATGATTCAGATGACTTAAATTTCTTCCCTCATTCTCCCTGAAGATATGGATTTGTTTGGACCTGAACTACAATTGTTACCTCTAAAGGCCTTATTTTAAATGCAGCTTTCACAAAAAATGAGTGAGCATAGGAGGTCCAATCCAGTTTCTGTGGGTACTGTGTCACTGAATTAAATGGAGGGAGGATCAGGAGCTTGAAATGTCTAATTAGAATGTAGGAGATACAAAAAGTAACAATGTACAATAAATGACCACTTGAATAATTATTTTGAAGGTAATTATAATGTAAGCATATATCATTAAAATAATACTTATTCTAAAAAAAAATAAAGGTTTTTTTTGGGTGCAGGGTAGAAAAGCATTGAGAAGCTTAACAAAAATAATCGTGATGCTTCAGACACAGCTGAACCAAAAGGAACTGCAAGTGCACTTCGCTTTCAGTGCTTTTTCCAACATTTCAGAGTACCTAGAGAAGAGCTGCATGACATGACTGAGGAACTAAGTCTCCAGACAGTTCATTAACTGGCAGCTGAGGAAACCAAGTACAATTTCTTTGTGCTAGTCTTTTTCTGTGTACCTGAATGAGACTTCCCTGACATCCACCATCCCTTCCCAGCAGAAACATCTTGTGCCTTTTCTCAGACCCACTACTCAACATATATGGGTCGTAGGAACAAAGATTTGCTCTGACTTTGTGGGGTTTTTTCAGGCTGTATATGGCTCTGCCCATGTCACCCACTGAGATAATGATGTAGGACTTGAGAGCAGGCACTGAGTATGCACTGAACAAGGATTTAATGGTGTTCTATTGTTTGCTGAGCTGTGATTACCAGGCAGAAGCCAAGCCACCAGGGACTGGCTCATCCGCTCATTGTTGCTGCTAAGCACCAGCAGAGTCTTGTTGGGATCATGAATGAGACCTGGTAAATGGCACAGAAATTCCTTTTATGTGACTGATGAAACATGAAAGTCATGCTCTTCCAAGAGGGAAAATGATAAAAATTCTACAGTTTCACTTGCAACCTATTAGTCAACATGTATCTTGTCAATAGGACTATGCTGTACTATATCTCTAATTCACTGTAAAGCTTGGTCCTGATGCAACAGCCCCAACCATCAAGATTTTTATCACATTCCTATAGATTTTTATTACATTCCTATAATTTAGTATGTGGACACAAAGTGAGGGCTTGAACCTGAGACTTTCAGCATCATTAAAGGCTTTCAAGATGTCACATGAATGTTTTCAATAATATTAGAAAGAGAGCTAAATAGCTTTTCCCCAAGCATAATACAGATAAAATCATTTCTTACCATTATCATCACCGGAATCAGACTGGAAGGAGCTGAGGGACTGTACTTCGGAGTTGCTGCCTTTATTACTTCCTGAAAAACAGGTCACTTCTTCAGCGTCATCAACCCCTTTACCTTCATTGACAGCAAAAACAAAGCAAAAAGGTACTCTCTAGGTATGCACATTTATCTATTTATACCACGGACACATTTAAATCCTGCCTTCTATTATTTTTTTCAGAATAAAATGATTTCCTTCAGCCAGAGGAAATGACCTATTCATCAAGAAGGCAGCTGCTGAAGATACCTAGACATTAGAAGTGTTTGAAGCCCAAAGAGTCTTTCAACTGGCTGACAGCACTGTAATCAAGGAAGAAACATCTGTATTCAGTATTGCCTTTTTTTAGATGACATGTAGTCTCAACAGCAAAAAAGGTGATGACTTAAAGAATGTGGTATAAACAGCTTATACAAGAGATTACAGTTACATTTATCTTTACCGTTCATTTCCTAATTTGAGAGCCTCATTAAAGGCTCATTCAATGCTCAATAAAGTTATTGTGTATCTTGTTATTCATATCAGTGGCCCTTGGATCAGATTTTAATTGCTCCATCACTGACATATAATAGATTATCCTTCAATTTACATTGCTTTTCATCAGGGACATTCAGTCTTGACAACTTCACTGTTTAGCAATGTAACTGCAACCTATGGTATAAATTCGCCTGTAATTAAACACATGTGAATAAATGCATTCAACTACATATTATAAAAGAGATAATCAGGAACACAAAAAGTTATCCCCCATAGTAAGCACTGAGAGAGAGATCTGAGCCAATTATAAATGAAGAAGCTCAGGTGCTACAAACATGGAAGTACAGCTCTCCACCTGTAGATATTTCTCCACAGCATGGCACACCTCCATACAGCAAGGGCTGATTTGTTACTGCTGAGAAGCAGGGTATGTAGAGGATGGAGTGAGTGCTGCAGTAATGAAGCTGCACTGCTTCTCACTTCTTGACAGCTGAGGTCTGTCTCCATGGCATGGCCTCATGCTGTGCAGAAATTCATACAGATACCAGAAGTGTCACTGGCAGAAACATCCAGGAGAATACAGAACAGAGCATGTATGAGGGCTGGCATGCTGATGCTTTCAATCAGCATAACTATATTTAAAGATTTAAAAGGTCGACCACAACACAACTCTGAAACACAGCCCAAATAAACGAAAATTAATTCCCTGTTTTTCACTAGAAAACCTTAGCCAACGGGCCGCTTTAGATGAAAATGTGCCGGTCAGGGCACAGGTATAGAATCATAAAATCATTAAGGTTGGAAAAGACCTCTGACATCATCGAGTCCAACCTCTGACTGAACACCACCACGCCAACTAAACCCTAACTTGAAGTGTTATGTGCTGTCGTTTCTTGAACACTTCCAGGAATGGTGACTCCTCCCTGGGCAGCCCGATCCAAGGCTTAACCACCCTTTCAGTGCAAAAATGCTTCCTGATGTCTAACCTGAACCTCTCCCAGCACATCTTGATGTTGTCCTCTTGTCCTGCTGCTAGTTGCCTGGAAGAAGAGGCCAACCTCCATCTTACTACAGTCTCCTTAAAGGCAGTGCCAGATTCTTCTGTCTAGTCCTCAGTTCCTATTGCTTAAAACTACAAGACTATGAAAGTTTCTGGATAATATAGTTTTTATTTGACAGTTTTGGTTAAAGCTTTGTTGCAATAGGGTTGAAGATTATAGAATCATAGAATGGTTTGGGCTGGAAGGGACCTTAAAGATCATCTGGTTCCAATCCCCATGCCAAGGGCAGGGAACCCTCCACTAGACCAACTTGCTTAGAGCCTCATCCAACCTTGCCTTGAACATTTCCAGGGATGGGGCAGCCACAACCTCTCTGGGTAACCTGTTCCAGTGCCTCACCACCCTCACAGTAAAGAATTCCTTCCTAATATCTAATCTAAACTCATCAGCTCAAGGCCATTCTCCCTTGTTCTATCACTAGTGAAATGTTCTATCACTCTTGTGAAATGTCCCTCTCCAGCCTTCTTGTAAGCCCCCCTCTAGGTACTGGAAGATGCATCAGGAAAAACTCCTAATAAGAGAAAACATCTTAAAAAAAAATCCTATATGATGAAGCAAACATCTCCCAGTCCATATGACATGTTCTGACTTGCAAGGATAGATGATGTAGGGCTATAACTGTTTCTGCATTTCCTGCCATGACAGATTATGAGAAGTTTGCTGTATCTCCAGCAACTTGTTCAGGAATGGAGGAAGCACTGTGTTACCAGGTGAGAAACCATCAGAGCACAAATAGGGTAAGCATGGGGATTGGAAATTTTGCAATGACTGATACTGAATGTAGATGGGAATGCAATAGACTGAAAAGGTGGTCCTATGAGCAGTACATGATTTTCTGCTTCACTTCACAGACACTGGAAGTAGAGAATATTAGTTCATTTGTCCTTGGAAGTAGAGAATATTAGTTCATTTATCCCTGTTGCAAAACAGGATTGCTTCTTGCAGAAGGTTTAAAGGTTTTTAACGCCCTTGGGGAGACAAATGGCCTGAACCTAGCAGAACTTATATTTGAGAATTATGCCCCAAATTATTTTTTTCCAATGGAAAGATGATTGCATTGTGTCACTTGAAATACTAATGCTCAGAGCACTTACTCACATGTGCTTTCTGAACAAGTGAAATAAATGCATTTAGTCATGCTTAATGCATAGAAGTAGAGCTCTTGTATGCCTAGTTTAATTATAACCTTTCATAATTTTGAATCACTTCTTGGAGAAATGTAACAACTCACATGTAACAACAACATGCAGAGGTTGGGGCATTAAGCGTATCTGTGCCACTGTACCTGCCTCACCTTGAAGTTAAGCCTTACCTATGGTACGGAAGAATGAGACCAGCACACAGCGGTACTTACTTTCTGTCCCAGCTTCCCATGTGCTCTTCCTGATGGAGTCACAGTCGGAGCGACAGGGAGACACAGCAGGCAAGTTTGGAGCTACGCTGCACACCACCACCCCCCTCCTGGCTGTCAGTATTCGAGGGGACTCAGGATGAAATGTTGTCATCTCCTGGTGCTCTACGCCAAGCCCATCCACTATCTTGTCCAGGTTATTCCGTGAGTCACTCTGGAAGCATGGGGTATAGGCCATTGGCCTCACTGGAACCTGTGGAGGCCCAACCTCTTGGTAGATATTTCTGCTGTCTCCACTGTTCCTGATGTTTTTGAACTGGATGCCATTGCTCTTGTTGAGCAGGGCTGCAGTAGCCGGATCCTGTACGAGTGTGATGTTGTTGCGGGAATAGTTCTTCCTGAAAACTTTCTTGCGAAAAATGATAAAAAGGACGATCAACACAAATATGACAAACAGGACCACGGCTATTCCTATCAGCTCCTCCTTGCCAACGTATGAATGCCCAGCTTGTATATTGGGAACCACCACAGGGCGAAGACCACAGTATTGACCCACATAGCCAGGGGTGCAGTTACACAGAAATGAACCAAATATGTTGACACAGGAGCCACCATTTTCACATTCTTCTCTTTCACATTCATTGATGTCTTCTTCACACCTTAAAAGAAGGAAAGGAGAGTCTGGAGTTTGGAGAACACCTAGGAAACAGTCCAGCTTGTGCTTGATAACTTACCTTGTCAAAGAGGTGCCATTAGTTAACATTAACACCTCGCTGGTGCTCAGCAAATAATCTTACTATTATCATATTATTTAATGGCATTGAATTTTTTCTACGTCTATTCTGTGTCTTTTTAAGACAATAAAATGGAAAGATCAAGAAGAAAATAAAAGAGTTTAAAGCATCTGATAGGATGCACTTGACCCTAATGATTGTAACAGAGAATCTGCTTTTTTTTATATCGTTTTTGGACTGTCCCATAGGATTCAATACAAAATATTAGAGGAGGATTCAAGGAGAAGACAGTTGAGACAAAATATAGTAAAAACATCAGAGTACTTATTTAAGAGAAGAGGAGGATATACTGGTTGTGTAAAATTATTTTGGGCTTGAGATAAAATGAGCAAATATTAGAAAGGCGGGGGAAAAAAGGACAGGAACCCTACTGAGAGAGGAGAACTGGAAAGAACAAGAGGTGGTAAAATGCAGAGCAAAAAGTACAAACAGTAGACAAATCAGACAAGAAAAAAGAATGTTGATGGGCAGGTCAGGGGATTTGCTGTATCTGCACCAAGTATAAAGTCAAGACAGGAATTTTAAAAAATGAATGCAATAAATTATCCTTTTATGTTAGGGTTAAGGTGACTAAATAACGGATCCACTTTCAAAACAAAGATTACCTAGCAGCTTCCACAGGTTTTACAATTGCTCAAAGAAGGATTGCTCAAAAAGCCACCACACTTAGACAGGTACATCTCAGTGAAAAGTTTCTCAAAATAACATCCTGAATCAACAATTTTGGAGGCTAAGTTCAGAAAAACCTTTATGAGTATTCAAGTATCATGGATTTTCCAACTGTAATTAGCTTAGACTTGAAATAAGTGCTAAGTTTGGGTTTATTTTTTGCTAGGTGAATCATAGCTTTTGGGTACAAAATGCCTGATCAAAAAGCAAGCCATCATTGAGCTGAAAAGCTGTTGCCCACCTGGGGAGGGACACTTACGTTACTCCTGTCAGGCCATTTTTGCAGTTGCAGATGAAAGCGTTGCCAATGGGATCGCATGAGCCTCCGTTCCGGCAGGGATTTGGGAAGCAGGCTGTGATCTCTGACTCACAATTCCTTCCTGTAAACTGAGAGAGGCAATTGCAGTGGTATCCTGGGAGGTGAGGGACAAAGAGAGATAAATTATAATCCTACCACTGAATCTGTCTAGAAGTAAGAGGACCCATATGATTACTTTACACCAAAAATATATTGTACTGTGGAGGTAAGGGGATGTTTACACACATTCTGGTCTGTCTGTGTGGTGCACAATAATGCTTGTAAAGAGTTTGTTTATCTGGGATGTCTGGACAACTGGAGCTCATGTCCACAACCAGGAACCAGAGGAATTGCTGCAGCCCAGACCATCCTAATTGTAATGATTCAGACAAGGATAAATATCATCCATGTATAACTTCAGTAACAAGAAACATTCTCAATCCAGGATGCATTTGCCAATCTTTTGGAAAATACAGACCACATTTGCTGATAGTGGCAGTCCACGCTCCTCTTGGGTCTTCACTGATGAACAAATACATCAGTTGAGAGCTTTTCCACATCCACCCTTTACAAGGATGACACAGTAGGGATGTGAGAATAATAAAACACCATTTTCATAAAGTGCATCCTCCAGGAAGTAACTATAAACCTTAAAATACCAGCTGATCTGGGCAATGCCAGCCCTAATCAGAGCTAACTATGTGGAGTGTGCGCTATCAAAAGTCTGATTAATCACTGGCTGCAAAACATCAGACATAACACCACTCGCGCGGAGGGGGACCCTGTTGGGGATCTAAGTCCTATTTTTATGTTTTCTGCCAACACAGGAGGAACATCAAAGTAAAAAAACATTTTTAAATGCATCAGTTCACCTTGCCAAGTATCAAATGACAAATCTCTTTTTTTTTTTTTCTCTCCTTGTGATTTCATATGCCCCTATGCCAATAATAAAAGCTTTCTTTAAGGTCACAAAGAAATCCAGTGAGGCAGTGCATCTCTTTATGTTGTGAACTGGATATAGAAATCTGAGTGCTTTTTCACCTGAAAAGATCAAGGAGCATGTAGGCTGTGAAAGCCATGAGATGGTTGAGACAGTCCCTGGAAAGGAAAGGCTCGTAGGTTAGAGTTGTTGAACTAGCTAAATTTTCTTGGACATCTGTAAAAAAACTTTGGCTGATCTTTTAAAAGACTGCTTACACAATCCAAATGTCCTAAACAGATGTGTAGGCAAGGTTCAAGCTCCATTTATGAGGTTCACATACTTACTGAATATAGCATATTAAGCAACTGGAACAAGGAAACTTCCTGCAACTAATACTGCTGGAGTTAGAGCTAAAATGGTTGAGTGCAACTCAATTCAGTGTCAAAATTATTGGAGATCAAACTGATGTAGATTAAATGTCATCCCTCAGTGGTGACCCTTTTAAACATATTTTTAAAAACTTTCTATATCTATACATCTGGCAAAAAATAAAATACTTATTTTAAAAGTTACTCTTTCAGTAAACATGGCAGGAATTTCCAGCACAGTTACAAGGAAAAGAATTTCATGGAAGCAATATATGAAAGCCCAGCGGAGGCATAAGGAAAAAGCAATTTTGCATTAAGACTCCCACATCTTTTATGTCCTATCCGGTTCAGGTCGCCTTGTTCAGTTACTCTATTGGAATTCTGTCCTGAGGACAGGCTTTGAGAATAAACTTGGAACCAGACTTGCTGCCATACTCAGTCAAGAGTCCAACCCTATTTAATTGAAGATAAATGAAATAGATACTCAAATATCACACTGTTTCATTGTCCTGCTACAAGAAGGGAGACAGAAGCACTGCTGTTTTCAGGGTTGCAGAGTTAAAAAAGATTATTCAACTTTCAGGCTTCTTAAAAAGTACGTTTGGTCAGCATCAGCAAAATAGGATTATTTCTTTTTGTATCTTAGATTTCTTTTTGCGCCACTCAGATAATGTGAACAGCCTTCTGTACCTGGTGAGAAGATCTGTGTCTGAAAAATTACAAACCTGTGACTGTAGGTAGAATACACAGTATAAATAAATAAGGCTGTTTCAGTGCTTCATTTTATGACTGAACAGTGACATCTATAGTTCGAAAATTTACAGTAATGTTTTATATGGATTTTTATCGTCTCAACGAGTTTAAGTGAAATGTTCAATTCAAATATAAAACATTTTATTCATAATCAATTCTGTTGCCTTATTTAATAGAAGAATATATGTTATTCTATTTGTTATCTGATATTTTTAACTTCCATAACTTTAAGGTGATGCTAAAAGCCAACTTTCTATTGGTTTTTAAGCACATTCCTAGGTGCCAATCATTTGCAAGACAAAGCCTTTGAACCACTTTCTTTTTACATCCTGTGTTTGTTTCAGCTGACTAAACTTTAGGTTCTCAGTCTATAACACATTCTGTTTACATTTATTCATTTTAGAAAACTTGAGAAGTATTGATTTAATTTAAAAAAAATACTTTTACCACCAAGTATAAAAGGAACATTGATTTATGCATTTTATAGTAAGAGGAGATGGAACTGAATGCTCCAGATGAGTCAGAGCCCTTTTTGGCAATGTATGAACAGGACCAAAAGTGTGCTTCTGAAAGCCTACCTTTTTCACTGAATTTGATTTAATGATGGTGGAACACAGATATTAGACGACTGAAATTTTCACTATAGATTCTAAGCTTAAGGAACAAAGGTAGAAATAAAAAAGGTACTAAAACAAGACAGTATTAAATTACCATATTTATCACTGACATTTCCTGTCATTGGATTCACTGCCATACACCTGCCAAGCCTAAGCCACTGGCAAAAGACACAGAACTTTTCTGTGACACACGTGCCCAGGGCTGCAGTGCATTCACCCGGGAGGCCTCCAACACAGCAAAGCATATGTCAAAATTCATGGAGAAGGGAAGAGCTGATATGATGGCTCAGTACACACTATGCAGCAGCTCAGCCAGCAGACTTGCCAGACCTTTAATCCTTCTCCAAACCTCTCAGCAGAGGCTGTAATTTTGCCCGCTACTGCACGTTTTCACCACATGGTTGTGGACAAAGTTCAATTGTAAAGAAAACCCTTTTGGTCAGGAGTGCATCTTGAGTCTAACAAAAAATTTTTATTATACTTTTGATTTAATATCCTGGTAATGTATCATGCATTTCATCCCTCCCGTTTAGCACAAGAATAATGAACAAATTTCTCAGACCCACGGATAATAGAGTTGAAGAAAAGGCTCAGTGCCCTGTCCTCTCAGCAGGGGATGAAAAAACTCTTTTAAGCAATGCAGGGCTTGATCCTGTTCACAATGAAGGCACTGAAGTCTTGGAAATTCAACATTTAAGATCATACAGTCCATCTGAATTTCCTCCAGGAGATATGAATATTTCATTTTGCACACTGATGCTGAAAAATGTTGATCTGTATTCTCCAAGACAGCAAATTTTGCAATGTCACCCCACTGTATTTTTTCAGAGGGAACCACTGGAAAAAGTTAGAAAGCTCTGGAAAACACCTCTGCAAGGCTGCTAGGGTGGGGCCACAACACCCTCAGCATGTGCCACAGTAGCCTATACAAACAGCTGACCTAAGAGCAACAACAAGCTGTAAGCAACAATACAGTCTTTTTAGGCTATATCTACACTAACAAGCCCTACAGAGCAACAACAGTAGGTCTGTGGAGCAAAACAGTTGGTGCTGAGGACCCCGCACCCTCATTGCATGTGTCTCAGGGCTTTGGGATCGGTTGGCTGCACGCCTAGTCTTCCAACTCAGCCTGGTCCTGGCCTCAGACACCTCACCTCTCCACAGTGGGAACTGAAGCACGGACAGAGGAGATAGTCAGAAGATTCTCATTCATGATCTAAAACATTATGTAGACATAGCCGTTTCCTGCTTAATCGTAGTCTTGGGCTTACTGCTTGTTTTATAAGGCTTCTCTCGTACTCCTCTGAGTCTCCTCTATGTAGCTAAATCTCACCTTCTCACTGTGACTCAAACAGCTTCCCTTACTGCTCTCTTGGCATGTCCAAAACCAGAGAAAAAGGTCTTTTTCATCCCAGACCTTACCAAAGAGCAACATGTGGTAAGAGAGGACACTACACAGGCTTCCTGCCTGTGTTTATTTGGCATTTAAGAAGCAAAGACAGTGGCAAAAGGCAGGCACGGTGCCATCAGCAGATGGGGTGCCATTATGTAGCAAACATCTCTGTTGGTAGCATTCCCACCCTGAGCATCTGAATGTCTGTCTATCCTAAGGTTTACTCGGCTTTATTAAAGAGGATGCTCCGAACTGCTGCCAATTCTTTTTTTGAACATGTGTATGCTCCTGTTTCTATCTATCCCATGCACGAGAAGCTGGCTTTTATCTGTTACGTGCTTTGGCTTTTCTATTTGATCTCCGCGTGTAGTTTCTTTCCCTGTTGTGCAGCTAGACCTGACAAACTCAATGTCCAGAAACAGCCCTGCCTTTGGCATTGCTCACATAGTGCTACATGGCAAGTTAACTGATTAGACAACTGAAGGTGAAGAGGACCTCTCCCAGAATTTTTGTTCTGGTATGTTTATAGTCAAACCAGGCCACCTTCAAGAAGCGTGTGTTCTTCAGCCATACATATTCCTGTCACTTCAGATTCAACTTATCTGTCTTTAAACAGATGATTGCCTCTTGCCACTTGTTGGTATGAAAACGAACCTCAGTATTTGCTGAACCAGAGTTTTCTATGAAAGGATTGGCATGCATGTGCGTTTAAACTGGGAATTTAAATTCAGATACCTAAAAGCTATAAAAAAGATTAACGCCCCCCAATATTTCTAAAAAGCTTTTAAAAATAATTCATGTGCATTTGATATACTCGCATTACAATGTGCTGGGTTGTCTGTGCATGTGAAAAAGCAAGACTAAGAACATTAGTAAGACCAGGTCAGTTCATGACCCAGTTTTCCCTGATTTCATTCTTATGAAGTACCCAATCCTCAAAAACAGCTGTAAGTCAATGTTGCCAACATAATTTAAAACATGTATTAAAACCACCACCCAAGTGCCATGTTCCATTTCCCCCTCTTTGGATTTTAACTCCATTCATGAAAAAATAATAATAACAAAAAAGAAAAAAGGACAAATGAAGAGGGAAAAGCAATAACTTTCTGTCCTCACACTCTGCCCACAGTCCCTGACTCAGTAGATATTTCCACTCAAATGCTTCATGTTCAAATAAAATTGCCCACTCATATTAGCCATTTACTTTAATCAAAGCCAGATGTATATAGGACTGATCAAATTAAAAGGAAGTAACTGTACTTATAATTGCAGGTTTTACAAGCAAGAGGTTACTCTCTGTGGTTGAAAATCTTGGTGCAGTGTTTGCATTTGATCACAGTAAAAATTTCTATTGCTGAGATTGCTCATGGTTTTACTCATGCAGATAAACATACATTTACTATTGGGAGCCCTGGTAGCGCCACACTGTTATTAAGGTTGTGTGACATTTCTCATTTTAAGACCTCATATTCAGCAGCTTATAGCTTAACCACACTTTAAACACTTGGTTGAATTTTTTGGGGAAATTTCAGTTCAAAGAGTCAAGTTGTTTCATAAAGTTATGCTGTTTGTCAGGTTTCAAAATGCTAACTTTCTTTAAAAATTGCTTTACTGACCCATACTTCTAGATAGGGTCCGAAAAGTCTGGAAGAATGTGGTCTATATTTCAGGGCTGTGGTTTGCACTGCCTCCCAAGAAAACTGCCCTAAAACTGTGTAGGTCTCTTTCTACTACTAGTCTCCTGAGCTGTCAAGACCTAGTGACTGCTCATCCCCATTTGCAAGCCCTGTTTAAGCATGCATGGGATCTCCCTGTGGGGTCTCGGGACACACAGTACCCTCCCTTTAACCACTGACATCACTGGGCATACATTGCTGCCACAGGACATGATTCAGACATTCAGACCTGTGGGAACACAGGACTGCAAGCAGCGGTTCAGGCCGTGGTCACTTTCTGCTGGCTCAGAAGCCAGACTTTGAAAGCAGAGAGGCTTTTCTGTGCTCTGGGAGTACTCATCTGAGCTGTCTGTGCTTTCTCCTGCAGGCTAAGATCCCCACTGTGTCCTGTTCCATGTTGTAGTGGTTTGGACTTTGTTTTTCCCCCAGAGGCTAGAAAAGTGGTAGACCCCAAGGGGTGGAAACCCCTGGAAGTTTTGGAGTTCCTTCCAATGGGCGCTCCTGCAAAAAATGTAAACATATCACAAGCTCACCGGAAGAGAAGAGTTGTAGTTTGGTTGAGGAGAGGTCAGACAGAAAGAGTCAGCATGGGTCAACTTAGCCCTGTGCCAGGTCTCCTTTGGGTCAATATCTCTGCGATCAGCCCTGAGCTGCACAGCACTGCCCTGCACTAGGCACTTCGAAGCTGCTGGGAATTTATCCATCTAAACCACATGGACACACTCCTAGTGCATACAAAGCATCACTTTAGCTTTGTACAAATACATCCATAATATTACCCTATTCCTATAACTGCAGGATGAAACGAAAGGTAATCAGAGGCAGCTTTTTATTAATGGTGAACAGGGCAGTAGGTATTTCTATAAAAAGGAAGATCTCACAACAGGAATACTATTATGGAGGTTTGTGTTGTAGATGTCCATTTTATGCAAATGATATGTAAATCAGACACAGCCCCTTTGACTTCTGGTATGTAGCCAGCAACTCTTTCACGCTATAATGTTGGGTAACCTTTGCTTGACTGTTTTTTTCTAAAGTTAGCTATAAATCTCAGCTTTCTTTTTCTCTCTCCTAATTTTCTTGTAAAGCACAGTAGGGTATTTATAAGAAAAAGTATGTTAACAGTTTCTGAAACCTGCTTTGTAAAAATTAAAATTAGAGAAATTATTTATTAAAACTAATCTTATCATTATACCAAACACTCTCTGTTTATGAAAAGGAACACTATTCTCCAAAAACTTTAATAGGAGGGTAATATCATAGAAAATATTATTCAAGAGATCCTGATGCTACTGAATGCCCTGAGATTGGGAAAAAAATCTTCACATGATGTAGTTTTGAATTATTCCCCTCACCAAAAAAGCAAAAGCTGCCATTTTTGTTCTCAAGAAAATTCTTAAAAAATGAAGGGGTTTTTTTTTCTATTTTAAATGGAAGTTAGCTGCTAACATCTATGTCAGCAAATGCAATGGCTGATGGTTCTTAAATGCACATCACAGTTTGTGGCTCTGCAACTAGTATTTGCAATGCTGTTGGACTCTCCGCTTTTAGAATTTAATTAAGTGGCCTTTTTATATATGGAGGACACTAACAGAATTGCTTTGCCTAGTGGAAGCAAAAATGCCCATGCCTTCTCCTTATGGGCTGGGCTGTAGAACCACTGATATACAGTCAGGGCCCATTGCACTGGAATTATGGCTTTATAACAATCCTCTATTTACATACACTGCTGAGGTAGTAAAAACAGCAAACAGATTTTTTTAAGGCAGGCAGCCAAAACATCCCTGCAGGGCACATGCCCCTCGCAGAGGCAGGAACGCAGGCAAGTTAAATCAGTTCTGTGACTGCTTTCCAGCAGTGAATTTTGTTGACATGAAAATGGCGTATGCCACTCCAGTAATAAGATGGGTCCAATCTTCAGTTTTCCTTGTTTCTCCCCCACCCTATATCTCCCCTCAGTTTGAACTAGCATGCACATGGCACTGGGAAAAAAAGAATTGCTGTAAAGTGTTCTGTTAGCAAGGTTTCAATTTACTCATCACGAGATCGCTGAGCAATACTGTATATAGACTCAAATAAAATCAATTCAAGGAGCTGTTCTCATGCTTCCTAGGACGTGAGGCAAATGGTTAACCTCATCTATTAAGTATGGAGTCTGAATCAAAGCCATGTTACGTTCATGTACATCCTACAGCCATATTTCCTACGGATTTAGGTAATCATGCTTAGCAATCAGAGAAATTTTCTCTTGCCCTTGTTGTGCAGCCCTCATTTTCTCTCCTTCCCTCGGCAAATAAAGACCCTTAAAGACACACACCAGCAGCAACGTTTCTCCTCATGCTGCACAACACATCCTGGGTTACCCGGGCTGTGCTTCATTCCTCCCAACTGTCCTCCCATCTCTTTCCATCAACAGCAAAGCTGATAGCATCCCTGATGCATCATTTGCCATGGCATGGGAGAAGAGGTGGTTGAATCAAAGCCAAGGATCCATAGGGGATGCTAGCTGAGACAGCCTAGCATGGACAAAACCACACTGTCAGGATTTACTTTATAAGGGTGGGGCTAGCCAACTGAGGAACTTGTGACAATTTTGCTCACATCTCACCACATGTCAGTCTTGAGCTACCTCAAGTTTGGGCCTAAAGTTTAGACAAATCCATGCGGTGGAGGGGAGTCAGAAGGGAAATATGAGAACAAGGTTTAAACTAATGAAAACCAGAAATAATAACTATGGGTGCAAGGGAACTGCATGGACACATTAAAGCAGAAAGCCCTGAGACAGTGGTTAAATGCTCCATAAAACAAGAGTTTAGCAGGAACTTCCCTAGGGAACCATGACCGAAATCACTGACAGTAAGTTGGATGGAAAGCTCTGAACTCGCAGAAAACCTCTCTCTTGGGCAACCTCCTTTTCAGAGGAAGTTTTAGTCTGCCAGAAAAGGTGTGCAGTGCTGCATGCAAATACAATATGCGGAACTGAAAGGGAAACCCATATACTGCAGAGACAACAGCCTTAGAGGGAATGTCCTACATGTATGCCATTTGCTTTTCTCCTGCTAAGATGCTGGCTGTTCCGGTAACTTGTGCACTGCAGTAAGTCACTGGCATCAAATCACACAATCCACCACATAAGCACTGGATAGGAAACTCCAACATCAAAATAGTATAAACTTTGGATAGTATTACTTAGACCTTAAAGCACTCAGGTCTCTGAGGAAGCTGTAAAATACAGTTCGGGGGGGGTTTATAATGGGACCAACTTGCTATTTCCATGCACACATGTAATCAAATTACTCACAAAAGGACAAAGGTGTTTGAGGACAGCTCAGTAATTATTTGTGACAGCTTCAGAAACAGAGTAAGGCAAAAGTGCTGTTGTATCTATGATGGATGTTTGAAATCACCATCTTTGTGTACAGCCTTCGATGCTGTAAGGATGCTGTAAATGGATCCTGAAAAACCCAGCTGAGCATTACAGTAATTGTAATTCTATTGGTTTCTATAGAAATAGGATTATCCTAACAGCTGATAAATCAATTTCCTCCTGGAACACTTATGCAGTAAGAAGGGGCACCGCTTCACCATTATTTATAGAGCAAACAGCTTTTACCCAATTTGCAATACCTAACAGAGTTTTATAGAGTTCGTGAGATTTTTCAAGCATGTTGCTGCATATAACAATCTTTGGCAATACATTACAGAGGAAAATGGTGAGGGGGAAACCCATAAAGTAATGAAAGCATTTACCACCAGATGGCACAGCAGTACAGGTGCCTCCGTTCTGGCAGGGATGTCTCTCACAGGCGTCGGGATAAAGGACGCAGCCAAGCTTCAATTCTGTCAGGCCAACCACTTCTGCGAAGCTGCTGCGCTTGTTCTGGAGTGGCAGTTCATTGTTATTTAGGACAACTGAATCCAGGCAGCCCTGAAAGCCGCTCAAGACCTGCGTGGTCCTCTTGTCAGTCAGGCTGCGGACGTTATCCACTTGGACCTGGGCACCGAAGTAGACGGAGCTATCTGTGCTGAGAGTCTGAAAATAGAGGGGGGCTTTGCGACGCTCCACGTAGCTGTCATCCAGGGACAAACTTGTGAAATTGCGATTCAGCTCCAGGAAGACTGAATGCCAGCTTCCATCATTAACAGCCCTGCCAGAAATTCCCAGGATTCCTGGGCCACTTCCACAATCCAACTGGAACCAGAGTTTGCCATCGACAATCTGCAGGAGGAAAGCAGAAATCAAACCGCTTCAGGCACTCAGCTGTCTCATAACACATTCTCACAGAGAATCTGGAAACACAGAGGACTTCTAGACAGTCTCTATACAGTGTTAAAAGCTGCTCTCCTACATGACACTAAAATAGCAAAAAGCTGTGTCTTCATCAGCAGCAAAAAAATATAATGTCATAAATATCAGCTTACTTTGAATTTATCCAAAGCCAATTACTGCAGAAAAACTGAAAAATGTAGGAAAAAATAAAGATGCAGAACACTGGCAAAAACTGGAATAACGATAAGTTTACTGAACAAGTGTGGACTGGAGGACCTATGTTCTGCTCTTGGCTCTGCTGCTGAATAGCTATGTCTCTCTCAGCCATCACTCACCCGTGAGCTGTGATTCTGCTCCCAGTGGTTGATGCTACCAAAAGGACAGTCAGGGCACAGGATCACCTCTCAGTGTTTGAAAGAGGCTTGTGGCAAAATCAGTGGCCACTGCTTTCAGCTAGTGATGTTAGGTACTCTGCTCACATACACATCCTGTGCTTCTGTAACCTTTTGGAGCATCTCAACAAGGTGTGGATTTGTCCCCAAGTGTCATAAGTTCAGTTTCTCTAATGACAACAGTAAGATTCTAGTTGACCAAAAGTCAGTTATTTTCCAAAGATGCTACACTACCTGCCTGTGTATACCTCACAGATGACATCAAATGGTTCTTACTTTTTTTCTTTCCTCGTATTTGTGCTGGGTTCATGGCTTTAGAGAGATGAGAGAGGATTTCTCACTCTCCCTCCTGTCCCTCACCCATCTGAAGTCCTCATAAGGGGAAAATCTGTGCTAGCCTGCTGGAGCAGGTGAAGTGCAGAGTAAGAGAATAGGTATGAAGTGCTGCTTTTCTGATCAGCAGTTTACCTAAAGATTTTAGGTTTCTCTAACAGATGGTAGATCAGTTTAAAATGGCTGACAAGGCTGGAAATAATTTCTTATGACACATTAATTGGATTCAAGTTCTCTGAAAGCTCTTGCAAGTATTTTACCTTTATGTCATGCTTCAGGAAGTACTTATTTCTGCAAACCCCATCTCAAGATAGTTCTGTCCCATTATTTATCATCCTGAAAAGTTCAGGCGCTATGTCCTTTTTCATCCTTCCCTGCATCACACATTGTCCTCTCACTGGTGTGTCTGTAACAGAGCCTGACTGCTCCCTGCCATCAAAGCAGAGTTGCCACAGCTGTCAATGCAAGAACCCCCACAGAGCTTTGGTGGCCTGCTTAACAGGCATGGCTACTGCAGATGTGAGGATGCTGCATTGTGTCCATCTGCTTTTGGCCATTTTTGGCCATTTCTAGCATGAATAGTCATTTTAAACCATGTTAGCTAGAGACATTCCTTGGCATGTGTCTCAACTGTGGGACCACACACTTCTCTGCCAGGCTCTCTGATGTGGCTTGAAGATAAATATGAAACTGTTAATCTACAGAAGCAGACTGTGTGTGCTGTCTTGTCATCATCAGCATTTTATGTCCTTGGAGGTTGACAAAACTACCTGGAGGAAAGCTAAGAGTAAAATCTTGAGATCTGTAGATCTCTGGACTCCCTCTCCTTTCCAAACCCTCAGTCTCTTGACTAGCTGAATTTGAACTGAACCTCAAGCCAAAACACACTGGTCAATTGGGATATAAACCACATCACTCCACTACTTGGCAGTCACTTGGACGCAGAGGTGCTAAGCAGTGGCAAGCATGTGGCAAGCTCCCTATCAATGCCAGCTACCTACTTACTCTGCATGGTATGAGGGAAGGAGCCAAAGGACGGAGCCAGAATTAGCCTCTGCTATGAGCAGCTGGCTACTTCAAAGTAGGATGCAACTGAGAAGTCAGATCTATGATTGTAACACAACCTACTTAAGGGATGGATATTGCATGGTACTCTTACAGCTCAATCTAAAATCGCTAATGGATGTACAGAAAAATGAGTCTGGATCATTTTTTATTAAAAAATCTTTTCTTATGGGACTCAAAACTCAGCTGTAAACCATTTCTGTAGATTGAAATTGTGCCTGTTAAAGCATTCTCCAGAGGAATCTTCATAAACAAGATGCCCTGATAAACTGAGATTTTTCTTTCCAGAGATGGAGCAATAGTTTCTTTTCTCCCTGTGCTACAAAATAGTTCATAAACCTTGAAGGTGCTGCTCAGAAAGACCTGGCTCAAAAGGAATACAAATCAAACTGAAAAATACATGCCAATATACTACAGTTTGAAAAACAGCCATCACTGTATAAGCAGCCAACTTGCTGCTTATTCAAAAGGCTTTTTCCTATGGAAACTCTTCTACTGATTGTGTATAATATACATATACCTCCCCTAAGACTACTTATGCCCTGAAGAACCTACTGCCTGCATGTCTATTACCCTTACTCAGAGAACATGTTTTTCCAATTATCTTTATAAATACAACACCACATATGAGCACCTGGAATAAATATTAAACCATTTGTATACAGGAAATGATGATCTAAAAGATTTGCCATTAAAATATGTTTTATACATCTTTCTCATCCACTTTTACTTCTTTTTACTAGCAGATGATCTGACATACACAGTAAATATATATAGTCTGAAAGGTTAGGTTTCCTTCCTTTCATTGAAGAAACACTAGCAACCCCTACCTCAGGCTAGAGTGAAAGATGGAAAGGATGGTCTGATGCTTACAGTACTAGTGTAAGACATGATAGATTTGCATGGGAATCCACACTCTGCAACACTCTTCCTCTGGGATCTCAAGCAAGTCATTAGTTTCAAGTCTCCATCAGTAAAAGAGGGGTAACGTCATTTCCCTATCTCACACCACTGCTTTACAGATACATACATTAAAGACTGTGACATATCCAGATACCCCTAGCAATGGGACAATAAAAATACTTTCATTAATCAGATGGTCACAGGCCTTGCTGTAGGGGGATCGGGAGGAAATACTTGTCCCCTGATGGCCTGGTGCCTCGAGGAGGAGGAAGAACAGGAAGAGCTGACAAGGAGCAGATGCTGCAAAGGGCTCCTGTCCTGACTATTAGCAGCGAGGCTGGCCAGGCAGGCAAAATTGCTGCCTCTACTCCTAAGCACAAGAATTCAACCATCATTCAGCAATTAGTCCATGGTGTTCCTGTGATTCTTTGTAACTGCTGTGATGTCAGTCACCGCTCAGTCCAAGCAAATAGTATGGAAATCCAATGAATGTCCAGCCTCAGCAGTTATCCAGATAATAACATCAGTGGGGCTGGGCTGGTTGAGAGCTGGTAGCATCAGACTATCAGTGTAGGACTGAACGTGTGGCATTGCTTTTTTCCCTCCGTGTAGTGCAACACAGCAGAGAGCTTGAGTTGCTCCATCTCACAGCAGAGATACACAAACTTTGCAACCCCTCACCAGTGCAGCCCATGGCACCAGTAGAGGCATCACGAAAGCAGAGAGGCACTGCTTCATTCTAGCTGAGCAGAAAACTCCCACCAAGCTTCCACTTCTCAGTGCTTTATAAGCTCAGGGCTTAGTTACAGTCTCAGTTATAACAACTAGGACAGGGAGGTTAATGCATACTTAAGCAGATATACTTTTACAGCCACGAAATTCCTCAGCTGTGAAGAAGTAAAAAGAACAGAGAAGACTCCAAGAGCTGATGCAATCCATTATATTTCAACAATTTCATTCAATGAGCAAAATGGAGCCAGACACATATTGTAAATTATATTACAGTATTAGCCTGGCTAAGATGTTTGGCTAACATCCATATTTGTGTATCAACACAGGTAATAAAATGATCAAATGGTTCTTCTGAGACCACCTCCAGCTCACACAGTCCATCTGCAGTCAAACACCATGGATACAGCATGCTGCCTCCTAATCTATCTGGGGAAATACTTCGTTAACTGAATTGCATTTCAGGTTCGTTTGTGTAAAACAGTGTATTTAATTAAAATATTACTCATTTCAACTCCAGCCATAACTGGGACCACATCCAAGCTTCAGTCCTATGCAGCATCAGCCAGGCAACAGTAATGCACTCAAATGTAAAATATATACTTAACTAAATGATGCAAAAAGTTTCATATTAACTGCCTGGACAGAAGAACATATGCTTGCCTTTTACCATTTAGCACCTCTATTTCTGGCATGATGGGAAAGTCTTTCTTTACATATTTTTAATTCTTTAAATGTCATAAAAAAACTTGAATCTCCATCATATTCCCTGAAAAAAATTAGATAAATTATGGGATTCTCTTCTGCAATGGTCTTGTAATGCTTTAAACAGTTAAAACTTACTTTTCCCTGTTAGATGCTACTTAGGTAAAAAGGAAATGGTGGTCCTGGTTTTAGCACATGCAATCTTTTCAAAGGAGAAAAAAAAGGCCATTGACCTGCATCTCATTTTGCTCCAATTGCCTTAAAAGCAAGAGCATGCAACAAAAAAAATGGCCAACCTCTCAAAATCGATGGATGTGTTGCTTTATTTGAAATAGTTGAATAAATAACACCCTTATTATATTGTATCAATGCAGTGTAGCTGGTAGGCTTTCAGCAAAGTAGTAGACAAGCAGTTTGCTCTATGGAATTGATTATTCATCCTAGAAGGACACTGTGTTATGATTATGAAATATTTCCATCCCTGGAGTTATCACAAATGTATGAGCTCCCAAAATTAAGCTGGTCATTTAAACTCCAAAAACCATATTGCAGCATTAATTTTTAAATAGACTGCAATGGGAGAGACTTCCTTCAAAACAATTAATGCCACTGTATGCCCCAACAGCCGTGGTGTTTTCTGCCTGCCCTCCCATGGGCTTATGCTCTAAATTTCCTCCACCTCTGCCTTTGTTTGGAGCTCAGTGATGGTGCTGGGCCCTCTGGTGCTAATCCAGCAGACACTTAAGTACATGCTTAAAATTAAGTTATGTAAGTAGTTCCAATTGCCTTCAAATATAGTAAGTTAAGCAAATGATTAAATGCTTTGCTGGAGTAATGCCAGAGTGCTCAAAAGAGCACAGGATTCCATCCTTTATCCTCTATTTGGAAAGCTACTCCTCGTGTTTAATTTAATTGAAAGCAATGCTCAAATGATAACAACCTCACATTTATAGTCCTGTAATTAATCTACTTAATGGCCTCATTTCTGAATGCCTCCCTATCTCACAACATATGTACCTGGTTAAAGAAAAAAAAAAAGTAGTCTTACCTGTAGTTTACAAATGAAAAAAAAACAAGGTTAGAGAGTCTAAGCGTAACTTACTTGACAACATCTGAGTTAAGGATCCCCAAAACGCAGCTCAAGAGTCAGCTCCTATCCTGAAGAGACCTGATAAGGCTAAATCCCTTGAGTATAATGCCATTTGTCTGTCACAGAGCACTTTTGTGAGACCTCAGCCTGATATTCCTCTGCTAAAAGACCTTCACAAACAAAACACTGACAATTCTTGATCTTTAAAGTGGTACAATTTCTTTAAAAACTATGCTGAATGTAATAATTTAGTTTTCTTTAAGCCATATGCACACAGAAGCCAAAGGCCAGACCTGGGAAAAATATACACACTGCAACCATGAATCGTGCCCTACCTAAAAGCTGACCATGAGGCTCTGGGAAGGTAATTCCCTGTGTCCTTCCCTGCTCAACGCAAAAGACAAAGCAGAGGCTTTGCATCCACACACGATCCTGGACCTCACTCATTGGATATGTGAGGTGGCAGCTGCATCTGAAGCTCTCTACCAAGTACTGCATGAGATGAGTTCAAAGATGGAAACTGTTTCTTAGAGCTAGGAAGCAAAACAGAGCTTGACATGGAGGTTGACCTTTGAGATTGAAGCAGAATAGCCACAACTCTTGTTGCTGCTTCTTGAAGTATTATATTTAACTTAGCATCTTTCAAATCAAAATAATTAGGTGATTGTGTGGTGACTGAAAACACATGGTTCCTACCTCACAACTAAAGATTCAACTCAGGTGATTGCAATGAGGGTGTTTTTTCGTTTGTTTGGGTTTTTTTGTAGCAGCATCAACTTTTCTTTTTTGGTGGCAAAATTGCTCAGCTTCAACTGGAGATTTTCACTCAGTTGCCTATGACCTGGACATGCTGTACTCCCTAATGATGCGAGCTTTATACACTAAAGTCTAACAAAATTAATGCTCCTATTACCATTCTAACTAAATATCAGTAATCTCTGTATCGTCTCATTGTTTTCAAGTGGCACCTTCCATCAGGGCCATTTGTGGTTTTTTTTCAAATATTTTTTGAAATTACAAAATTGCTAACATTACCTACTGACATGTGCTAAGAGTGACCATGATGAAGACTTCAAAGAAGGTCTTCCAGCCTGCAGTTTAATTTGGTTTTCCTTGAACAAAAACATATACTTGACGGTTCAAACAGCATTTCCGTGTGTCACAAATCAGAGCTTAACTGTCTTGTACAAATCTGAACAATGCTGACAGTTCCTGGTCAATGACAGACAGTACTCCTGCTCATGAAATATTTCAGTCTAACAGCTATAAAGTTATTTGTTGCCCATTAATAACTCATCTAGCCACTTTAACATTACCTAAGCATACAGCCCAAAGTACTCTGAAGATTGCAAACACAGACACAAAAGGCTCTGTGTTATATCTCTCACTGCTGAATTATAGAACATGGCATAGTTACAAATGTCAGTGTCTTAATTTTGTCCCTTAGAGGCTATAGCAGAAATATTATACAGGCAGGGTCTTGGATGAGCCTAGTACTCCCTTTCCACCCAGCACATATTTGCCATTTCACAGAAACACAAAAAAGAACAAAAATGCATGGAGAGCTTATCAATTAAATATTGATTTGGTATCAATCTCCAGCGACCCCATGACTCTCTCAATAAATAATCTCAGTCCACAGAGAGCAGAGATCTTCATATTCAGTAGGATACATGTTCTAAGCAGCTGGTTTCTGGAATTAACTTGATAACAAGGGAATGTTCCCTAACCACAGACATGGACAGAAGGGAAAACCAGCGATTTCAGTATGCTTTGTTTTGACTATATAGTCATATAAATGGCCAAATTTTACATCTTGTACAGACTGGCTTCTACACGCAGACATATATAATGTTCTTGTAATGAACAGCACCCAGTGGGAAATTTTCCAAGTAAAGTACCACTAACAAGCTGTTTTTCTTATTGTTGTTGTTGCTGCTGTTGTTGAAATTGTTTTTCCCTGTTAGAATCAGACTTCTTCTCAATCTACAGCTGAAATGAGAACAGCATTACCCAAATCAAGAGCCAACAGAAAATACAGAATCTAGAAAAACAACTGCAGAAAAGATAAGTTATTTTAATTACCTTCAGAATTATACAGGGATTCGCTCTGGTATACATTATAATCCCATTGCTTTGCAGGGTTCGCAGACGGAGAGCCAACTTGAATTCCTCTTTCTTGCTATTTTCAGAAACCCGGTATTTAATGTAGCTATTCCCAGCAAAGCTAAGGGAAGTGTGGCCTGAAATAACCATTTTGAAAAGACATATGTGCTTTTAGTGACACCTGAAATAATTCCTCAACTGTCAAGTTAATAAAAGAATTTATAAAGTTAATGAGAATGTCTAGGAAGAAATAAATCAAACCCATTTTCTACAAGAAAGAAAGCTGTCATCTACCACAAAATATATTGTATTTATTTATTTTTTAAATTATTTTTCAGGGGATACAAGAAAGCTCTATTTCTCCATACTTAAAAAAAAAAAAAAAAAGAGAGGTTTTTCCAAGTATTCAGCATTTTTCAGCTTATACACTTCTGGAGGCACCTATCTTGCCTCACTGATAACAGAGAGAGTTGAAAATGCCCATACCTATACATCAGGCAGTTGAGTTACTGGTATAAAGTTAGGTGTGGGCAGATGTCAGCCAAACCCTTGCAATGAGTTCCCTGAAACCACTGTTCAGGACCACAGTTTAGTATCTGCTGTGTTTTCAACAGGCAAATAGCACAAATCCTCTGTCATGCAGCCTGGAATTCACTGAAGTCACCAGAGAGCTCCACTTCACTGATTTTCCACCTGGCTCTTTATATGCCAGAGAACAACACAGCTGTAGAGAACTAACAAGTGTCCTCAAACTTTTGTTTTGGGATGGTGTAGTGTTTTCATTAATAAAGACTGGAATTTTGGTAATCTAAATAGTAAGTAGAAGAGTTAATTATAGAGCTTTGCCCATGGCAGGAAAACATCTGGTATAACATTTTCTAGGAGAAATCCTGTTTTCTCAGCAGCCTGTTTTACTGATCTCAAACAAGTCAGTGGGAATTTCTGTCAACAAACAGCTACAAAGACAAGTATTTACAGGGCTTATAAACAGATACACCAAGTGCCAGTGCTGAGATGGTTTAAGCAGTACATTTTCTGTTGACTTCAGTGGCACCTCTGCCTACAAAATGAGAATGGCAGCACTTAATTGTTCAAGTATATCCCCCTTTACAGCTGTGGCATGCACCTGAACATTCGCCAAGCTTTCCTGGTGGGCACTGGCAGATGAACGGTCTCCGATTAGCTTCATACCCCACACACTGCATGTCCCCTGGACACGGTTTCTCCAGACAGGGGTCGTTGGACCCTGGACAGAGTCCTCCTGCAATAAGTTAAAATACTGTCAGGGATACATAGTGTAAAGCATGATCTGCTGCAATACAGGAGTAAAGAAAGACAATTATTGATCTCACACTTCAGTATAAGCAAAAAACCTGCTTAATAATAATAACCACACACTTTCATAGTAGAGAGAAGTATTTTTGTAGAAGTACATAGCAAAACTGTAATAGTTCTTTTTCAAGATGCCCTAAACACCATGGGAACATATTATAAAAATGAACTCTTATAAGCAGTAACTGGTTTGTAATTGGTGGTGTACCTCTCGGGCCATCCATTTTCTCACAAACCTTCATGTACAAGGGTTTTATAGACATATGAGAAAAAAAAAATGGCTTGAAGCTATGCACTCCTTTTGTCCCAGCACACCCAGGAGAAGCAAACTGAAGGAGGTCGAAATAGTCACAGCACCAAGCCTGCTATAGTTCAAGAAGCATTTGGAAAATGTTCTCAGGTGTGACTCTTGGTGTGGTCCTGTGCAGGGCCAGGAGGTGGACTTTCGTGATCCTTGTCAATCCCTTCCAATTCAGGATACTCTATGATTCTAAGCCAACAGTGTGACAGCTGGACTTTTCATCCTCATACTACACAGGACATGCTGCGAGCTTGGTCATACAGCACAGGCAAATTTGCCCCTTCCCTATATTCCTCCTGACATTTCTGAGATCTCACATCCTATCCAGCTTGCCCAGCTTCAAAAACTTAATTTCTTTCTAATCTGAAGGGACAGAACAATGCTGAGTTTTAAATTTGCTTAAAATACTTGAGCGACACAATTACATGAAGGTTCTTCAAAACCACCTAAATGTTTTACATCTATCAAGCTGAACATGTCAAGGAATTACTCTGAAGCCTGTCAGTGTCAAAGGAACTTCCTGCATTTCATAGGGTTTGGGTAAAACTTGTACTTAACTTCTAAAAACATCTAGATAAATCTGTTTTAATTGCCCTAACCTTAAAAGATTTTCAAACACTGTCTACAATAACGCAAAATACAATACACCTACTGCTGCTTACTGTATGGATTTCCAGGAATATGTGACTTCCATAAGCTAGCCTTTTCTTGGTTGTAGTAAGGTGCTTGGTAGATGCACCGTCAGCTTCTTCATATGGGCATCTATCTATGTGTGGCTGTTATGAAAGTAGACTTCAAGTGCAGGAAAAAAGGCATTCCTGCCCTTGCTATTGTTGATTTGCAGCCACAGCCCAAATAGACTGAAAGTAGTTGCTGGGAATGGACAGGCTCCTCTTGTTTTGCTTATTAAGTTAATTTACTTAAGACATGCAGGTGATGAATTTAATGATAAAACACACCTTCCTACCCATCACTTTCTGAATATTGGTAGTCCTTGTATATTGCAGGATTCTTATATTAAAAAACTAGTTTATTTTTTGAGCATATTATTTGATTTACAATTTATAAAGGAAGAAATCAACCTGTCATAGAGTACATCTCCAAAAATAATGAAAGAAAGAATCTTATTGCTCTCTGAGTTTTGTACAAGCCAAGCAGGGCTCATAGTAAGCACAGCTGAAATTACCTGACACTGTAAATATTTTCTGGGAAAAGAAAAATTACTACTGTAGGTTTCAAAGTGGACATGGGCTGACTACAAATATGGTAATTACTGTAAATGTCTTCCTTGATGTACAGCACAGTCAATTTAATGTTTAACATCCTCCCCTCCTTTATCAAACATTTGTTTGAGAGGTCTACGCAGTAAACGATTTACAGTACTGCCTTTAGCACTGTTAGAAAATGATGCATGGCATTCTTTATTAATCACATTAGTAGGTAATGTGAACAGGAGTAACAGCTGCAATATACAGTTACACTTTGAGTTTTATAGAATCAAGAAACAATTGTCATTTAATATTTAATAGGGTTCTGCATCACTATATTCTATTTAAAAGTAAGGTCTGCAGAATTTAACAGAGAATATGATGGTTTTTATGTGGGTTTTTGTTTGTTTGTTTGTTTGTTTTTCCTTAGAATAAACCCCCATATTTCTTGGAATTCAATGGCAAGTAATAATTATTTCTGAAATCATAACAGGTTTTTAAATATTCTATAGGCCGCCTTGTATTTTCTCCTTGGTTGTTTCAGCTATTTTAACTCATTCTTATGTGATGAATTCACAAAATTTTGGTGTACACAGAGTATATCCCTTCTCTGAACAAACTTAGACATTTTGTGAGGCTGTAATTCAAGTAAGCCTCTGTGCAGCTGACAGACAAGCCATTTGGACAAAAGCCCCAGAACTCATCAGTGTGGAGCAGAAAGGGGTACTGAGATTTCCAAATGTGGCTCTGGAAATTTTCACATCCCCTAACCTATGACTTTATCTTTGACATGAAGCAATAAAGCAGCAGCTTACTTTGTTATCCATCTCTGCTAGGTTTTTAGCTGATTCAAACTCTGATTTGTACTTCAGAGTCATCCTTCCACATTCAAAAATAGATGGAAAAGATCTAATGTACTTAGTGCAACTGTGGAGATGCACTAAAGAACTGCTTATCCTGAACGGCCAAGAATAGTTCTTCTGGTAAACCACAAGGAAATCAAATTTCTATTCATACTGCTGCAGCAGGATTTCATAGCTGTCACAAAATTTTTAAAATATTCAGACTTGGGAGAAGTGCTTTATGCCTGTCTGTATGATTATAAGTACATAAGCTACAAATTTGCATTATTGCATTGCCCCAGCTAACACGCATTTTCAGGCTGATTTCACAACTGTGTGGAGCAAAATTGTAAAATTGTTCAAGGCTACGTTGTCCACATCAAAGATTTACAGCCTGAGTTTAAACAAAATTATTCTAATGTTGCATTTCCACTCCAAAGAGCAGTCTATTTACCATCCAATAAGAGATTCAAGAAACATAGGTTTGAACTGATCTTTTTTCTTCTAGGCAAGTCCAGACAATCCACAGCATTCTCTTGAAACTCACATTACTATTAATAAAACTGTTATCTACAAGGTATCACAGAAACACACGAGCTAGCATCAACCAGTGTGTGGCAGGAGAAGGTGGAATAGACCCACTTGATTTTGACAGATCAGCTTAATTCTCTAAATGAAGACAAAAGCATTTCAATCTTCTAACCAGTATACTGAGGAAGAAAACACTCTTCCATTGCAAAATGAGACGTATTTAATTCTTACTCCTTCAAAAACAGGCGAAAAAATAGGATTGTAAATATATTTTGAAAATTGAGTGCTTCAATCATTTCAACTTACACCTTGTGATATTTTGTCGTTTTCTATCAGCCCATTCTCCAGAGTCTGTATGAGTATCAAAAGAGTCTGTTTCTCTCACTTGCAGAAGAAAGCTTGAAAGGAGGGAGACCATGAGGGCCAGAGTTGCAGGAAGCTTGCAAAACAAACTCCAAACTGCTACTTGAAGTAGTAATTACTTTAGTGGGGAGGGAACTCATGATCTGCAATCTGCTTTTATTTTTAGGCCATGGTGACCAGGTGTTATAGGTAATGATTATTCTATACACATCAGCACAGACACTGCAAAATTGTTTCTGCACAAGCCAGCAATGGGGCTCATCTAGCTCAGGTGCCCCTGGAAAACTTTGTGTCACACAGTACATCCTAGTGAAATAGAATGTCTCCGAGTTTTAGAATAACGAGACATCTGACCTTTTCCATCCACTCCTTGATCACAGCTTCCCTTAGGACTCCTTAAGTGATAGACACCAATTCCCACTCGCCCTGATTCTACAATTGTGCCCCCACTTCACACTTCAACTCTCCCACATTTTATACGAGACTGTGCATTCTTAGCATGGGACTTAATGTCAGAGATGCTCACGGGGAGAAACATCTTTCCTTACACAAGTGCAACATTAAAAGGACTATGGCCAGATCAAATCTATCAAAGTTATCTGCAGTTCTTGGTTTCCCAAGCAGAGACAGGACACCTTCTTCTTCACTCTTCCTTGCCAGGAGAATTCCAGGCTCATTAGTACATACATGTGTGCTTCCTGAAAATGGGAAAAGCAGTGTTGTGCACGTAAGAATTGGGTTCTTGATTCCCAGTCCTTCAGAGCACCCAGTACTCTTTAAGACAGTGTGTGCTCTGTGGAGCTGAGGGCAAAAACCACCTCTGAAAAACAGGTCCTATATTAATAGCAGATTCTCACAGTCTATGATTTTCTTTTGTCAGAGCATTCACAAAATGCCAGAAAGGGCTTCATAAAGTCTGAATTATCCTGTTTCATGAGAAAGTGGTCCAAGACTGCTACTCTCTTGATTAAATAACGTGGATGTGTCTGCACTTTTGTTGAACACTTCTGCATCCATTAGAAAAATTCTTTCAAACTATTAGGCCAGAACCTTATTAAACATTTGAAATGGAATTCATCTCATCTAACTTTAGGGCACGATTCATCTGACTGACTTTAGACATCTAGGGAGAGATGTATCACATCATTAAGAACACCTCATTCTTTCCAGTGTCTGCAAATGGGGCCTGGAGTGACCAGCATGGATGTAGATATATATCCACATTTGTCAAGATTATTTCAATCCAGTCTTCTCCTATAAAAATAATAATGTAACCTCATTTTTTTCAGATTATAATGCATAACAACTCTACAGCAAAGTAGTCCCAACAAAACCTGCTTCTTCTCTGTACCTTTATCTCAACACAAAAGAATTACTTTACATCATGCAAAAAATATAGAATAGATTTTTGCTTCTGAAAACTGAGAATGCCACGCAAACTATTTTATATGAATATATTTATTCCCTTCCTCCTATCTTTATTTTCCCCCAGCAGTGACAGTTGTTTGCATATCTCACACCATGTGATGGGAGATTGGTAAGCACAGCCCTATGGTCACACCAAAACAAATCCCACTTTGTGACAATATTTTTCATACAAACACAAACAGATGAGGCAGAAATCTAAGGAGACAGTCTGTTATTGAAAAACTCTTTAGTTCAATTTTATTGATTTTAAAGGCAAAGATTGATGCACGTGAACTTTCGAACTTATCCTTCCAGAGCTGAGTTGCTGAACTTCCAAAGTTCATCCACTGCCTGCTTTACAGTCTCCCTGCATTTTCACGTTAGATAACTCTGTTTGCTCACAAAGGTAATCTAGGTAAGTTATGCACAGCTGGCATGCATAAATTGTGCATATCTGTGACATCTGCCAGTGGGAAAAACACTCCAAGTATGATATATATTTCAGGAATGAGTGAATTAGTTCAAACTCAAGCTTTCTAGGTCATAATTGAATCATATCACTGGAAACATATGCAATACTTTAATGGCTTTGTCATAATTCAAACTATTAATATTTACTGGATGTGAAACTGTCTTAGTAACAAAGGAAGTATAATACTTCTATTATACTGATAATATCTTGATAATGCTGTCTTATTAAACAAGCCAAAATAAATTTTGCACTTTTTCCTGACTTGCTGCATTTATGTGCATGTACAAAATCGAAGAAGCATTTGCATTTTTCTCACTCTTTTACTCTAATCTTTAGCCTTCTAAAAGCAAAACTGTCCATACATTCTCTAACTAATATACCCTCAGAAGTGCATGTTACCTCCTATGTGAGAAAACACAGTGTGTGTCCATGTACTTACCTAAATACCAAGATATTTTTTTGTGGCTCCTATAATTAAAAAAGAAGAGGCTGAAGCATTACCTGATGAGGAGAAGGCCAAAGCATGAATTTTCACTTCCGACCAAGGTCTCTTATATCTGTGCAAGTAATATGCACCAAGGTTTTCACGGTAGCTATACCTAAATCGGCACCTTTGGACACTTTTTTACTACAGGCTGGATGATAGGCTGGATAGGTACAACCCCACCCCAAATCCTGTGGATCACCCCTGGGAAATCAGCACATAGTGCTTGAACAGGAGCAGTGGGAACCCCATCCAGCTTCTCAGCTGGACCAAGACAAGCTGCCTGTTCTAACTGTTCCCATACAGCAGTCTTTAAGGCCATGATAAATGGTCCAGAGGCTGGGGACCACAGACGGTCGCAGAAGCACACTGCCCTTCCAGCAGCCTGCCATCCATTTTGAGGATTGACTGGTACATGACAGAAAAATTTGGAAATTGCTGTCCCAGCTGAATTTCTGTGCTTCCATTGCAAACCTGCTGTGCAGGGAGAAAAAGGGAGAGTGTGCTTGGATCAAAACTGGACTGCACTGCAAAGTTCCTTTTTTGGAGTTAAGCTAAGGGATTACGAGGCAGAGGGAATAATACATCACTATTAACTTTAATAAGTAGTGAAATGAAATTATAAACAGTGAAAATTTTGGCTGCCAGAAAACAAATTTCTGTCAGTGAGGACTATCACTGTCCCCAAGGAGATGAGGATTTGTGATTTCTTGATACAAAAATGAGACTAAGTTATGACTTAGAGAATATAAAAATATTTTGCAGACCGTGTTTCTGCACTGGCTCCTGGACTTGACTGGAGGATATTGCAGCACTGTCCCTTTTAAACCTGTGAAAATTCTTTATTTCAGAGCCTTTCATGTGTAACAAAATGCTGACTATTGTTTTACTAGATATGCCTATTTGAAACCTAAAGCACTATTACTTAAAAATTGACCAGATAGTCTGCTCTTGAATGTACCTCAGATACAGAGTTATGGTATTTTTTACAGAATTGAACTTCTATGGCATTATTATTCATGTGCCGCAGGAAAAAAATGATTTCTGGTTGAGTTTTATGCAATTTATGCCTATTTTCATCCCCACTGAGGTCAATGGTAAAACATGAAGCCCTGCTGACTGCTGCAGAAACAAAGGTTGGTTACTGAGAGACATGGCTGCTGAATTCTTGTCCTGCTCTGTGTGCATGTGTGCTTAAGATGAGGGAGACTTAGGATGTATTGATTTTACAGCAGCTTTTTTCTCTGCTCTTAAATGAAGCGGAATGAGGAGCAAATGGCCTGGCAAACAAAAGAAACAGAGCTAGTATTATAACTCCTAAGGTTTTAAAATCCAAGTGCAGAATCATATGGAAGACTGGCTCTTGAGTCTATTTGTCATATGCCCATGGAATCTCTGCCAAAAGTGGAGCAGCCTAAAACTCACCCTTGACCCCTGCTGCAGCATTAAAGGTCAGGAATTGCTAATAAAATACTTCACTGATTATCATGCCTCTCTGCAAAAACAGGACTGGAAACAGTCTTTCCACCTGCCTGTCTTAGGTCAGGGGTGCTTTTCCTTGGAGGCTGCTGGTGCATCGCTGCAGACCAGACTGCTCTGCTACGGTCAGACTCCAGGTTTATTCCAGTGGTGGCACTAACTGGGTGGGAAACCACATCCCTCCCTCTCCTCTCTCTCTCCCATTCCTTCCCCTCCCCTGGAAGCTGGTTGATGGCTCTGATTACGGAGCCTCCAGGAAAGCAGTCTTTGTCGTAAAAGGCCAAAGTTCATAAACTTCCATTTACATCAGTAAACACGAACAATTCTTCCTGAGCCTGAGAAATCAATTCCCACAACGCATCAGCCAGTCATGCTTTAGAGGACTGAATTGAAATGCCCCTTCTAATCTGTGTCAGAGGAATAAAATAGATCCTATCGCATAATATGCAAAGATGGAAGGGGAAAAGGGAGCAGTACTCACCATTGCACATGCAGCGCACATTCCTGTAAAAGCGGGGACACACAAAACTAATTCGTGCCGTGCTATAGGTCATCAAGGAATGTGAATCAATGGACAGACTTTGCTCACAGTGTTGTTCCTGACAATCCAGTCCAGAGCAATTCTTCTCCAAGATAGCAGAAATACGAATCACATTTTCCAAATGTCTCCTTGCATTGGTAAGCTTTTGAATCAAATAGGCAGGCTTATAGAAACCACCACTGTGTATCTGAACTGCAAACAGCATGTCAAGCTGATTGCTGCCTGCCACTGGCTGAATACTGATGATGTGTAGGCTGTCTTGTTTTTGGGAGAGCACCGCGTTTCGCAAGGTACGCCTGAACCCATGCATGTGAAGACCTACGAAGTCTTCTGGGGAAACGTTCTCAAAACGAATGGTGACTGTATTCTGCAGCATTTCTTGTAGCAATTGCTCCACGTGGACCACAACATCGATGGGTACCTGGAAACGGCCATCGCTGACAGAGACATTTAGGACATACTTGCCATTATCGAGCCCTCCAAGGGCAATGATCTTGCCATCATGGCTGTTGACCTTGAACAAACTTTTCTGTTCTGATTTTAGTGTGTATGTGAGGACATCATACACATCCTGATCTGTGGCATGAATTTTCCCGATGACTCCCCCAGGAAAATCATCTTCCATGGTGACAATGAAAATCTCCAGTGGAATGGCAGTTGGTTTGTGAATGCTTTCTTCAATAACCCTCACCTGAACGTAGGTGTGGGAAACCTGCTGAGGCTTCCCAGAGTCCTTTGCCTAATGTAATTTAGAAAAAAATAAAAAAAATAAATCCAGAAATAAAACACATATAGAACACAGCCTACAACCACAACTTTTTCCTATGTATATTTTCGCAGCATCAGTAATTCTGAAGACCTCCCAAAAGAACTTCCCAAATGTATTTGCAAAATACATATGCAAAGAAATATCTCAGCCATTTCTAGCAGTGGAACTTAGAAACTCTTTAGGGAAGCAGAGATCTCTAAGTGGATTGCATAGAGAAATGTGTCAGTAGAATGTCTCATTACTCAAACCGAAATGTTCCCAGGATCCCATAGCTATCACTCGTCATCTTCACAATGGAGAATATACCAGCAATGTGTTATATTCTGCACCAAATGGAGTTTGGGCTCACTTCTATCCTGGGAAGGGACTGAAGTCCGGTGAAATATCAGCTTCCTACATTGCTTGGTGTGCTCCAAAGCATTTCAGACCTTGCTTAACTTGTGTGGATGTGAGGGAGTTCAGAATTTTTCTACAGCACTCTGTACTACTTTACCTGAAGCAATCAAGAAACATGCTTGAAATAAATAAAATTTATCATCCTCCAAAAATGAAATAGGTGCTTGTGCTGCTGCTAACGATAAAATATGAGAGCAGCACTGCACTTGGAGAGATGACTGTATGACCCAGAGCACGTATAATAGCATCATTTGCACTTTTTTTTATAGAGAGCAAAAGGGCAAGTATGACAAAAAACCCAAGGCCATTTTGACAGAAATGTGTGTAAACCCGAATCAGTGTCCTTTCCTACACTAAGAAAAATTTTTCATTGAAGTCAATATTAAGATATACTGCTCCACACATTTACTTGCTCCGGAGAGGAACAGAAGGCTGAACTACCACTGGGCAGAGATGTAGCACATGCCCAAAGATCTTTGTATTTGGACACGAGAAGGAAAATTTACAAGCTGATGAAAAAAATGGCAGGATGAGAACAGTAACATGAGCATTACTATGCATGGATGAATAACTCTAAGACACTCTAAAATTTATTCATCTTCACTCCTTAAAGAGCTTGGTGGAGTATTTAAAAAAAGATTTTATTTATATGTGTGCAAATACACATGTACATGCACAGAGGTTACATCCCATTCTACTTTCCATTTTAACATTACTTCTTAATAAACCTAACAGAGAGAAGGAACCTGATGGTGGAAAGGAGAAAGCAGCACTCTGGCACATATGAATGGAAAAAAGCATTTCTATGGTCTATACACAATAGGAAACTATAAAATATGTTTTCACTGCAGAAATCCCTAAAGAAAATAATACTGGGAGAAATTATGCCTCCAAAATCCAACAGTGTGGTTTTCTGAGCATACTGGTGCATCTCAGACATGGTGGTCTGTCTAATATTTCATTTATATGAAATACTTGGATCTCTAAAGCTAGAGGATGCTGCTTAGATTTAACTCTCATGCTCGGTTTTGGCTGTACTAGAACTCTGGCTAGCAAATTACCCTGAAAGCAGGATATTTTAGGATGAAGGCATGGTAAGAAAGAAAGGTGAGGATTTTTTGTTTTGCTACAAGGCTAAAAAATAGGTTTCAGGAATATTAAATGGCACACTTGTAAAACTTTAATTTAAACTGTTAATTAACATCAGAGTTTATATTTTTTGAATTGTAACTAACAATTGTAACTAAGGATGCTACTGCTATGAACAGCATTAAATGTACTTTCAAAGGAGCAGATAGGCTGTATTTAGAGACATCAACCCCAGCAAGGCAAGTGGAGGAAGAATGCACTTCAAATGCAGCTTATAGGACCATGACTCATTTCAATGAAAGGGAGTAGTTCATTGCCTAGACTTGCATATTTACTGAACCCTAATACATCTTCTCTGTCAGGCCTGAGAAATGTGGACAAATTACTTTTGGATTTACTAGTTTTGGTAATCAAAATTACCCTGGTTACAAAGCTTCTCAACAATTACTCTAAAGTTAAGTTTGAGCTGGACTTCTATTGAATGTCTTATTTTTGACATTCTTTAAAGGCTAAGTTGACCTTGGAAATGTGATTTCATGAATTCTTGGAAGGCTTCCAAAAATTTATGATTAAATTTATGACTTAAAAGCAGAAGTGATTTTCCTTTCTAGAACAGTATTTTGCTGTCACTTGTTCTGTGGTATATTTATATGTATATAATGCATTTTTGCTTATTTTCCTTGCTTAGCTACAGAAAAAAATGATGAAAATCTTAAACCATAACGGTCGCTGCTCAGAAAATTCATTTCATGCCAAGGAAATTGGAAAGGTGGCTGGTTACCTATTTATATTTATATGAAATCAGGTTTTTGAACATCAAAGGAAATATACTGTATTGTGAATTTGTAAACTGGAATGTGTGGTATTTACTCATAGAATACAGTCAATTAAAACCAACCCATAAAGGTAATGTACAGGTTACCTACAACTATGAGGGTTTTTTTGTTTCTGTACAGATATAAAAATCAAGACATACCTGCACGCAGAGCACATATTCAGTTGAGACCATGTGCTTGAAGATGACTGCAGACCTTAAAACGCCGTGAGGGTCCAGTGTAAACTCCTCTTCTTCATTGCCAGTGAGGATGGTGAAGGTAAAAGGGGGGCCATTGTGAAAAGAGTCTTTGTCTGTCACTACCAGCTGCAAAATGCTTGTGCCCACTGGTTTATTTTCCTTTACACATATACACAGCGTATAAAGAAAAGGATTAAAATGATACATATCTCAATTATAAAATACCACATTTTGCTATCGAGAATATTCAACTGAATGCTCTTTGGACAAGATGGTGTTTCACAACCTGCGCTTATTTGACACTGCTTATGCCCCACGGACCAGCAGCAGAAATTAAGGTACCCATCACATCTCCAGGGACTGCTGAGCTCTGCCTAATACTGTGTCTGATCAGGTCTGACTAACAGTTAAGGTTCACACCCTGAACAAGGTGTAAAGAAAGGTGAATGTATTCCAGAGTAGACATTTTGAGGATAGGGTACCTGGTACAACAGGGATGAATGATAAAATTTGTGACAGATGCTGTGGTTAAGGAGCCTCAGAAAACAGAAACTTACCAAAGATTTAAAAAAAAATTGTTTATCATTTCTTTTAGATAAGATCACTTGATACATCTTTTGCAGATAGATCATCAAAAGCTACTTAACTGAAACCAAATGCTCCTGCATTTTAAAAGTCAGAGGAGTTTCTGATGTTCAGGATAAACTTACTTGAATTACAGCTGTGTAGTTAGCTGGAGTAAATACAGGGCTGTTATCGTTCACATCAGAAATGTCCACATTGACCGTCACAGATGAAGACAAAGGAGGGGTGCCGCTGTCTCTTGCTTGGATAACTAATGAATAACCAGATATCTGCAAAAAGGTGAAAACATTAAATCATTGTGAAAGCGGTCCTAAATTTCAACCCAGTTTCTTTACATCCAGTGTACCACCTTCCATATTCAGAGGAAAGCTGTTTGGCCTCATTACCTTCCTGCCCGTACTATAACATTATCCTGTTTATTGCCACACTGTGTCTAAACTTCTGTTTTATAAGGCTATCAATAAACATAATAGCTTCATTGTATTAAAATAACTGTATCAGATAATACATTCCTGAAAAAAAAGGGGTAGACAGAAAATAAACAACAGATAATATCTGAACTCAGTTATTAGTACTGTGGCTTACATTTTCATCTCTCCTAGGTGTCAGCTGGGATATATGACCTGATTCTATTTATCTTATGGTTGGTTTCCAGGATATTATATAAATTGCTTATTAGAGCCAGCATCAGTTTGACACACATTGTTTCTAACATGGAGATGGAGAGCCAAGAAAAAGTTCACGGGCAGTTGGCTTAAAAACACTGGGAAACATTTGGGAGTACTAGGGACAACAGTCTCTGCAGCAACAGAATATTATCCATCATTTAGAAGATAAGGGGGCTTGAGCCTTCTTGTTTGCAACACACAGAAACCACTCAGCATAGTGTGGGCAGTTCAGCGCATCATCCATGGGCCCTCTACACACATACGTGCCCATGTGTGAGGTGTGAGCACATGTGACAACTTGCAAAAGCTCTGTCTATGCACAGTTTATGGATGACAGTTGGATTTTCTGAACTGCATCCTTATGTTGGCCTCCTTAGGTCTTACAACTGCTTTTTACTGTATATTGCTCCCTGCTCCCCAGGGAAAGCTGCTGACACATCTGCCCCTGAATCCTTCTACAGGAGAGTGAGCAAAGGGTAAAACGTGCCAGATACAACACTCTGCTCCACCCTTTCAGTGCAGAGCTGGAAAGGGAAAAAACGTGGCCCTGCAGAGGGGAACAAGATAATGTCAATGGGGTTTTTCTGGAGGGGGCAGGGGGAAGGAAATCCAAATCCATTAAAAAAAAATAAAATTCCTGGTAGTAGGGAGGAGTATAGACTAAGCACACAAAATAAGGGGGCTCGTCTGGGATGTGGGACCAACATAAAGAAAAACAGAATATGTTTTTTAGGGGGTTGTATGGAGGAGAAAGACTGCAATTTGGTGGGGGCAGAGTGACACAGGTGAGAGGAGGAATCCTGAACTAAGGAAAGTCAAGAAACTTGAGACAGAGAATTAGTTTTTTTTTTTTTAACTGTGATTTCTACCACTAGCTAAAGACAAGACTGACAGTTTTGTAAGCTCTTTCCCATTTTTTTGCTCTGTTTGCTTTCATTTCAATGTATCCCAGGAAGGCAGATGGCAAAAGTCATGGTCTCTATGTGATTACAGCTCTGGAAATGAGTTTCCTTAAACCACTAAAGTCTGGGAGTCAGCATTGCCTTTGGGAATCTACAGCAGATGGGGCATCATGTATCATTCTCCCTGAAGGGGTCAGAAACACCTGTGTCTAGGAAATGTGCCAAGGAAGCAGAGAAAAAGACAGTATCACAGCTTATTTTAAGAGTGAAACTTTGGAAAATACAGATCTAACAGAGATGGCATCAAACTTGCTGATGCTGGTGTAGGGAAATGTGTGTATCTAAATGCAGCTGTACGTGAGTGTGCTTCAGAAACTAAAAAAAGTCATGTTAAGAAATTAAACCTGTGCTTTTATTACAGCCCATTTTTAACAGGCACAGCCATTGTTACTTTCCTGTCCTCGACAGTCTCCGATAAAGTCATTCTGCAACCAAATACTGACAATTTTATACTGCCTTTGTGATAATACAGAAAGAATATCTGCCACTATTCTGAGCAGTACCTCTGCTTCCAGTAAAGAGCTTTTCCAGCTGAGCCCTTATTCTGAGTGTAGCAATCTGCTTCCCCAGCTTCATGGATGCATTGCTGGGAGGCAGGAAGCATTTCTGAAGCCATTTAGCACTCTCCTGCCCAGCTAGTAGCACAGGCAACTGCATTTGTTTGTTTTTTTTTTCCAAAAGCTGCTAATTGCTAGCTATGGCAAAATGGTGATAAATAATCCTGAATGAATAATGGAGTGAGCAAACAAAGCAGTAGAATCTGTTAATGAAGCACTCTTTCACTTTTGGTACAGCCTGGCCACTTCAAAGCATCCCCTCCCCAATGACACGTTTTGCAGAGCACTAATTAAAGGCTGGGTCTCAGCTCGGTGGACAATCTGGAGAATGCTGTAATCTCTCTGTTGCACACACAGCTACATGTGTGTGCTTGCACGTGCAGGAGAGGGAAGGCAGCAACAGCTGCCAGTGGCGACGGGAGAAATCCAGTGTTGCCTTTTTCCCTCCTGATCTGACCTCAGCTGCTCTGTTGGTGCAGGATGGGAAGGGTAGCAGAACAGTTGGCTTGTAGATAGGGTTAGGGGCATGGCTAGCATGGAAAGAAGTGGGAAAACATTAGAGAGACCTGTTGGAATATCTTAGACTGATTGTTGCAGAGTATAAAAGAAACTCCTTCAACTCAAGCTAGCAGACAAGCAAAGATTAATGCACATCTGTAAGTCATTGCAATTTAAGAAGTTCCACATGCCTTACCCTTTCTCTATCCAGTTTCTTTTTAACCTTCACAAGTCCCAAAACAGGATCAACTGAAAATTCATTGTCTTGATCCCCATTCACTATGGAAAAATGAATCTGGCCATTGGGAGGACTGTCCAGATCTTCTGCTATCAACTTTTTTTGAGAGAAGAGTAAAAATTAGCAAAAGAGATATTAAGTGGTCTGTATGATACATTAATTGCTCAACACTCCAAAAAGTTAGACTTCATATTCCATCAGATTAGTTACACCTGAACTGTACACCTCTACAGCAACAAGCATGAACCTAATCAGTTTTTGACAGGAAGCTCTCCTTGGACCTTCTCAAAATTCTAGCCCTAAAAAACACAGAATATTTTAATCTTACTATTCCACATAACACTTTCTCTCTGAATCCACAAGTTGCAAGGTGAGAGTATTGGGAGCTTCGGGTATGACACACTGCATGCCAGACTACACAGATACTATCTATTTGGAGCTCTGAGCAACCTGGTATAGTGAAAGGCATAGCACGGGGGTTGGAACTAGATGGATCTTTAAGGTCCCTTCCAACCCTGGTCATTCTCTCATTCTACGATCCTACTTTCTGAAAAGCTGAATTCTGCCTTTCCATTAAAACCCATTTGTTTCTACCTGACTCATGAAATGCAATACCTTGAATATGCCTTGGATATGCCATTGCTCTTTGACAGCATATAGGGGTTAAAAAGAAATAGTCAGTACTACTAATACTACTACTGTCTTTTGGGGAGAAACTTACAGCAGCCTGGAAAGCAGTAGTAAATGCAGAGTATTGGCTAGGGAACAGTTTGGGGGATCCAGGATATGGTAATTATCATTATTAACCAGTGTAGCAGTATTTTAAGGGTCACGTGGCAGAGGGCTTCACCCCACCTAAACACCTCCCACGGCCTCACTCACCATTATCACTGAGTCCCCGACGGCTGCGTCCTCGCTGATGACTGCACTGTAGACCTCCTGGCTGAATTTTGGAGCATTGTCATTGACATCTGTCACATTTACATTTACAGTTGTAACGGCGCTCAGGGCTGGCGTACCTCCATCTTTTGCTTCCACTACTAAGTAGAAATCCTTACACGATTCAAAATCCAAAGCTTCAAAAATGGAAATCACTCCTTTGAAGCAAAGGAGGGAAAGTCAACAGCCAGCAAAAAACAAATAATGCCATGGAATAAGGGATTTGACTGTAGTAAAGAGTACAGCATGCTATTTATCACCATGGTACACATACAGCACTAACTGTAAGACTGCCCAATCCAATAAAAATGTTTTTTTCATGTTTCTACTGCTGTCATTTGATTAAAGAATGATGCCAATTGCATTCGGGTTGCCTCTGCAGAAAGGACCTTTATAAGGCATGAAGCAATTAATGGTTCCTCATGAAAATAACTTTCATTATCTGAGTATCATAGATGAAGTAGTGGGGGCCATATCCATCCATTTACCATCTCATGCACAGAGCTTTTGGGAGAACTGGATGTCAGCTCTGGAAATTAGCCTTTACAAGTCAACAGAAATTCACTCCCATGCAATTAACTTCTCATGAATTACATACAAATGAATGGGATATGAATACCTTTGAGAAATCAGTTGTATATCAATTATGTGATTAAACAGAGACTTCCCCACCCAACTAGGTTTATAAATTTTGGGTTACTTCACCACACAACCAAAATTAAGATTCTCTGTAACTTGATTCACTCCATGCACCCTGACTCCCCTAGGATAGAAGCGATTTCTATGCAAGCTCTCCACTTGTTTCCCATAACCTTAACAAGAAGGTGGAGTGGGTTGTGCACAGATTACTAGTGATGCCTTGAAGGAGGCAATACCAGGCACTGCAGGAAAGACTTAAAAGCAAATCCTGAACCTTGGCAAGCCAAATCCTTTTCAATATAGACCCACCAGAAGCAGGGATGTGTGGAGCTTAAAGGTCATTTAGTCCAGCTGCTGCCCAATACAGGTCAGCTCAACCTGATGATTCTTGAATGAACTCATCTCTAATACTCTTATAAACCTCCAGCAACATCAGTTTCTTAACCTTCTTACAAAATGTATTTCAGTACTTAACAATCATTACAATTAGGAATTTCTTCCTATCGTTTAATAAAAATAATCCAAATGCAATTTAAGCCCATTCACAACTTCTTTTCTCGTGACTGGGCATGGAGAATAGTTTATTCCCCTCCCCTCTATAGGTGCTTTTTACAGGCCTGAATACTAACAGCATGTCTTCTCTTCTCTAGCTTAAACAGCCTCAAATCCTTCAGTCTTTCCTCATAAGTCACATTTTACAGACCTCAGATCATTCCTCTTAATCTTGTCTGGGCTCTCTCCAAATGAATTCTACCTTTCAGCATGACTTGCTGAAAGCAGGAGCCCTGAAGAGAAGCTTCCAAGTGGCTAGCAGAGAGTTCCCACTGATAAATGGTGTGAAGGACATTATTTTTCAAGCTCTGATCAGGCATGCTACATCACCACCTGGCTGTCTAGAAACTGAGCTCCTTCCTCTAAATTGATAATAACAGAGCTGTCAGATATTAATGAATACTATATAGTTCTAGTTTTGGGGTTTTTTCCCCCCATGTGATTAAGGTTCATTATGGGTTTTTATTGATTTATTTCCTTGGCTTCATTATCAACTGTGAAGTTAAGTATCTCTGTCTAGGCGTATTTATATTTAAATTTTGTTAGTACTAATCAACAGTATGCAGATGACAGACAACACACAGTTATGTTAAGTCCCTTCCATGTAAGGCAGTGGTGTCTGCAGAGTGGAGAATGATTTTTGCGCACAATTATATAAATGACACAATGTATCATTTTGAGATTTTCCAGGTTACTGGTTATTACAGCTGCATTCAAGTGTTACTTTCAGCTTTCAAAATCACGATTGCATTGCTCGATCCATAGTTGATGGACTAAAACCTTAATAAGGATAAAGAATATACCCCACTAAGGAAATTCCAAGAAAATAAGCCATTTGCACCAAATATGATAGTTTTTCTTGGAATTTCGTAAAGAGAAGCAGCAGTATATTTTTAAAATTTGTGATGTATAACCAAAAAGACCACAGCCCAAATCAGCGCTGAAGTCAACTGTCAGAAAAGACAAGTCAGAGCAACCTAAGTCAGTAATCTCATGTTAGGACTGACACCTATTTGGTACTGGTAGTCCTGTTTGATGCTTTCTAAGGTACAGACAGTTGAGGCTGTACTCAGCTGGTAAGCAAGTAAACATTGCAAGTGTTCTGAACCATAAGGGTTGCACAGTTTGGCTAATGGGCTGTCACATCTACATTGGCTTCAACAGACACTAATGGAGAAAAGTATTCTCCACTTGAGCTGGGGCAGCTAAGCATGACTGTAACTGACATCAACCTTCAACCTAAAATTGGTTTTAACTGTGTAGCTAATTCCACATTAACAAGTTGTGAGCCTCTGGTCTTGGAAATCTTTTGGTCCAAGAGCCTTCCGAAAGCATTCACCTTTTTCTGATGCTTTCAATTAGCATTCCAAGTAAGAGCCACTTTACAAACCTGTTTTTGAGTTAATTCTGAACTTCCCTTTCTCATTCCCCGATCTGATGAGATAGGCAATCTCAGCATTAGTACCAATGTCTTGGCTTGTAGCAAAAACAGACAGGACCTCAGTGCCAGGTGAGGTGTCTTCAGGTACTGTAACAAGATAATCTCTTCTTTCAAACACAGGGGGGTTGTCATTAATGTCTAGCACTGTAATGGTCACAGTGGCAAATGAGGACAAAGTCAGCACAATGCTCTGATCTGAGGCCTTTACAGTGATGTTATAGGAAGACTGAAGCTCTCTATCCAGAGGATGCTCCAAAATAATGATTCCTGATGACTGGTCAACTGAGAAGTAACCATCTGCAGAGTCTGCCAGGGAATAGCTGACCCTTCTGTTCACGCCTGAAAGAGAAGTAAAAGAGAAAATGATACAGTGAAATAAAGAAAAAAAAAACCTCTTCCCATCTAATGGAAACCTAAAGCAAAATTCGCTTATCCGACTGACCATTTCCAATGAGGGTGGAGCACATGAAAGTAGGAGTGCCTGTGAGTACCGTATTGCTGAAAGTTTGGGAGATAAATACATGCTCTTCTCTCATGAAAAATTCCCATAGAGAAGTTAAGTTCCTTCCCTCATCACTTTCTAAAAAAGATCACTTTGCAGAACTGCTGTGTTATGAAACTTGAAAGCAGAATCCAGATATGGTCCTTGCTCAGAAGAGCTTACAATTGAATTAGATGAGACAGGCAGAGTGCTGAAATTGGAAATGTCTCAGAGAACATCTTGAAGGAACAGAAATGTACATAAGGGAAAAATAAACCCATAAAAATACATGAGGTGGCACAGAATATATTTGCTACCAGTGCTGCCTTGATTCCACTGTTGAGCAGCAAAATATTATCGTGAGATGATACCTGTTAGACAAAAGTTGCATCCAAAAACTCCTGCCAGGATATGAACATTTTAGTAAGAAAAATCCCTCAGTCCCCCAACTTGAGAGCAAAAATTGAGTTGTTGATATGAAATATATCCTATGTTTTTAAAATCCTGCCTGTATTTCCCAACACATAGCACCTATCCACCCAGCTGCTGAATATGCAGATCTATGCTAAGGTTGTTGTCAGTAATAAGGCCTGAGGGGATGGTACTGACTTGCTTTCTGCACTACAGTGGGATAGCCATTTCAAATCTAATTAAAAGTGAACACAGATATAAGCTAATTCAAGTCCCTCGATGCTAGTTGATTTTGTGATTTGGTCCTGGGTGCTTCAGTAATAGATTATAACTAAAACACAAAGATCCACTAAAATGGAGAGTCTCTGTTTTTAACATCTCTCACTTGAGCATTTGCTGCTGTTTTTGTTGCAGAACAGACTTTACAAGTCTGACATAAATCAGATGAACAAGAGCTACCAATCCCTTCTAGGCATATTTTGTTAATTTAAAATTTGTGACAGTATTATTCTGCTTTCCAGCAGCAAAGCGCTGTAGAAATGTCTGATCAAAAGCAGCACAAATCACACTTGTTTTCTGCTTGACGTAGCAGGAGTCGACCATCCACACAAGGGGGAGCTGGGAGACTCTTTCTTCAATCACACGCACATAAAAGCTAGAACAACTACAAAGTCCCAGAACCTACTTGAAGGGCATTAGGAATTACTATTTGGCCTCTTCAGAGAATAAAGTTTTTTGCAGTGCTTGAGACACCAGAGTATATTTCAAATGTTCAAATGTCTTTAAAATAAGAAACAAATTAAATTGCAATATTGCAACAAAACAGATTCTTACTTTTTTTTTTCAATCACTATAGAACACGTCTATTCACCATGGCATCTCAAATGTGAAAAATAAAAAGTCCCTCCTTCAGCAAAACAGCAAGGCTGACAAGGAGGTGACTCCTGTCCTACAGATGAAGAACTGAGCTCAGCCCACGAACTTGTTGGAAATTCCTTCATGTGCTGAAATGCCTAGGCTCTGAATGCCCTACAGCTGCTGGAGAACATGCTCACCTCTTCCCTTAGCCTCTTGATGCATGCATCCAAATACTCTGTCAGCTGAAATAACCAAACTGACAAACATGCAAAAAGAGTAAAACCCTCTGGGAAGTGGAAGGTTTTCAGGGTCTGAATGGCTGGAGGTATGTCTACATTTTGAGCTGGGGAGGATCTCTTTCTGCTAGAAATCCTCTGTGAACTTCCACTTACAAAAAGGGACAGACCTGACTAGAGCAATTAATTACAGCCTTGGGGATGATGAAAAATGGTTTTTTTTTTTCCCCCTGATTCAGAGCACACAGTTGAACATCCAAACTACATATGAGATTTACATGTAAAATTAGTAAAATTAGTATTATTTAGTATTCTGTTCCAGCCAGTCTTGGTATCTGCCTGTTTCTACATACTCTTAAACACTTCTCTGAAGCAGGGGCCTTAACATGCATCTTTTACACATATATGTCTGTGACTGCAGGAAAGGCTTAGTCTGATTTGCATTTTTCTCTAGCACAAATCCCCTACTTGATACTCACTACAGCATACCTGGGCACAAGAAAGAAGACAGAAGATTAGGTCAGAAGACCTGAGTTGGAACAAGGATACCAACCCTTGGTGGCTTTTGGCCTGAATGCTGAAAGAAGAAAAAAAGATGCAGAAATACAGAGGTAGATATTGTCTGTCTGCTGACCTTCTCACAGAGTGTTTTGTAGGGTGGAATTTAATACTTGCTTCTTAGGAGAAAAATTAATTCAGTGAAAAAGCTGTCGCAGGAATAGCACTTTGAAGAAAGTGTTGTGTTACATCAATAGCTGTTTCCATTCAGCCTCCTGACACAATGCTGGAAAAAAGAATAGGCATGAGGCGAAGAAATAGGAAATTATTTCTACTGAAATTCAAAATGCTTTAGTCCAGAGGCTACCCTCTGCTAACAGAGAAGCATCCACCAGTGTGTGTCAATGACATTCCTGCCATACAGACAATGGTAGATTCTACTGTGACTATAAAGGAGATGATTTCTGTGAGAAGGAAACAACTGCTTCAACACCATGGTTCCTGCACTGGTAAAGAGAACAATCCTCCCACACTGCTTGCCCACAGCTGTTGGGGGATTAATGTTTGCAAACTGTGTTGTGTCAGCTCACTTACTCACTTAAACTTCTCAGATTTCTAAGGTGTCAATCATGAACATGGAAAGCCTTTGCGGGAATCACTATTACCATAAGAGGATTGCAGTACATTTTTTTTTTTAAATAAAGGAATAAGCAAGCATATTTTCTATTTAGATTTGTAATAGCATATGATAGAATATTGCCCTTTGCCAAAGCTTGTAAAACATACAGCCGTCTAGTACCTCAAATGCTACCCTTCAAATAGTTTTTTTTCTTGGTTTCTTCTGTACTAAAACAAAGGGGCATGCACATCATGCTAACTTCTATGCCATTTCTACTTTAAAGAGCATCAGGAATATAAAATAACTTCTATTCATAATTCAGGACTATCAATACCTCCTTGCCTAAAGCATGGAATCACAGAATCATTCAGATTAGAAAGGACCTTTGAGATGACTGAGACCTACCGTTGACCCAACATTACCAAGCCCATCACTAAACCATGTCTGTAAGTGCCATGCCTACATGTCTTTCTCTTAAATACTTCCAGAGATGGTGACTCAACCACTTCCCTGTGCAGCCTGTTCCAAGGCTTGATAACCCTTTCTGTACAGAAATTTTTTCTACTCTTCAATCTAAATCTCCCCTGGCATAATTTGGCTCTATTTCCTCTTGTCCTACTTCTTGTTACTCAGGAGAAGAGACCAATCCCCAACTCACTACAAACTCCTCTTAAGTAGCTGTAGAGAGTGAGAAGGTCCCCTCCGAGCCTTCTTTTCTTCCCAGCTCCCTCAGCTACTCCTCATAAAACTTGTGCTCCACACTCTTCCTCAGCTCCATTGCCCTTTTCTGACACATTCCACCACGTCGATGTCTTTCTTGTAGTGAGGGGCCCAAAACTGAACACAGGATTTGAGGTGCAGCTCAACTGAAAACTGTGGAGTTATTACACAGTTTGATTTATTTATCAACCAGCAGCGGTTTGCAAACATGGTATCTGATTATTGTGCTTCCTCCACCCCTGTCTTTCATGGTGTGATGATTAACACTGGTGTGTACCTCCAGTCTTTCCTGAGTACCCAAATATTAACTACAAAGCCAATTATTGGAAAATAAAAGTCCACAACTAAATTAGCAGCAAACAAGACAAAACAGGAATTCTAAACCAGGTTTTATAGTACTCTACTCCATCATTTTGAGATGAAAGAGAAAAATCTTGCCAGAAGTACCTTGCTGAACTGTGGAAGAATATATAGCCCCATAGGGAAAGTATTTCAAGTGATTTTTACAACTTAACCAGAAAACCTGGCTGAGTTCAATAACACTGCTACTGAGATAGGCTTTCACTGCTTTGTTCCTTTTCTCTGAGGAAACAATGGCCTTAACCCCAAAGGTCTTTACTCACACCAGTGCTCCAACAGACTCATGGTACCATGGGATGAAGGCAGAGCCACAGAGGGCAGAGATGAAGATAACCAACCCCTTACTGAAGGGAAATACTGGACAGAAATGGGAGTCATAAACTGTTAGCGGTATGATACCATCCATGGTTATTTAAAACCCTGCTTTCCATTTCAGCTGGGTCAGGTGTTGTCTTTTTTGGTGGGAAGTTGAGATTTGGATAGCTGGCTCACCCTCCCTGTCTTTTTTACTTACATGTCTGTATTTTCCTGCTAGTCTATCTGTACTGGCTGGTTGTGCAGGGAATGGGGGAGGACCTGTTTGATGACTACCATCCATGTCTTTAACCATAGGCTAATGCAGAAGCTGAAAGGCAGTAGTGGCAGGCAAGACAGAGCTGGCTGACAAGGCTGTTCCCATTTTGAGCAAAATTGGAAACCTGTATTCATCATAAATTCAGGAAAAAATTAATCAGTCAGTGAAATCACTAAACTGACTACAGATCTGGATGGCTGATGGCCCAGTGGTGATGAAGATTGCAGACGGAGGGATAAACGCACTGTTCGTTTTTAGTACAGTAAGTGCTTCTGCCTTTGGCAGACTACACCATCACTCATCATGGAAACAGGCCTGAGCACGGAGTTCCTTCACAAAGTAAAGCAGCTGTGAGTGAGGCAGGATTTAACCATCACTTAAAGCACAGTTGAGTTTGGACGATGTTGTCATTCATTCTTATACTGTGCAGGCAAGGCCGTAACACTGTGTGCATGCAGAAAAGACAAGCAGCACTGGAAATGAATATGCACCTGCAGATCAGGTTTGGGCTTCAGGTTTATTCTGAAGTTTATTAATTTTTTAACATCATGCTTGCCACGAAGTCCCATGTAGTTTTCCTCAGTGTTGCTGCTCTAGCATGACCCTAATTCCTTTGAAACAGGTTGATACTGTAGTTGTCTGATGGCTTTGCTCAGATAATTACACCTCTACATTCACTCCAGTTCTTCTTGTGTCTTAATTTGAACAGAATGGAGTCATTTAGCACTTTGATTTGGAGACAGCGGGAGGCAAAAAATTCACTGCTCTCTCTGAATGTCTCTAAAAAAATATAAACCCAGCATTTCTCTTTCATATCTTAGTTTGAACATTTCCAAACCTGATGGTGGTGACTAAATAGCAAATACCATATTGTGGAAATATTAAAAATTTTCAATTACAGCAGGACGGGAGAAAGAATTGTTTTAGATTAAAATAACTAAAATGCCTTAGCAAATGGACTTATGTATATTCTCTTTCCAAGTGATCATTTAATTTAAGATCCCTAGCTATATGGAGAGGTTATGGAAAATGAGCTTGTGTGCTACTACAGTTAAACAGTTAAAGCCATTTTCTTCTGTTGAATATTGTGAAGAAGAATCACATCTCTTCTTCAGTGTGTCCAGCTGGTTGCTAAGTATGTATCTAAATTAAAAATATATTAAACAACAACTTATGGTCCAGTGCAATCAGGAAATTCAAGGGACACTGAAGGCACAAGGCAGATATAACACTGTTTTCCTGTGAACTGGAAATTGTCTTAATTATCCAACAGTGTCTGCCCGTGGTATTTTCAGTTTTCTGTTAAATTGTGTTTAGTTGCAGACCACAAATGGACTTCTCTCAAGTTTTACCTCAATGGCTTCAATATTCATGCTCCTATCCTTACAGTACATGGCTCTTCAAAGCCCAAAACTGGAGAATGGGCAAATTCTAAGACTGATCACAAGATGTGTCCTGAAAGTTAAAAATTGTTTTGTATGAATTTTACTGGCTCCAATGATGCTTTCAGGATAACGCTTCACAGAACCTTACAGGAATATCATAACCCATCAGGAACATCAATAATAAATTTTTCTCTCATGGGAACGTTACACCACCTGAACTCATTCATTATGCAGCAATAGGGAATTAGCGATTTTAGCAGGGACTAACAGAACAGTAATTAAAACAAAATCCAGTTTTAGGGAGTTTTTTTTAGTCACTTTCATATGATACAATGTATGGTTTAATTTACAGGTCTAATAATTAAGGAAGTACATAGTCCCTTCTTATTCATCACATGCATCCCTTCCTTTAACTTTTCTAGTTTCAGAGGAAAGGTAGGTTTGGGGTTTTTTCACTGCTAACCATTTTATTCTGTAAAGTTGGTGCTAGCAAGAACTTTCATTGACAAATTTTTATTCTAATTATTTCTATGTCCCCTCTCTCCTTGAATGTCATCTCACCTACAAGAAAAATGGTAATTAAGACAACAGTGGAAAATGACAACACTGTCTCTTCAGATGGTTCAGTAGTTTACTACCAGTAATTGGCTTTATACTGTAGAACAGTATCATAATTTTAATTGTCACTTTTCAACCAAGGCATATAATGCAGCTCTTCATAGATACATTAATGAATGTTTGCTGCTCCTTTATGGATTCCTGTATATTTACACTATCAGCCTCAGTAACAGCTGAGACTTACAGCATGCAGTGTACTTCAAAAAAAAAAAATTGACATGAAATACTTTTTCACTGAATGAAAGATCTTTTTATGTGAAACTACTCAGGCCACAGTTTTTACAAAACATCTCCAAACAGAGGAAGAAAAAAATAAACTAAGGGATTTATTTATTTCGACTCAAGTGAGTGACATAAAAAACTCTGATATTTAGTAGGTTTTACCACTGTGTTATGCAAAAAGGCCCCCTTTAAATATTTATATTTGGTCTCAGATTTCAAGGTTAAGGTCTTCATATAATAAACTCTTACACTTTCAAAGAATGTGCAGTTAAATAACCAAAACACTTATAATGTACATTCACAGTGAACAATAATTTTATGCTAAAGTAATCAGCTGGAACGAATGGGAGCTAGAGCAGTATGAAACTCTAGAAAAGCTATGATTAATCAGGTATAGGTGTATGGCATGTAACTATATTATTTGCATAAACAGTGGCATGGGAATTCAAAATCATAGCTCAAGAAAAGAGGTGAGACCACTGGAGGAAAAAAGCTGGAATTTACCCCCAAAATGATCATTTACCCCTGAACACAGCTATTGCTGATCAAGACAATAAAAGACTACATGCTTCTGTGGCTGCTGCAATACTTTTGTGTTTGTAACACCATTATGTCAAGCTTAACCACAAGCATTTTGATGTAAAGAAATAGAAGAGAAAAAAATGGGGAGCATAAAGAAGATAAAGGAGGGAGAAATGAAGAAAAGTAGCTATAGAAAAATTAATCTGTATTGCAATTCCACCAATCTACAGACTCTTCCTGAATGTTAATTATTGTTTGCAATGTTTCCCACTTACCAACATCAGGATCAGTGGCTTGGACTCTTGTTAACAAAGCTTTAGTGGCTGTATTCTCATAGACACATGCAGTGTAGTGATCAGATGAAAACACTGGTGGATTATCATTAACATCTTCTAAAATAAGATGGATTTCTGATTGGCAAAACCTGCCACCACCATCAGTGGCTCGGGCAACCAAGTTGTATGCAGGGATTTTCTCTCGGTCAAGAGGGGCCAAAGATTTCAGCTCACCTAAAATTGATCAAAAACAGCAGCTATTGTTATTATTGTAGCACCATCACTGATTCTAGATAGCTTAAGTGTCTCAAAAACATGTGTTTCACAGGAATAGGAAACAGAAAACAAAATCAACCTCTCTTATTCCAATGAATGGATTAAAAACTCACAGCAGTGTCACTCCCCTCTGCTCTGCACCCAAAAAAGAGAGCTGCCGATATGAGTGCAGGGATGTCAAGCCACTCATGGTGGCCTTCAACAGCCTACAGCTTCACCCATATGAACACCACCATGTTTTCCCAAGTTTGTCTTTCTGTTACTCTCAAGATTTATAGACATCTAGATGCAGAAAGACATCCTTTTAGCAGGGCCTGTTGCGATAGGACAAAGTGTCATGGTTTTAAGCTAAAAAAGCAGGTAGATTTAGACTAGATATAAGGAAGAATTTTTTTATGATGAGGATGGTTAAACACTGGCACAGATTGCCCTGGAAACATTAACTGGATGAGTCTCTGAGCAACACGATCTAGTTGAAGATTACCGTGTGTATGGCAGGGGAGTTGGACTAGACGACCTTTAAAGTTCTCTTCCAACCCAAACTGTTCTATGGTTCTATGATACATCTCTGACCTAACTTGAAGTCTGCAGGGAAACAAGAGGATTGATATCAACTGTTCTGGTTATAACATTCAATCTAGTCAACAAAGATGTCCCTCTTTCTCCCTCCTACCACCACCACTTTAAGTGGTCATCCACACCTGCCATATCTGGAACAACTGGCTTATAACCAAATGTAACCTAACTCTTGTTAAGGAAACGAGCACCCACTGATATCAAGGAATTAAAGCTATTAAGAAACATTTCGTTGTCATCTTACCATTTTCTGGATCTAAGAAAAATTTATTGTTCCCAGCACCATAAAGAGAGTAGTGAATTTCACCATTGGACCCGATGTCAGCATCTTTAGCACTGATTTTAAGAATGACTTTGTTTGATGGAATGTCTTCAGGAAACAGTGCTGTGTATGCAACCTAGAGTCAAAAACAGAAATGTAAGCTATGCTGTGACAGTATTTCACAGTCTTTGCACAGCCATTTTTTAAACAATTTGTAGTGCATCTTTCTATAACGGAAACAATTTTCCTTTATGCAACACATTCCTAGCAATTCAAGTAACTGTTAAGCTTTGAGGTGTCACAATAAACAATGCCAAATCATGACTCTGAATAGGGCTCATCTTAGGTGTTTAACGCAATACCATTTTTTACCTTCTGTTTATTCCATTGACATCCATGAAAAGAAAATTTTGATGAGTGTGCTAACAGAAACAACTGTTTTTATCACCTCATCAAGCAGTTTTGAGGGAAATTCAGGCTGTGATTCCACAGAGTGGTTCTTGCAATGACAGTAGTCCATCAGTGAAAATGCAATGATGGGAATTATATGAGTATATACATACACACACACACACACACACACATATATATATGTATATTCTGAAAGCAGTACCATTAAGGAACTCTGGGTTTTACTATGCCTTTTCTTTCACACAGACCTTTATATTGTGCTAAAATTAGTTCCCTGTATTGCCTTTCCACAGAATAAAAGACAGTTAGCACTCTGAAAACTGTGGTCAGGCCATACTGCATGCATTCTCAACAACATGAGAGCAAGCTACATTCTTCTGCCTTTTCCACTGCATCTCTGGCATCTGGAAGGTCCAGAAAAGCTGAAGTTAAACTGGATTGGAGGCATTTCAATGTGGCTTGTGAAAGGGGAGCATATTTTTTTCTGAGGTGCCCAATGCCACCTCAAAACACATCATTTGTTCTAAAGCCAACTAAAGGCCAACATGTACATTGCTCCTTTGCTAGCTTTATGAGACCATTATCCTTGAATCTTGGTTTCACAGGAATGCTTTATCCTGCTACTCTCCCAGATCACTCTAGATTCTGCAACTAAAACCATTAGGATGAAAATCAGCATCACCTGTGAATAACTGTAAATAGCAAGGAACACCCCCAGGGAACTCATCACTTTCAACACAGTGGTTGATTTCTGTGGGTGTTGGTAACTCACCTGTTCGCAAACTGGATTATTGTCATTAACATCAGTGACGCTCACTTCCACAGCAGCTTGGGTTACAAAGAGGCCATCTGTGGCAGTGATGTTCAGATAATAAATGTCTTGCTCTTCCCGATCTAGAGGCCTTTTAACATAAACCTTCCACTCATTCTGAACCAGTCCCAGAGCGAACTTCCCTTTGGGATTCCCTCCTGCAACAAGACAAGCAACATACAGTGCACTGGAGTGTCCCTTCAGAGCTCCCACCTGGTGTAAACACACAGACACATTGCAGAAGACCTGAACTAAGCAGCCATCATTTGTTTCACAGTGATTGGTGCTTCCAAACTTGCAGACTCGGGAGATCTGTAATGACATTATGCTCCCTGTGTATATTGCCCCCCCAAATGCCTTGTATGAAAGCGAACCAATAACTTTCAGTGGCAACAAAATCCATTTAGCAGAGCTGAAGATGATCTCTTGTTTAGTTCCCCATAAGGATAATCAAATTCAAACTGTGAACAATCAATAGTCCTCTCGGGCTGGTACAATTGTGTTTCCACTTAGTCTCGAGAGAGGATGTAATACACCGTGGCTCTTGTTACCAAGACAATTTCATTAGCTCTTGATTATGCAATCAAGGACTGGAAGGGGGTTCTATTAAGGAATCCTCTAATGAAAGCTTTATCATACAACTGTGCCATTCTTGTGCTTATTAAAATGCTGGTTTTTGAAAAAGTTTACATGACACAGGAAGACACATAAGTATTAAATAGTCCTAACAAGAGGTCATTTGAGGAACAGTTGGAAGATAAGCAGTAGAATTAGATCAAATGTATCCAAGAATGGAAGATGATGAAAGGAGTACAGGAGATAAAGCAGAAGAGTTTTTTACTGTGCCCTAACTCTGACACTGAACCTGGCAATGTTGCTCTTCCACATCATTAAATTGCCTGCTGACAAAAGTAGGTTGGAAGAGGGAAAGTTTTGGTCCACATTATCCTCAGGAGGGAAGGAAGGAAGGAAGGAAGGAAGGAAAGACATGTCACGTGCAGAAGTGTACAATAATTTAGACGGGCACAGTCATTAATTTTTCCAACAGTTATTTACTCTTTTATCTGAAATGGTACAGACTCCTGCATGGTCCATGAAGAAACACCTTCAATCACCCTTCTCTGAGTCTGATCCAAATCTTCTGTCAGACAAGACAGTAAAATCCTTTAAACCAATGTTATGACTTCACTAGTCAGCTCAGTCCCACACAACCGCTCGCTCATTTCTTCCCCAGTGGGAATGGGAAGAGAATCTCAAGGGTAAAACTGAGAAAATATATGGGTTGAGACAGTGTATCTGGAAAAGCAAATCTGTGTGTATAAGCATAAAAAGGAATTCAGGGCAGGTGTTCAGCTATCTCCAGGAAAGCAGGGCTCTGTCGCCCTGACAGTTACTTGGGAAGACAAATGCCATAACTCTGGACAACCTCCCTTCCTCCTTCCTCCCTCAGCTTTTATTGCTGAGCATGATGTCACATGGTCTGGAATATCCCTTGGGTCAGCTGGGGTCAGCTGTCCTGGCTGTGTCCCCTCCCAACTCCTTGTGAACCCCTGGCCTCCTCACTGGTGGGGTGTGGTGAAGAGCAGAAAAGTCCTTGACTCTGTGTAAGCACCGCTCAGCAGTAACTAAAATATCCCTGTGGTAGAAACACTGTTTCCAGCACAAATCCAAATCATAGCCACATAGCAGGTGCTATTCAGAAAATTAATTCTACCCCAGCCAAAGCCAGTAAAGCCAACTACTCAGTCTTCTGTGCCCAGTGTCTAACACAACCTTGGTCTGTAAAAACATATCTGAAAATTTAATAATTTAGGATAGACCGCTCTAGTCATAGCAAACTCATGTGCTACAGAAACTCAGCAAGGACATATTAAAAAGCATCATGCTGCTCCACTGGGTGCACTTTAATTGCAGCTAACCTGCTACTCATATTAAGTTTTCTCATGTGCTCTCCATGCAGGAATGCAATCTGAGAACTATTGTCCATGTTGCTCATGTTTAAAAGCGGATTAGAACTATTAAGGGAATGAATGCTTATTCTTTCTTGAAACAAGTTCAACAATGTCAAACATGCTAGCGTACATTTGCTTACAAACTACTCTGAGTTCTGACACGTGTCATGGGATCTGTCCAAGCTCAATAGAAAGACCAGGTTCTTAAACCTTCCCCTCTTCCCCTGTAGTTACTTGCATGAAATGACTGCATAACTATTAGACAAAAAAAAAAAAAAAAAAAAAAAAGCAAGGCCAAATTTATTTGCATTGACTTTGCTGTCAGGCTGTCTCTGATGTTGCTTTTGCTGTCACAATTAAGTCAGTTCTCAGCAACCTTTTTAGCAAAATAACAAAGCAGAGAAGGTCTGAACTTGAAGCTGAGCTTAAAACCAAGCAGAAAAAGTCTAATGTCCATTTCATATCTACTTTCTACACAAAAAGCAGAAAAGAGATCAGAGGCTGTAATCTATGCTTCCTTCATTAACTACCAGTGACAAGATAGACTGGTTTCTATTTAATATGAAAACTAAGTCAGCTGAGTCAGGCTGAGCAGATCTTTCTTGTTAAGCGTCACCATTTGTGCTAGCTGTGACTGTGCCAAAAAAAGCAAGTTGTAATCAATAAGATTTCCAGAAAAGTAGTCAGACAGGCATTATAATTATAAAAGATCCTTGAATCATACACAGCACTAAACTGATATATCAAATACAGATATTTTCTGTTGATAGAAAACCACACAAAACCAAGCAGTTTTCCCACTGATTTCTATGACAGTCTGGAATAACCACCAGAGAACACATTGTTTAATCTGTTGTGTCATATAAACCTACATTGCTCCTAAAGAGGGTTACACAGAGTGTTGATGTATACTACAGTCCAGATCTGAATACAACTCAAGGAAATGAGAATTTGTCCACAGACTTGAGTCTGAATGTGACTTCAAAGAAGGCAGACCCCTGCTGATTGACGTTTAATTCCCTTTATTCAGTTCAACACCAGCAAAAAAAAAGCCTAACTCTCCTTTATTAAGGGCTGTAATCTTGTCACAGTGAGTTTAACGTTGTAAACCATTAATAAAAATGGTCTTCAATGTTCTTATTTTGTTTCATGATATTAATCAGGCTTTCCTCCACACTAGTCCTTATGTAAAAAAAATGATTAACTGTCCTGACCAACTAGGAAGCAATACACTCAAGGTATGGGTATCCCATTGCTGAAAAAAGAGGAAAGGTAAAATCTAATTAAAATCAGCTGGTGGTTTTTACAGCTAGCAGTAACACTACCTTGGAGCAATTTTAAAATCACTGTTGCTTTGTTGCTGATGGAATGGCTTTTAAATGACACCTAGGAATTTGGGGAATATGCATTAAAAAAATGGTTCTTGGGATCCCTTTTATTCCCCTTTACTCCATTCGAAAAGTAGCAATTTGAATTGCACAGAAACCTGTGCAATAAGCAGCAAACATGTGTAAGAGTTTATCTGCATGGCTTTTTATTAGTGCGTTCATCTTTCTTTTTTGCTTCTTAGGACTGGCTCTATACCTTGTTGATGGAAAGTAAAGGTGCACTGTAAAGTGCAACAGAAATAATGACATGTAAGCACTAAAATACTGTCAAGGAAATATTCTTAAAAATGGAAAGGCAAAAAAATCCACACCGTGGCCCAGGAAACGTTTCCTAGTACTTATACATATGTTTTGATGCAGATCTCATTCTGCAGTGATTAATTAACTTTTTCACTAATATATGCAAGCAGACTCAGTTTCCTAGGGGCATTCTAATTAATTAGTTTTTCGCTCTGAATAATGTAGCTTTTCTAAACGGAAGCCTCCTGACTATGTGTATTAATGTATTCTTTAAAATCTTTTGGCAGTTTTCTTATGTTCTACTTTGAATGTCACAACAGCGAAGTGCTAGCTACACAAAACACTCCAATAACTTTTTAGAAAGGCTTTGAGGCTAAAAGAATCAGCAGTATCTTTTATCTTTTGTTACTTGAAGTTTAAATAATGCTCTGTCTCCCTCTCTCCCTCCCTAGTCAGCAAATAGTACAAAGCCAAATCAAGCTCAAGTTTAAGTAAAGAAAGAAAACAGCCAGATACAAATGAAACGCAGAGAGACAGTGATCCAAAATAAACAAATCCTGACACACATCATTACTAAAGCACACACAGAGGCCATTATAGCAGCTAAAAGGGAATGAAAAACTAGAAGCCAACAGTATCAGTTTTCACTGCAATGTCCCCATCTGGGAGGGGGAACTGAATATTTACTAACCTGTTTATTTAGTTTCTGTCTTACATTTATGCATTTATTTTGATATTTTCAATTCCCAGTTAGAACTCTAGGCATTTGCATCACACAAAATCAATAGGTTTATCCTTACTCCCAGTTTAAGATGTGTGTTTCCTGAGCTTCTGAAATGATAAACCCAATCCTCTTAGCTTTACTATCATAAAATTGCAGACACTGTTCTTCAGCCTGCAGCATAAGGCCTACCCAAACACAGAAACATCCATTTCTCCAGAACTCCAGTATCACAAATATAAGATAAAAATAAACAAAACCCATCACTTTGCTCATACTGGGCAATCCAGCAAAAAGCCTGTGTACAATACCAGTTCTTTCTTCCAAAACACATTGTCCATCTCCCTTGTATAAGCTGAAACAAGCTTGAAGGCTATTGACTGTCCTTAGATGTTATGTTCCTGATGAAGCCTAATTAACATCACTGAGGAACATAAAACACTTTACCAAAGTCTTGGCAACTAACATTTTCCTAGTTTGCCACTGTTAGATCTCAGTAATATCTGGCTGGTTGTTGGTTGGCTAGACATCAGAAGAGCCATGGTTTTAGGCAAACTACCTCAAATGATATAGGCAATGACCTCAAATGAACTTTCAAAAGAAAACAAAAGAAACTACTGTGCTCCCTAAGTGCATCTGTGTAATCTGTGCTTCCTATTGATTTTCTATTAAGATTTATATATAGTACTTTTGCTTTGTGAACATCTTCAGCTGCTATCAAACTACAAGTAACAAAGGGTAAGTGCAAAATTTCCCCCCCCCCATCAAATGCAAATGAAAGTGGGTTTGAAAATGGCAATTACTTGCCAGTAATCATGGAAAACAATCCTAAACTGAAGGAATCCAAAACAGAATATATATATGCCCACCAGAGTGTATAAATCCCTTTTCAAAGTCAACCAGAAGACTGCAATAAGCATTTGTATTTCTCAAAAGAGCATAAAGGACTCTTCAGTGATTGCATCTGACACAGAACGTTTATTTCTATCATCTTCTAAAGGATGATTTTTTCCATCTATCTTCTGTGTGCTACTTTTCTGCTGGTGCATTTTCACAAAGCTGTTTTTGGTGGATCCACATGTCATTCTCATAATTTTTCTTCTTTCTTTTTGTTAATGTCTTGTTTTTCCCCAGAGTTTGTTTATTGTATTCACAGAAGTTTCTATGGCTCAAAACACCTCCAGAAAGCCAAAGCATTTGAATAATTGTCTAGCTAATCTGATTCCATGAAACATTCAAATGCAGTTCCTGAGATCAACTTGAGGTAAAGTGTGAATAGACTATTTTATTAGTAATACTATACTTTAATATGTTTTGACATTTAAATCAAAAGAACATAATTTCCCCTTGTGCATTTTCCAACCTCAAATCATATATTCAAAGGCAGTGGAATTTCTGAGACTATACACTTTAGTAATTGTACAGTAGGACTTAAAGAAAGTTTTGGGCTTTGACATCTAATGTTTTCAGAAGCTAATAAAACAGCAAAATATCTGACATATTTTGAACTGCGACAGAAATTAGGGTACAGAATGATCTATAATTTTTGAGTCACATGTGACAGTTGTTATTCAAAAGTCCAGTTTTTGCCAAATTAACAGCATAGGGATGTGAAGAAAAACATCATTATGTAACTAAAGGCATAATTAACTATAAGAGATGGCTGCAAGACTTCAGAACAAAGCTAATAATCATGGTGCACTAACATATCTTTGTTACGAACATAAGGGTTTTCTTTTCCCATAGTACTTTCTGCACTGGGATCCCCAAACTCCTTCAAATATCCCAAAATTTCTAGGATGAGGAACTACTTATTTACTTTTACATATGTGGAAACTGGGGCACTGGCAGCTAATGCACCTTGCCCAAGGCTTCTCAATCCTGACACCTACCCATAAGACTACCTTTGCCCCTACTTCTAATATCCTACAGCACATCACATTATGAACACATAGCCTTTGCAGACCTTTAAAGCAAATCCAAACTTTCATGTAAATGGTCAGAATAAATTTCTGGTTACTTTAAAAATGATGCTACTTCTGATGTGTAACATCAGGCAACCTATGGCTAACTAGAGTATCACGGCTCTCCCTACACACTATCCCACAGCCATTTTCAATTTGATAGCTAACAAAGGGGTAGGAGCCTTATGCTCCACAGCAAAACATACAAACTTCCCATTAGTTAAGTAATTCTTGCCCACAGGGTGCTTCCTACATGCAGTCTTGTGTAGGTCTAATCCCATTCAGTGAGAGAAATGTGAATTCATCCAATAATTTGGTTATTACTAGGTAGTTAATATTAGCTCTTGAAATGCTAAGGGAGGCAGTGACAAAGTTGTTTTCTAACAAAATCTATTGGACAATGAAAGATGGAGACAGAAAAATAACTGCAGTACCCCATCACTCATAACATACTCACACAAAAGCCAGGCTGAATCTAGGAGAAAAGAATGATAATAAGTATAACAAAATAGAAGAGAGCAATATTACCTACTTTGAAAAATGTGTTAGTAATGTAATCAAAATTGCCTTATGCTGTATATAACAATACATGTCAGCTAACCAGTGCTTCTAAGAATATTACTATTTCCCTGGTCAGGAATCTATGCTGATAAGAAATGGCATCCCCTCACCCAATAACATAAAACTCACTCATACCCCTACTGCTCCCAGCCCCAAAGAATGGTGTTTCAAAGTGGCTCCTGCATGCACTTCCTATCTCAAAAAGAGAAATGCCATTCCAAAAGAAAAAAAAATGCTTGGAAATATAAGGATTTTCTCTCTAAGAATAAAATTTTCCTCTTCCCTTTGTCAAAAAATTAAATTATGATGGTTTTCAAGCTGACATATCAATTATGATCAGTTGATGGGTCACACTACATTGCTCTGCAGCAAATCATTAAGCATTAATCTTGGAAATTTTAGAGAGAATAAAACAGAGAGACACACACACTCCCTTTCTCTCTTTTCAGTTTTGCTGCAAATTCTGTCCAAAATAAAAAAAGAAAATTCAAAAACAAAGAAAAACATAATTGTCTCATTCATAGATAATTTAGCTAACATTCACCTAAACTGGACACACGCACAGTTCTTCAGTAAGGCTGATTATGGGAAGAAAGCATGTAAGTTGTTTCTTACCTGTAATATGGTAGCTAACCTGCCGATTGACATCAGATGTGTCTTCATCCCAGGTGCTAAGAACAGCCACAACTTCCCCTGGAGGGTCACTCTCCTTCACTGACCCTCTGTACACCTCGTGCTCAAAGACAGGTGCATTATCATTTATATCTGTCACAGTAACTGAGACCAAGGTGGTTGATGATAAGGACAAAGCTTCCCCCAGATCTGAGGCCACCACTGCAAAGGTGAAAGCAGAATCTTTTTCATGGTCCAAATCCTTCAGTGTACTGATCCAGCCACTGTTGCTATCAATGGTGAATGCTTCTGTGATCTTCTCCAGCTCCGAGTCCACCGCAAGCGTATAGGTGACCTGCCCATTTGCACTTGAGTCTGCATCAACCGCTTTAACTTGCATAAGTTTTGTTCCTATAGGCATCCCTTCCATTATTATAGCATCATAGCTAGCTGTTTCAAACACAGGCTTGTTGTCATTTACATCCAACACCTTCACCTCCACATCCACAGTCAACACAATGTCTACTTTATCTAACTGAATTGTGGCTGCAACTTTGAAGTGAAAAGCAGGATTTATTTCGTGGTCAAGTCTCTTATCCAATTTTATGAGCCCTGTGTCTTGCTCTATGATGAAAACCCCGTCTTTGTTGTTTTCAGGTAACTCACCATTAACTGTGCTATACAAAGCACCCTGATTGGGCAAAACATGCAGAATGTCAATAGTACTACCTATGAGGGTGTCTTCTGCTACTGTAAAAGAATACTGGGGTTGAGAAAAAGAAGGCAAAATAGTCTCTGGGGGTAAAACATGGATGTAGACAGGAATGAGGGAATGCTTTACAGGAATGCCACCATCCACTGCTTTGACAAAGAATGACAGAACTGTGCTTTTAAGCTGATTAAAGCTACCCTTGGTGACCATCCATCCATTATCTGGATCTATTTCAAGTAGATCAGCTACTGAAACGGAAGCTTCACTATAGAGAGAATAGGTAATTCTGGAATTGGCTCCATCATCTGGATCTACTGCTTGTACTTGGGTCACCAAGTAACCTTTCCCAACATCTGCTTTGACACTTGCTCTGTATTCGACCGTCATAAATTGAGGAGCATTGTCATTCTCATCCACTACTATCACTCTCACAGTGCAAAACGTAGTCCTGCCACCTCCGTCGAGGGCTCTCAAAAATATACCGATATCACTTTCCAGTGGGCTCTCACGGTCTAACCTCTCAGTTGTCAGAATCTGCCCATTGCTATCAATCAAAAATCGGTCCTTGGCAAAGTCATTTATTATGGAGTAGCTGATCTGGCCATATACACCTGAATCCCCATCTGTTGCCTTCACATGGATTACCTTAGTTCCAGGAGCAGCATTTTCTCTAACCTCTGCAACATAAACACTCTGCGAAAACACAGGGCTGTAGAGGTTGGCCCCAAGTATCTGAATGTGCACTTGAGCTGTGCTGGTGAACAGCCCGTCTGACACAGAGACATTTAGGCTGTACATGGGCTCCATTCTCTGTTTGCGATGGTTGGAGAGGGTGATAACACCGCTCTTGCTGTCCATAATAAAACTGGTCCGATCATTTCCTGATAGGATGCTGTATTCCAGTCTGTCAAAATCAGAGCTGTCAGCATCAGAAGCTTGGACACAAGTCACAAAATGACCACGAGGTGCCAGTTCACTCACATATGATTCATATATTAACTGGTTAAAAACTGGAGGATTGTCATTCATATCCGTTATTGAGATACTAACAAGAACCTCACTGCTTAGTGGTGGGAACCCATTATCGGTTGCTCTGACTTTCAAGCTGCACTGCTGTATGAGTTCATGATCCAGCATCCGTGCTGTCAAAATTAGGCCACTGCTGCTGTCTATATGGAAATAGTCAGTGCTGTTAAAGGTGTCCTGGACTATCTGATACTGTACAATCTTGTTATTGTCAGAGTCAGCATCAGTAGCAACAACTTGCAGTACAGGAGTCCCAATCAAAGAAGCTTCGGACAAAGTAGCATTGTAAGCTGACTGATCAAAAACTGGAGGATTATCGTTAACATCATTAATGATCAAGTCCAGAGTGACCTCAGCTCGAGCACCAGTGAGGGCATCACTGGCTCGCACTGTCAGCTTGAAAAGAGAATTTATTTCATAGTCCAGTGGGCTGATGACACTCAGAACTCCAGTATCAAAGTCGATATTGAACTGGTTATAGGGATCTCCATCAACAATGATATAAATGATACCTTGGCCTTCTGGACTGGTTGCATTTATGCTTAAAATTGGCGTGTGCATTTCTACATCTTCATTCACGGAAGCTGTATAGAAGGGTTTGTCAAATACAGGCATTGCTTTGTTAACAATAGTAATGGGGAGCTCTACTGTTGCAGATAATGATGGGTTACCACCGTCTTTTGCAAGAATGACAACCAAGTACTCTATATTAGACAAATCAGAATTGAAGGCTTCTTTTAAAGTGACGCTACCAGACTCTCTATCAATTTCAAAATGTCCATAGTCTTCCTTCAGGAGGTATGACACGTCACCATTTTCACCCTTGTCTTTATCAATAGCTGTCACTCGATATATCAGGGTACCAGGTTCAGCATCAACTTGCACAGCAGCATAGTATGGAAGCCCTACAAACACTGGGGCGTTGTCATTTATGTCCTCAATGTAAACTCTCACCACTACTCGAGCGACGCGAAGGTGATCTAGTTCACGACTTGCTTCCACCACCAGCTCATACAGCTCCTGTTCCTCTCGGTCAAAGGGGATGCCAGTTGTCTGAATGACTCCTGAGGTGGATTTGATTTTAAATTTGTTTCCTGGGTTTAATATGCTGTATTTCAAAGGCTCGTTGAGGCGGTTACCAACAGCATTCACCACAGCGATCTTTGTGATATTGGTGCTGTTTTCTGAGATAGAAGTGGAATAAAAATTTTGTGTGAAATGGAGTCCACTATCCATGGCTTCTTTTACCAATATTGTCACCATAGCAGTGCTATAAAATTTCCCATCTGACACTCTTACTATTAGCATATAATGGTCTTTGGAGAGACTACTGTTTTTAATGGTGAGTACCCCTGTGCTTGAATCAATTAAAAAATGGTCCATATTGCCTTCAATTATACTAAATGTTAGTTCAGGAGGGATCTCTGAATCTGGGTCTGCAGCCTTGACTTTGAGAACCTCAACACCAATATATGTGGGTAGGAGCAAAACTGTCTCAAATACAGCCTGGCTGAAGACTGGTGGGTTGTCATTGACATCAGTTACCTCAATGGTTACTTCAACTGGGCTCTCTGCTGTAAGCTGGGGATTCCCACTGTCTCTAACATGAACATGGAAATGGAAGTGGGCTATTGTTTCATGATCTAAATTTGCAATTGTTCTGATTGCACCTGTGCTGGAATCTACCGTGAAATACTTTTTTGCAGTAGATTCAACAATCTGGTAGACAAGCAAAGCATTCTGGTTGCTATCAGCATCAGTGGCACGTATCACGAGGGGACTGTTATTAGCACTCCGGACTATGCTATTTACAGGAGCAGCTTCGCTTATGCTGCCTGAGTACTGAGAGAAGAGAAAAACTGGTGGGTTATCATTTTCATCAACAATCTGAATGTTCACTGTGGCATTTGATGCCATGCCTGCCATATTTGTTGCTTGCACGATGAGCTGATAGGAGGAAGCACGTTCATAATCAAGGGCCTTTTGACTTGTGATCACTCCAGAATATGGGTTTATGGTGAAGGCTCCATCAACATTGCCATCTTTAACCTCATAAACTAACGTGGACTGACTGATTGCAGAGAGAGAGATGACAGAAGTACCAATATCCACATTTTCATTAACCTCCGCTTGGTATTCTTTTAGAGTGAATTTAGGGTGGGAGTTATCTGCCATCGTCACAGATATCCGCACAATTGCTGTTGCAGACAGTGCTGGAGAACCTTGATCAGTCACTTTGACTGACAAAACAAACTGTCCCATTGTGGTTAAGTCTGGCTCCTTGAGTAGTGTAATGATGCCTAGAACTGGTTCAATCTTGAATGTGTTTCCCGTATTTCCTAAAACACAAATATTGGAATCAGATTAGAAATGAAATATGAAACATTTAAAGATAACTTAAACCAGGAGCAATTAGCTGCATTTGTTAAAGGCAGTTACTAAAAAGATCCAACAGGCCCAACGTAAAAGAATTCTAAAGGCACCTCCAGACTTTCCTTCTGAAGATCGGATATTCAGTAGACGGTAAACGCATTCAAAGCATCAGAAACTCAGGTGTTGCTATCTATATCTTGATTCTGAGTATTAAAATCTGAGCAAGAGCTGCATGTACATTACTCCTACTGAAGGAAGGAAAAGCATCCCTAAATTATAGAAATTAGTCAAATACATGTACACCTAAGGCAAAGAAATGAGATCAGAGGCTAACAAGCCAATTACATGACTAATGGATAACAACTCAGGCTCTTAATTGAATGGGATATTAAGCAACCATAGAGGAGATTACAGTAGTTCAAGACTCAAAGAACTGAACATAAGAAGGTTAAAGTGGCATTTAGAAAAAATAAAACTGAGCAAATACCATACAAAAGAGATTCAAGTGTCTTGTGGCACAAAGGTTTATCATGTGATCTCTGAGGAGAATGAATCCAGATGAATAAGATTTAGCAGAAAATGTCATGAAATGCTCGTTATAACATGAAACCAAGGATATCACTGACTGCATAAAGGTGAAAACAGTGAGTTTGGATCAATGACCTTCTTTGGGGTCCTTATTTCTTTCAGGTCTTTTTGCCAACCTCTTCTTCAGCAATACAGACTCAAAACGTTTTATATGCATCCTTACGCTATAATAAAAGATCATCTTCATTAGGCGAACCATGTTTTGTTGGTCCTTTGAGTGCCTGTTTAAAGTAGAGGATGCTGCGTATGTATAAGCATACGGACTCTTTTTCTGAATTTGATTCTAAATACAAACAGCATATTGAGTTACAGTGATTCCAATCATTATAACATGTTCCCTCTATTGCAATTCACATCTTAAAATCTAGAACTGCTTCTAATCTACAGCCAAGCATCCATCCATGACCTGGAGAGAAATATATCTCAGGTGATAAACAAGAGATTTTCTTTTAACTGTGATTGGTACAGGTGCTGTACACAGAGCAGTAAATGTGAAAACTGTAGCTGGAATGCCAAATACATGGAATCCTGAATGAAGTGAGGTAGTGTGAACTATTTTTAAGATGTGATTCACTATCTGTTGTAATTCTGGGGCAAGGAGGCTAATTTAAGCTACATATTCCTGTATGTAGTTCAATACTGGTAGTGGCTTTCTATTTATATCCAGCCTTTCTGATCAGTAAAGTTTACTCTACTGGCTAAACCAAAAACTGTGCTTTTCACTGAGGAGCTGAAATTCTTCTAGAGCTACAAATTCTCATAAAAACCACAGCACCTGTCACATTTACAGACACTACAAATGATGCTGCAGTTATTTTGTCAGCGCTTGCTAATACTAATAATTTTTAGCCCCTGACTGCTTCTGTAAGGCCAGAGCTGGTTCTTCTCCTTTAACAATTTCTTATGAAATTATACATAAACGACTTTCTTTACCAATTACTTTCTTCAGATATAAGATGAGGTAATTCCCCTGAATGACAGGGTTGTGTACAATCTGAATTCTGCAGTTAAAATCAAAATTATCAACAGCAGATTTTATGGATCATAGAAACTACAGCAGCAGAAGACTGAATTTTGATATATCTGAGATTGGGACATCCATGGACAATGAAACTGGAGGAGTGTGGGGATCACAGTAAACAGAGGTTTCAAGTCTGACACTGCAGGGAGAGCTCATGATGAAACAGAAACAGCCTGTAATGAAAAACAGAGTCTCTAGAAACCATCTAACAGCTAAAGCATCTTTTCTAATCATAATATTTTTCTGTCTGCATCACATATGATTCTATTACCACTGTAATGGGAACCATACTCCTAACATGTCAGGTTGCTCTTTACATTGTGGTAGCACCTCTATATGATTTGGTTTGGAGCCCATAATAGTAATAGGGTGTCAAGAAAAAGCTGAGAATAGCCTTGAAAAACATTGCCCCAGGAACCTAATCCGGTCTGCTCCGAGTTTGTTCTATAAAGGCACAGTGTTGTCCTGCCTGGGCATGTGTAAAACTTCCCCTGATCTAAGATAGTGAGAAATAACTGGTAAGACCAAATGCAGTGCATAAAGGAAATACTTGTTTTGGAGTGCTAACATCTTTGTTGGTCTAATTGCAACACTTATAGGTGCAAAAGACCTCACTTTCTGATTTGCTGAATGTACTCTCCTTCCACAGGGCATACAGGATAACTACAGAAAAAAAGTTGCTTGGGTCTTCTCTAAGCATCAGGTTGTATCAGCTTATTTTAAGGTGTGAGCTTCAATTATATGAAGTTAAATCAGTATGACATTCTTAAATATTAGATATTTTATTTCATTACTTTTTTTTTTCATTTAGCCTGTTCCTAACTGATGTAAGCCATTGCAACTGTAAAGAAAAGTCTTTACAATAATATAGGGACAAATAGTGATACAGTAGGATCAGAGCCTAATACTGGGAAAGGCTTGTGATCTGCTTAATATGAGGACAATCTAAAGTATTTGTGACCTCTTTTTAGGGAAATATAAATTTCAAGTTTTGTTTTTATTACAGTGGAAAGATTCACATTACTAATAAAACCCTTCAAAAGTAGAAATGAAACATTAAAGAACCCAAAGGTTACAAATTTCTACTTCCTTCTTTCTTTTTCCAGGCATCCTTCATGTATATCTCTTAATGGTTTATCTCAGAGATAATTCTTAACTTCAGATTCATGTGAGCCAGAGAAACTTACACTCACTTGCATATGTGTTAGAGATAATGCAAATGTTTTATTATCATGCTGTTGCATCAGCAGAGGAATTTCTTTTGCTGGTACAGATTACATGGCAAATGTAAATATCTAGAGTTTAACAGCAAAAGCAATTTTAATCTGGTGTCATCACACCCTCCCTTAGTTTCAAGAGACCTTGTGCCATTAAAATGCTATGGCTGTGCTGACAGAAGTTTTCAGCATAGCCCTGGTCTTAGTCTCCATGCTCCTCTGATCCAAATACTGGCAAAGACACCAGGAGATACCAGCTGTTGTGACATATTTTTATGGAGCATCCACTGTGTACTAGTCTGAAGCCAGCACCCTGAAAACAAGTCACTGGCTGCAATTTTGAATAACTATGTTCTGTGATGGCTTTGAACCAATGACTTAGAGGTAACAGGCTCTGTAGCCATCTAGTGAACATGAATCAGTCACAGAATCACAGAATGGTTGGGGTTGGAAGGGACCACTGGAGGACATCTAATCCAACTCTCCTGAAAGTGTAGGTGAGCATGCTCACCTACAGCAGGTTGCACAAGATCCCACCCAGGCAGGTTTTGAATATCTCTGGAAAAGGAGGCTCCACCACCTCTTTGGGCAGCCTATTCCAGAATGAAGTTCTGTTCTGCCAGGTTTTGGGTATAGTAGTTTCAAAATAAAAAAAAACCAAACAACCAACAGAGAAGGTGTCTCCTTCCCCCAGCTGTAGGGGAGAAGGTAGACCAAAGAAGTTTGTGTGTCAAGGCGGACCACTGTCAAAGCACTGCTCTGCATATGGCATGAATCATGACGCTTCAGCTTCAGCCTCTGTTCTAACCTGCTTCAATAGTGTAGATAAGCTCTGCATTTTCTCCTTTGTCTTTGTCCAAAGCTGTGACCTGCAAGACTGCTGATCCAACTGCTGCTGATTCAAACACTGAGGCTTCATACAATGGACTGGTAAAGTATGGACTGTGGTCATTGGAGTCTTCCACGTTTATAATGACTCTGGCCAGGTTTCTTCTATAAGGGAATTCTTGATCTCGGACCTATAGAACAAGTGTATAACACACAACTTGATATTAATCTAGTAAAACTTCACAAATATTACTCATCTGAGTGTGAATACTACTGCAGTTCTATTTAACACAAAGTAATAAAAAATCCATTTGTCCCAAAGAACAGCCTAAAATATATTTCCACACATGATGGCAGACAGTAAAATTAAAGGACAAGGAAAGAGCTTAGGTATTTCTTTTTTCACTTATGAAAAAATGCATGGCAATTAACCATCATGACGTGAATTTTTGAAGTGGCAACCACATGACATCTTAAATTTGGGTTTAGGTTTGCAAGAGATACTTTTTTTTTTTTAATACATGCTAAATAGTAATGCATGTGCCTTGCCATTACCTCCTTTACATCATAGAGGCATGTCAGTCTAGTGCTTGTAGCTGCCAGTGAACTTCTTCATTATTATGTACGTATATATCTTTTTGAAGATGATGGCACCAATAGCAAAAAGAGTAGGAATTACCTTATGAAGTGCTGATAATTGACAACAGAGGTATAATTTATCACAGCTGTCTCAACCCCATACAAAATACCTCAGCATCGCTTCACTGATAATCCTGCCACCACCATCCCCAAAAGTTTGGTTCATCTTAAATAGAGCAAAAAACCTATCAGGTGGAGATCAAAACCAAGCATCAGGAAACTACCTCTGTCAGCCATGTCTCTTTGTGATTCAGTTTATAGTCATTTCTTAGTCTGCTCGCCAAAGGACTTGCAGCTTTTTACTCTGTGAGCTGAGACCACACTCAGCTCCTCCTTGCTGCATCTCACAGCAGCGTCTGCTTTCTAAGGTCCCCTGGCAAGATGCCCCTGTACTTAACACGTCATGAGTTGTTCCATGAGTTAAGTGGTTAAAGCAAATAGCAGAGTACAATGCTTAAACTAACACTGTTTTTTTTTAATTAAAGAATAAAAAATAAAATATATCTCCATAATATACAATTTTCACTTGAAAACAGGCAGACTTATGTTCTGTACCTTAGGCACACCAAGCAAAAATTGGTAATTATCTTTTTTCTGCATACCCAAAGATATGGTAATGTAGATAAAAGAAAGCTATTTTGTATATCGACAGTTTATGTACTGAAATAAGTCCATAAAAGTAAGCTATAAAGGAGGGTTGTATTCAGAAAGGCTGTAGCGTTCTCCATGGCAAGAAAGCAGTTATCTCCCTGTGAATAACTTCTCAAATAATGTTAAGCCTCACTTCAGAAACTCTGAAAATTACCTTGAGGGAGAGGACCAGATGCCAAGAGATTAAATAATTTCCTGCTTGCTCTCCCTTAAGATAGAAAATAACATTCTATACAATGAATTCACAATAAAGTGAAATAAGAAAAAAGCTGAAATAAGAACTGTAAAATAAATACACAGCAGGGCAGGCAAGATGAAATTACTGACTACTTACTGCTCTAAGAGTCCTTTGCTCATGCAAAGACTAAGGAATGTATGCACCCGAAGCAGCAGTGATTGTGTCCTGACCCAAGTGAATATTGCATTCTTACCATGACATTAAGGATGTGCTTATCTTGAGCTTCGTGGTCTAGTCTCTCAGCTGTATAGAGCACCCCAGTGCTGGGATCAATTCTGAATTTTCTCATGCTGACTGTATCAATGCTGCTGTGAATAGTGTAGCTCAACTTATGCTTCTCATCTCTGTCTATAGCTTCAATTTGCAGAATTTCAGTATCAGGGAGGATGTCCTCTGAAATGGTGACATCGTAACTTGGCTGAGAGAATTCTGGGCCATTATCATTGTTATCCAACACTTTGATAAGAACCTACAGTTAATAAAAGAAAAGCATTCAAAGTTATTGAAGTCTAGTCAGACTACTGAATAACACCTAAAGAAATACAATTTACTTTAGATGGTTGACGATGTTATGCTGCTGTATGGTGGGACTGAGAAACATTATTTAATATTAAATGCTTATTGTTTGGATCAAAAAACATAGTAAAGATTTGACTTTGGAGGTAAAATATTCCTAATAGTAAGACCTACTCAAAGTCTGACAAGTCTGTATTTGCAGTATCTATAGGCTGGAAAATATTTCTACAATGGTCATAGGAAAGGCTTTGTCCTTCCTTGTAACTGCTGTGGTTACAAGAGACTTCTAGAGCTCTTATGGAACTTCCTTTCCCCTCCAGTATTAATAAGGCTTTAAAAGAATCCCTTTGATGTTACTTAAATCCACCTTTTATACAAACAAGATTCAGCTGAATCCTGTGTTGTTTTCTGCCCAACATATTGCATTGGGACTTACTAGCAATGTCAAATTAAGACAGCAGTGGAGACTTCAAGTTGCTGTTATACCTTAGATTGTGTTAGAAACAGTGACACTTCATGAGATGGAAACAGGACATACCACTTCACTACCATGCAAGCCCACCCCACACAGTTCAGTACATACCACCACAGACAGGTAACCTCCACCAAGGACAGGTAATCTCAGGGCATTGATGACAAGGAAGGATTATTTTTTTGTTTTGTTCTTGCTTTGCCTTTGCCAGTGATGGCTCTCCTTATTGCCAACTAATTCACTTTCCCCTCCAACACATATTTGCCTTCTTTCTGTTGCAGTTTATTAATGGTATAACTGCTAAAAATGTGAATGAATACTCTGCTGTTTGCTTCATGTCTTGGTATTGACCCTTAAAGAAACCTGGAGAGGGGGAATACAGCCCAGGGTGCTCCTGTTGCTGCCTATTCCACCCATTTCTGTATATTACAAGCTGACTCTGGTAACTAATAATAATCACTATTTGGCAAGCTTTGCCTTTCACAAGTTATGTTATGCATGTTTGGCTCTGATGACATTTTGTAGTTTTCACCATTGAAGAAGTCACTCCCTGGAAGAAATATGCTTTCCAGACTTTGTATGCCATTATTGCTTTGGGCAGTGTGGCAGCAAAACTCTTAGCAAACTGCATAATACTGAAAGCTGAAATGTAAAGGGCTGACTCTTTTCCAGTGCTGGAAACAAGTATCTTTAGCAGAATACGCCTGTGAAAGCACACGTCTAATTTTACAGTAAGTGAAATGGAACAATCTTTTTATTCAAAGGCCTTGAAATAAGAAACAGTCCAATGAATGATATGGGAAAGGCCATGCACAGGACTCTTCCTTTAGACTAGGAGACTTGAGCCATCAAGATATTTTCTTTGTTGCTTTGAAAAGTACTTGGAACTTTTTAAGCAATTATTTTATTATTTTGCTTGATTAAGCCCTGTTCACCCATATGTTCTTAACAGAAGAAAAATACAGCTATACTTTTACTGCAGTATTGCACAGATGCTGGCCTCAGAGAGAAATGAAACTTTAGATTTGCATGATATGTGGAAGGGTTTGCAGAATACATTACCACAAGGAACAAGAGCAATTGTAAGCAGCAGTCATAATGAACTAGCCTGGGAACTGTTTAAAAGACAGCCGAAATAAAATGCTCTGTAAGTTAAATGGCATAAGACTTCAACTGCATATTCCATATAATTTAATTTTCATCAGATTATGGTACACCAGAGTGAAGCAGGGCAAAACCTATATTAAGTGATGCTTCAATCTTGGACAGATACCAATAAACTTTGGGGGAAATACACATTGCTGGGCCTATAATAATGATGAAGACTTACTTAGCTTTTTATACTTTCTTTGTTGCTATATAATATATCAAGGTGTGTTTCTGATCTGACTGAGGAAAAAAACCCCAAAACCCACAAACCTACATCATAAAAATATGTCAAGAAATTAGTTGTAACGTGAAAGAAAGCCTGAGGAAAAAATTAAGGATTTCAACTCTAATGGGACATAGAGCCAGTGCTGAAACAGTTTTGTTAGTGTAAGGAAGAGACACTGAAGCAACATGAGTTGGGGATAATCTGATTACCAGTGTTTAATACTTACAGACATCTTCTCAAGCAGTTTTGATACCCTCAGCCCTTGAAAGGTACCACTATAATAATCCATGGCTGGATTATTTTACTGCCGCACTGTTAACTCAGATAATTTATTTTTCTTTTAATTTATGGACGAAAACTTTGTCATGTATCATTTTAGATAGTCTAACAGAGAAGTAAAATCTTTTCAAATGCACTGAAAATACCAAGAGTGTTTGGTTGTGCTGTGGCTAGCACAGTACAGCCTATCTTGAACAAGTAAGCTTCCATGTGAGGGACAGGCTTGCATCTGTGAATTTTTAAATTTTTTAACGTTTTTTAACAATGTTTTTAATATCGGTGTGTGCGAGCTCAAGCTATTCTGGAAGGAAAAAAACCCCACAACTTACAGATGCACATCAATGTGTCTTAAAATTTACTGCTACAGAAGTGACATGCTATTTTATTTGTGTGGTGTCTGATCACCCCAGTGCAGGGGCTCATTTCCCATTATATCTAATGCATTTTGGGATCACTGGCAAATTGAGAAAGCAGAGGAGGGCAGAAAGGTTTATCCATCCCAAAGCTTGCACTATGACTGTGCAAGCCACAGCTCCATGATTTATGCCTTCACTAGACTGCACAAACTAAACAGGGTGGAACTGGATCTGCATCAGAGGCTAAGGGTAACCTATGAGACTATGGAAATTACAGTGTGGATTCACAAAGTAGCATTTCTTCCCACTGAAAAAGGTCTAAGCTAATGCCCTGACACACATGATTGTGCTTAGGGAGTGCAAGGCATGGAAAGGGGAAAAGATTAAAAAATTAAGGTCCTCATTCACTGTGGTTATCAAACTTGCAGAGAGCTATGCACTTAAAATTGCTTTGATCATTTCCAGAAAAGAACTTATTTTTCCTTTTTTTTCCTTTTCTCTCACTTCACATCTACTGTAAAACTGATCAAGTGCCTGTTTAAGTGGCAGGCACCTTCCTCCCCAGAGACAACAGTATTTTAATGATTTGTCAAGTGATCCACATCGAAATACACATTATTTATTAGTTATTCTGCACTTCAACAGCCAGTTCCATTTGGAGATGGAAAGCGAGGCGTTAGAGATGCTAATCAATAAAATAGTCATTATTGATGACAATTTCTTCTATTGAAGCAGTTAAGAATATTTGTAATTTTTGTCAGCTGTCCCTTAAAATCCCCAAGACTCAAATGTAATTTTATCATTACAGTCTCTCCTTTAATAGAGGGGTGTGGATTTTCCTTGCAACAAAAGAAAGTTAGATTATGTATGGGAATACTGATTATTCAAGCTCTGTTAAACCCAAAAATGGAACTCTTTAATGTTCTTAAAAATTGAACTGTCTTGGGAGTCACTTGAAACAAAATCAGGTAAAATAAAATGGAATTTAAGTCCCACTTTAAATAGATATTAGTCCCTCAGTCCCTACAACATTTTTGAGGAGTAAGTGACCATTATCCCCATACTTTGCCCAGGAAAAGACTGTCTTGCAGCAAGGTTAAATGACTTACCAAAGCCACAGAAGTGCAGCAGCAAAGCAAGGGAAGGTGTTTTAGGTTTATTTTTGATCCACACCCCTTTTATTAGGTCACCATAAAATGCCACCTTTGTTATGCATATTTCTTGCTCCAGTAGGATTACTTCTAGTAAGGTGTTACTTAAAAAGAGGGGGCAACCTTTACCTTTAATAATGGACAAATGTGACACTGACAGGAACACCAGGCTCATAGAAAACCTTATCCTACAAACATATGTGAAGCTGAGTAAACTGAATGCCACCAGATTGTTAATATGAGGAAAGTTTCTCAAATTCATTTAATGGATGCCAAATTTAGGCATAAAATCTTGGTACTACTGGCAAATTTCCAATGACTTCAGAAGGGTCAGCACTCTGCTCTCTGAAGTCTTAAGCTTTAGCCAGCTGGTAGCACATCTTTCACCCCAAATCAAGTGTTATACTACTGAAGTGACTCAACGACTCAAAGTATCTGTGTACTTTAATACTTTCTACAGACTTACTTCCAAATGGAAGACATGGCAAGAATGAGCTGTGTTGCATAAATAACCTTTATTACTGTGTAGGTGCCTGGGGTGTTAAGTAGTGACAACACCCATTGCGTAGAATCAAAGACAGGCTTTAAAAGTTTTCCAACACATCCCCGAAAGGAGATGAATGGAAATGTTTACTATTGGTTTGCCGCCAAGTAGGGATTCCTCTTTGTGGAGGGCTGTGCAAGATTACTGACTGAACTACTTTTCATTGACAAACATTAGCTTCAAGTCTTTTTTCCAAGCTCAAAAAGCAAACATGCAGCAAAGCAGTCTCTGCCTGGTTCTCCTTGAAAGCCCATATATTTTCCAGTGCACCTTGGGCTTCAGAAAGGCAGGCTTGCCTCCTTCTGCTTCCTTTGTGTGAATCCTAATTTACAGTCCGAACAAGCACCTCGCTATAAAAGACTTGCTTCTCCCTGCTCACTTCCTATTTCCCACAGTTAAGAAGAGTTTCAAATAAAGGATTCACGGGCCTCCAAGCTTACAAATTAGCCACAGTAACACTCAGAGCATTAGCAAAGACTTTGTACTCAAAATGGTAAGTGAAAGGCCTAGAGAAATACAATCAAATTAAAGCAGGACAAAACCTAATGCAGGAAGTCTCTCCAAAGCTGTTTTTAACGTCACCCATAACAAATACATTTGGTTTAGGTACAAATGTATTTCAGTGAAAACTGGGTAAATGCCAGCAACTGCTTTAGAGACATTTGAAACTGTAAGAATCTGTTGGCTAATTGTTTGGTCTGGGCACCATGTTGTAGTACAACCTATTAAGTGCCTGAATTATTTAAACTCAGGTTGCACTTCTGTACAGGTTTTGAAACCTATTTTGATTTAATACTGCTTTCAATAGTGTTACCATACAGCTTTATTTTCTACTTTCTGACAAGTTGTTCACTCCCCCAAACCTCAACATAAAAATGCAGTTTCCCTACCAACTTCAGTGGCCAGTTATTTATACTTTACTCTGCCCTTTGTGTTATGTTAGAACAGAAAGAAAAATCTTTCTTCCACAGGCAAGGCAGTGCCAAGATTGCTGGATGTGACAGAAAAAAAAGTCAAGGATGGGTCAGTTCTGGTTTGGAGGAAACATTCAATTGAGCAAAACTGAAAAACTGAATTGAAACTTCATGTCTCCTTGTCTGCCATAGGAGAATCCACAGCCCAGAACTGCTTCTGGCAGGCTTTGATGTCTTATCTACATTTTGGCCATGTTCCTCTAAGAAGAGCTTTTCACTATTCAGTTAAAAGAACCACCGTCACTCAGAGTGATTGATCAGCTCCTCTCTGTTAAGAAAATTTTATAAAGAAAAGGTGTTCTCTGAAGGGTGAGACTGAAACTCACAGTTGAAGGTCAATCCTCAGCACAAAAATAAATAAAAGCTTGGAAGTAACAGCCTTCATTCTCTAAAGCATCTTTTCTATACCAGTTAGGATGATGAGAAAGAAGGAGAAGGTAGGAAAATAAGCAAGAAGTAAAACTGTCTTTTTCATATAATACCATCACTGCAGGAGGCTGTTCTCAAAAGAGGTAACAATCTGCTAGGACAACATTCTCAGTAAAAGTGAAATATTATCATAACTTAGATGATTGTTCAATTGTTCCCCACTGTACTCTACTTCTGTGGGTATTTTAGCAAAACTCAACAGTATGTACTACAAATAAGTAAATAAATGTCATTCCTCTGTTGTGCTTGTAGGTAAAAGATTTGAATTGTTCAGTCAAAAGAAGGATTTGGGATAAACCTGACTCGTGACCAGGACAATTTCTAACATTGCACGGTCAAAGTTAGTAAAAGTTGTAAGTTGTGGCAGGAACAGGCATCTAGGTGCCACTACACTGATTTCTTGCTGGGAGAGTCCTCTCTCTGCTCAAGCAAGGGCAAAAGACCGCTGTGCAGCCCAAAGGGAGGCGATGGCAGTGGCAAGGAGCAGAGTCTCTGGCTGCTGTCCTGGCTCTCTCTCTAGCACATGGGATGCAGAAGCCCTGACCCCCCTCCCAAAGGCCAACAGCTTGCCTGGCAGCTGCAGGAATTGTGCTTCCTGAGGATTTAGAGCAAACACACACCTTCAGCCTTTAACAACTGACAACATGGCCTCAAGCAATCATAGGAAAAAGGAAAGGGAAAAAAACCAAAGCTCTCCCTGGCTAAGTCAGAAGACTTAGCCATCCTAGAAGTTAATTCCCATGACAGAAGTTTTACACCCACACTCCAAATACATAAATCAAACAAGTCAACATTTGTTCATATATACCCTCCTCCATCCCTTTCTAACCCAACCGTGCTGCCGGCACAGCTGGTGCTCAGCTGAACAGGCAGCATAGTAAATGGCAGCGGCTCAACAAGTCCTGGCACTTTGGTTCTCACTTTGGAGACTGTATTCTTTTTGGAAACCTTGATCATCCCCAAATCAATCAGGCTTTCTGTTACATAGGAAGTTCGTAACTTTTTTTTTTTAAATATTCCTCTTGCCTCTTTTCACAACAGTCAACTATTATTAAAACAGATGTAACTTTTAAATCCAAATGATCTCCTTCCTCTCATGGTACAGTAATGAAGCATGTGCACAGTTAGGCATGAAGGAAGTGAGCAGTTTAGCGGAGTTTAAGGCATGCAGGAACATTGCTGAAGAAACTTCCCCAAGTCCATACCAGGGATCATGTTACCAAAACAAAAATCTTTGGCATTTTTATGCTGTATTTTACCACCTCCCACTATATAATAGACAAATGGCCAGGAGGAGATAAAGGAAAACAGGTGGGATGGAATAAAAAGTAAGACTGTTCCATTTCACATGGTGATGATCAGCTGTTTCATAATAAACCATCATGGTTTGTGGGGAGCTTTATACTATTTTATTGTTAAACAAGGGGATGAATTTATATAATTGTTCTCTACCCACTTCTTCTTCTACCATATCTTCCTGCAGCTACAGTTAAAAATGCATGTATGTGCATAGGACGAAATACTTACAATGTTGTTCTATCAAAACTCAGAATAAGGCCCCCGAGAACCATCAGTAGATGCTATTTTTTTCTATATTATATTTTACTTAAACCTATCAGTTTGACTTTTTTTTTAAATTATTGTTTCAGAAGAAAATAAAGATGAGGAAGGTAACCAAAGGCTCCAAAGTACAGCCAAAAATACAGCAGGAAAGTTTTATAAAATGGAGCGATAAATAGGCAGGCCATAATTCTGTCAGTTTTGAGATAACAGTTGCTTTTGAAATCTCTGTTGTGAAGACCAAAAGAAACACATTCACAGATACCCTGACCATAATTAAACAATTAAGCAGTATCCACATTGAGAAAAGGAGGTGGAGGAAAGAAGGGTCTGTACCCGCTAGTGATTATCTAATGCTATACTATTTCAATATGAAATGACAATCTTACATTCCTAAGTAGGTCACATCACTGTTACAAAGAATGCTGAGGCTTCTTTTAGAATGCAACAGCTTTACTGAAATATGTTTTTACCATATGTTTTAATTAAAAATATAGGGGTTTCATCCAAATAGGTTTTGAGGACTGTTATATGGGTCAATTTATTAAATCAAAAGCAGCAGAAACAATAAACATAATAGCCATGAGAAATTACTTGTATCTAGCATGTTTGAAATTCCCTATGCTTTTTAATACTTCTTCTGCTGAAATGTTTACAAGAAACAAAAAAGGTCATGTTAGGAATTCAACACCATCTGAAATGTGGACTGAGAGCGTCGCCAAGATTAAAAAACAAAGAATAACAAAAAGACTACTCAAGAGTTGAAGAAAATGCCTTATGGAACGGGAACAAAAAGAGGTCAGTCATTCTCCTTCACCTGTCTACCAGAAGACTGGAAGGTGATTTGAGCATTGTGAGTAAATGCTTCCTGGGGAGAAAATAGTGTTTTTTAAGGAGTTCTTTAATTAAGCAGAGAAAGGCATAACAGGGAATATGGCCAGATATTATCAAGCTTAAAATAAGGGATGTTTTTAGCAGAGATGCAATTAATTCTGAAACTAACAGGTAAAACAGTGGATTTCCCACCACCTAATTTACTATCAACCGATGTTTTCTTAACAAGGGAGGATTATCAGGAGAAATTATCAGATATTTTAGGGCTGGTTATAAACACGAAATCATTGAGAAAGCACTCAATGATTTAACACTCTCTTAGGAAAGCTGGTGTTGTGCCTCAGTGAGTACAGATTTACATCTGAACTATTTGAACAAAAAGGCAAGGTAAAACAGAAGCATCTGTGCGTGCATGCATATATGTAAATATAAAAAATGTTCAGGCCTTCCTTCTGCATTATAAAGAGGCAAAGAACATCACAAACCTATTTTTTTTCCATTTACACTTGAGCAGTAACTCAGATGTAGAATTTCAGGCCCTTAGAAATCCATACCCCACAACTCCAACTCATATGGAAGGATTTTGCTGTTTGAAATCTGCCTGGTGTCACCTGGATCTGAGAGTCCCTGTCCCTGTGCCATGACCCTGACCATGACCCAACTCCAGACTGGTTTCCACTGAACAGATACCCAGATGCTGTGTCAGGGTCTCTCCATCAAGGATGTGTCAGAGCCAGCATTACCCCAGCCCTTCATGTTTATCTGACCTGACTCTTTAATTGATGAAAGGCACCGAGCCTGATAAGCAAGCCTGGTTTTAAAAGGTTCAGTGGGGCTGTTTTGCAGAAGACAATGTAATTGCAGGCAGTGACACTAAAGGAGAGATCCTCTGAATTTTAAGTTTTGCCTCTGAACAATTTCTTCTCTGAACAATTGATCTGTGTCCCACATTTGGGTCTTGGGAGGATGAGAAGTATAAAGTCCATTTATACAATCAATAGCAATATTCCCCAACACCACAGAAGCACTATTGTATTTTGGACCATTATGGGGTGACACAATTGTCAAAATTTATGCTTTGCTGCCTGTGATAGGGACTCCCTCAGCTGGAGGAAGGCAAATTACTTTCATGTGAGCACGAAGAGAACAAAAGGAGAAGTAACACTTTGAAACCTTCAACAGCCGATTCTTTGCAGCCAGATGGAAAGGCTCTGAAAAATATCCCCTTCTATTAGTTATCAGTGGTCTCAAAGGATGAGGTTTTACTTGAATGGAAAAATTATTAAATTTTATAGCATATACATTCCACTAAAAAATTAATAACTTGCCAAGAAAGGAATGTGATATTCTACCTGAGTCGTGGCAATGTTTGTTCCATCGGTGACCTCCACAGTCATATTATACATTGACCTCTGTTCTGCATCCAAGGGCTTTGCAACGACAATAGTGCCCACTCCCTTCTCCGCGTCGAAAGAACTATCGTAATTCCCTCCTAATTGTTGCACAAAAATACAGTTAGATTAGCCATGTCTGGAAAATTTCCATTGAAAAGTGGACATATCTGTTTACTGGCATCCATCTTAATGGTTTGCCTTAGCATACACAGTATATCTAGTGATACTTCTTTGTTCATAACTCATTTATATTTCAAAGCACAGTTTGTATATTGGAAAGCAGATATCACTAAAATGCATTGACAAAAAAAAAATCTAGCAGTATATTTAAGTAAACCATAGTCAAGTCTATAAAAAGAATCAAATGGCCATAAGTCCATAAGATGTGTGTCCTTGTAGTTTGGATAATGAACACGAAAAATTATCTTTTTGTATAAAAATCATTCAAGGGCGTTTTATTCTACAACTTTTATTTTTAGGAAATTCTCACTGATGCTTCTGGGTGCAAAGATCATCATCTGAGTTTTTAAAAATTGCAATTCTAATCAATTTTTAAAATGCAAATAGAGATTTGTTAAGTTAATATCAAGGAAAATGATAATTGCTGGCAGCAAAGGTCAAATTTTACTAGTCTTTTAGGAATTATTCAATAGATCTGACAGGATACACATCCTGAATTCCTTTCCATAAAAAAAACCTTGCAAAGCACTGTTCTAATACTAACATCCTCTTTTCCTGTTACACACTGAATGATGCAGCAGTGGGAAAACTCTCCTGAGTCTCAGGTGAAAGACCAAAAAAAAAAGTCTATTAAAAAGGAAAAGAAAGCTATAAATGATTTGAGATTGAAGAGTTACAAGATTTCTCACCCACGGTTACAGTTTATAAATTAGAACCACTCATTATTTTCAAAAGAAAGCACACACTCCCTGCTGCTAAGCTGTTTCTTATTCACTCATCTATAAAGTGTCATTTACTATTAGTTGAGTATGAAATTTTTGGAAGCTGCGGACAAGGAAAGGTGGAACACAACACTGTTGACAAACGAACTCTTGAGGTATATTCATCACACAGCAAATGCAATGTCACTAGCTACGTTCCCTGACAACCCAGTTCTACAAAGAGGAAAAGCCTTTCAAATCACACTGGCTATAAAACTTATGTAAGCTTCTCAGACCTCAAGATGAGGTCCACAGATAGAAAAACACTCATTCCATTGACTTTGCTGTGATGCAATATTTATAGAGATATATGTGTGAATGGCTGGTATTATCATAGAATGGCTCTCATTTTATGGCTGGGGACAGAGAAGAGAACAGGAGAGTCTCTTCTACTCTCCCATCTGCATGGTTTGCTGACTAAAAAGTGGTCTTATTCTCAGAAGCAGTCATGAATTTAGTGAGAGGAAAAAGGTTTTGGCATTCAAAGAAGTTGAAGATGAGGAGGAACCACAGCAAAATCACAGCCTCTGAATTCCTTAATGTGAAGAAACCCTCACTACTACCTCTTGCACAGGCCATTGCAAAGAAAGAGTAAGCTGGAAGAACCACTGCTCTGTCTGTATTTGCCTTGGAAGCCATTCAGGCATTGGGAGAAGAAAGAGGGAGGAGGAATAAAACTGCAGGTAACCACTGCAGAGGAAAGGCAGAATTGGTGAACTTGTGCCCACTGAAATCATCCAAATGCAGTAGTTTCAGACATGCCACCAGAGTTCCCTGTGCTGAATATATGTATATACGTATATACAGATCTAAGCCTAATAGATGCAGTTATGGTTCTCCAGGAAAACACTGACACTGGATCTGCTGTGATTTATGGTGGACAGAGACATTTCTTATTTCCTACCCTCCTTCGGCAAGCCCAAATTTCATGGTTTTCTCAATTTTTATATATACATATAAACACTACTGACACTGGAAAAAACCAAACATAATTGCCCTTGACATTTAAGCAATAGCAAGGTATTTGGACATTGATCATATCTTCAGTGTTCTTTAAAAAAAGGAAAAAAAAGTTAGTCTAGAAGAAAAAGTTTCTCTCCCAATTAATGTTTTAAATTGATTTACTTGAGAAAAATTGCACCATGAAAACCTCCTTTGAAGAAAAGAGTTTGAGATTCATGCAAGGAAATCTCTGCTGAAATGAAGCTAGCCTTGGGACAGTAGGCTCTTTACAAAGAGTATGTTTCATGCTGATAATCATGAAAACAAAGTGGAAGTCTGTACTTCAAGATGCTTAATAACCATCTTAATGAGCAATCAAAAATTATATGCTATCAACTGGCTTACAATTCCAAAAAAATCCCCTGCCTTTAAAACTTCCAAAAAGTAACATAGAAGGATTAGCAATAGATGTTTTAAACATCTGTTGGCTCAGAGCTGGGTTCGCAGTCTATTGCAAATACACCAACTTCGTCAAGCTGTTTTCATTAAGTGAAGTATATTCTTCCCCAGCATAAGAATTGAATCCATCATGTGAGTTTTTTATACATTTGTCACATCTTCCAAAGTGGTCTAGTGACAAATTAATCTTGGTTGCCAGCCACCCCAGTCTACACCTGTAACTAACCAGGCAATGCACTTCATTTTACATTGAATCGTTTTCTATTAGACAAGGCAGAAAGTGCATCAAACACTGAGGCAGAGATGGATCAGAGAGCATCCTGCTGTGAGATTTGTGATTACAATCTATTTTGGAGTGAAACCCTGATTTATTCATGATTCGGTATGGTACATTTTAACACACCATGGTTAGATGAAAAACCACGCAGATGGCTGAACTTCTGGGAATAATGTCTGAGATACTGGGTCCTGCCTCTCATCTGCAGTATTAGAGGCAGTCTGGAAAAAGTTTGTACTGCTCCTCAGCTTTCATATACACTCAAAATAGGTCCTCAGATGTGTTAAGTCTACACAAGGCCTACTGTGAAGCACCCAGAGAAGCATCCATCACAATCATCTTTGAAAGATGTATGGGTGCTGGAGTTGCACGAAGAGACAGATAAAATTCTTGTGTAAAAACAAATAGGAATCTTATCTTAAAAACTCTTGCAGCTGGGAAATCGTAAAACCACTACCTTCCAAAGCTGCCCACGTTGAGGTTGAAGGGCTGAGTTCCTGGGAGGTAACAGCTGAGAAGGTGTTGGCTTTTGGAGTACTTGAAGTTGGTTTTTGAAAGCATGCTGCCATGTCTCTACCACTCTTTTGAAGTGAGCTCGACTGCAGTGCCATAAGCTCCCACAGTATCAATTTTACTACTGGCCATTTAACATTTTCTTTGATCACAATCTTTGGATGAAAGAGGGCTAAGGATGATGGCATTTTGTTCAGCTGCTCAATTTTATTAATGTGAATTTTTATTACTTATTCCATTTTCCAGAATATGGCACATGTTTTCCTTTTTATTGTCCACTAAACCTTGCTTTCAGATACAAAACATGTAGAAGTTGTCTTTGTTAATGTGCTTGCAATTGCATTAGGAAAGAAATATTTCAAATTAAGCTAATACATCAAGAGTTCCTCAGGCACTTTTGGAATATCAGTGATGAAGGCAAGATGATGGAACTGGCAAGTTTGCTAGACAGGATGTCCTGAGAAAGCATTTTAACACTGAATAACCACAGAGAGATGTGGATTGGCTGTTGTCTGTAATACCATTGCAGGCTAAAACGTAATGCTAATATATCTTCAATACAGATTAAAGGCTTTCCTTAAGATACTCTGATTAGACTGAAGTGATTAGAGTAGGGCTTCATGAAAATTCCACATTTACTTGCAATGCCATCTTTGGATGAAAAGACTTATCATGGTGGGATGATAAAAATTCATGCAGAAAGCACTTTTTCTCTCTAATTGACTGTTAAGATTCCCGAAGTCATCTAGCACAGACAGTTACGTCTACACTTTGGACACCTAAAGTTAAGTGAGATGATTTGCACCCTTACTTTCTTGATGTTGATCTCAATGCTCTTGCATAAGCCCTGGAAGCATTAAATTTTTAGAACTAGTAATTTTTTATGTTATCTGAAAGCATGTTATAGTTCATATAGGATTTTCCAATTCTAGCTGTTATCCGGACAGCTGTAGAAACAGTCCCTGGTACAAAAGATCTTATTAGCTGGCCCTCAACTATGGATTTTTAGAACAGCCCCAATTTTCAATTTAACAGATAGTATAGTACACTTAAGAAGATCTCTTAAAATCGAACCGAGATAGCTCTGAGCCAACAGACTATAGGTTGGGTTCTTGGTATAGAGATGGTTATATTTTTTGGCTGAGTCTGGAGTGTTTGTTCTTAGCTTATTTCTTGGCTTCATAGTCACTGTAAGCATATTTTTTTTTCTGACAAAAGTCCCGTGTGCTTTGGAAAGAATTAATTTTCCTTTTAATAAAAAAGATATCTAAAAATCCCCAAACCATTGTACCTTGCAAAACTAAAAAGAGAGGTGCAATGGACAGGCCGAGGAAAATGTCCTGACCTGTTAGAAGGGGTTTCTAAAGGTCAGCAGGAGAATTTGCCTAAGGCAAGATACAGTGCAAATCTTAAGTTCCCACAGAACGTGGGCTCTGCATCTCTGCCCTTTCGAATTTCAGTGCTGGGGGCTTTTAATTTTCAAACACATTCCTCTTATACTGTATTTTGCTGCAAGCAAATAGTTTTTTTGGTAGCACTTTTCCTAAATGTAGATTGTTTTGGGGAAGATGCTGAGCTTCCCTATATTTCTGTCAGCTGCTGATACGCAGTTTAAGATGGGATCATGCTTCTGTGAGAAATTATTTTCACCTCTGAGAAGAAAACTTGGAGGACTTGTGGGCAAATGAGTCCCATGTGAGGACTTTTTTCCATCTTTTCCAGTGGAATGATCCAGAAAAGTGGGATTGAATACACATCTCAGACATATTTGATGACTGTGGAGAATGACTTGTTCAGTCTTAGATGCAAAGATGGATCACACTGAACTCTGTAGGACATCCCCAAATCAAATACAAGCTAAAACCTGGCAAGAGTATTCCTTCATTGGTAGATAGCAAACAACATACATACTTCATGTTCAAACTTAATAGAGCCAGGATGTACTGAGATCCTCACACAAGTCTCATTTGGCCTACCAGGCCACAATGGACAAGTGGAAAGAAGAGAAATACAGGAGATGATTTAATTTAGAGAATAGTCTCCTAAACCACATTTTCTCAGGGCAGAGAAGATTCTTACTTGTCTTGTCCCAAAGTGAGCTAACAGCAAGAACAGTGATGATAAATTGGGCCAATTGCTACAATTCTCACATTGCTCAGAGCAGAGAATTAGAGCAAAAACACAGAAAACTAATTCACCCTGAAATCAGAGGTGAGTCTAAAGTACCTCTAGGATTTTCAGAAAAATCTGCAAAGCCAAAATTTTCATTTCTTTTGTTTTCAAAGATGATGCAATAAACTTAATAACTGTCTCAAGAAATAAAAATTCATCTACAGATTTTGTTAATCATAACAGTAAATATTAGTAATATGACATGCAAATATTATTCTTCTATGTACTATATCATGCTAAGAAGAAGAAAGCAATGCAGATTGAATTTTCAGATAAAACTATTGTAAAGAGAATCAAAGCCTTGAGTTTGCTGCTAAGAAGCTGAAAGCAAGGGCATAAAAAGCAGAAAAAAAAAGCAGAAAGGTATTTTAGATAGTTCCGGAGAAGATTATTCAAAGGAAGCTAGGGAGCTACATGTTTTTGACATTAATGAAAATTTGCAACACTGTGAATTAAATGGACAATTAACTAAAATTAATAGATATTGAAATTATTGCCATTTAAGCACCCTTGGTAAAAAGTTCTGATGTGCTTTCAAAGTTTGGCTGCCCTTACAAAGGCACAGGCTGGGGGAAGAAGGAAACATAGAGGGAGGACTGTTTGGAAAACCAGAGAGATGTTGTGCAACATGCTACTTAAGCAAAAACTAGCACCATGCAGCTTAGCTCCAGTGTCAAAGTAGTCATCACACCGTTCCCACCACTAACAAAGGGAAAGGCAGAAAAGGATCAATTTATGTGGGAGAAATAAAGGTCTCTGACTTATCTTGGAGTTCCCACTGAAAATTAGTTTCTCATAAATGACTGAATAAATTTAACACAACTGAAACAACCTATCTTTCTGGCTTTCACATTGCGGGATCTGCATGAACTGAGACTGGTGTTGAATGCAGTCTAAAAACAGAAAGCGGGTATGGCATCTCAACTATTCCCAATTAAACAAACAAAAAAACAGCTAAGCATCCTGTCCCTCTCTAGCCATAAAGGGAAGATGATCTCGCTGACTACAAGGCAGCTCTTGGAGCTGATTAACTCAAAACCAGTTACTTGAAGTGTATATAATTTAGGTGCAAAGTTGGGCAGACAGAATACTATATAGCCAAACTTCATCTGCCCTCCATCCTCTTTTTTTTTTTAGGTGGGATAAAGTGCACGTTATGCATTAAAAAAAGAGATCCTCTGGAATTCCAATGTCCATTGAGTTTGAAAAGGTCATAAAGATAAAGGTCAAGCTGCAAACTCTATATTAAACCGTGCCTCTACAAAAGCCTTCAGGGTTTTTGTTGACATTACTGTGAACTATGCACGGAGGTTCTGAATCACAAAATACCAGATGGAGCAGGATCAGGTCTAGATTTTACAGCAGCACAGAAACCATCTCTTGCATCAGCAGTCCCATACAGCTTTCCATACATGACAATTAAATTCTACTAATATCCCATGTCTTTCATTGGGCTTTTCAGAACTAGATCGCAATGTTCCCCAAAAAGGAAAGTGTCAACATTTTTTTTCCCCACATGTTGATACTGAGGAACAATGAGAAAAAGTGGTTTTTGATACTGACACTAAATAATGGCAGCAAAGATAATCTAAATACACAATGTTCTTTTCTGTGAAACTCTCAGGGTAAGTTTTGTCTTTGCACCTTGTATGCCAAGTGTCTGGAACAACAAGGTCTTCTGCATGCCCAGGATTGTTGGCTATTCCTATTAAATGACAAACTAAAGGTTTAAATTTTATAATGCTCTCCCTATAATCCCTGTTTGTTAGGTAAAAGTGAAATATTATTATTATAAGGTGTTGCTTGATTGCAAGTGATTCTAATGATGTAAAAGAATGCAGTGGTAGAGCAGGGGCATCTCTAAGGGCTTAACAGATACAGCATTTTAATGAGAGTTGATGAAGTTGCCATGGAAAGGACCAAAAGGAGTCCACCAAAAGGTTCAAACACAAAAAAAGGTGTCAATAACATCAAAAAAGATGTATTTCTCCTGGGACAAAAATTAAGGTCAGTGAGAAGGGAATGGAAATGTAAACATCAGCTAACAGACTGCATGTAGGATACTGAAGCAACCGAGGGAATGGAAGGAAAACTATAGGAAACATATGCTGTCTTTCCCCAGGGACTAGCAGGAACCCTAGAACATGATGATAATAGCTTTGAGTTTAATTTTAATACAGTTGGCACATCAGAAATCATGCTACAAATTCGAAGAGGAAATGTCGCTGTTTCTGTCTTTCATCTGCACAAATTGGCAATAAAGGGTGGATGAAAACAACTCTGAAAGACCCTTTCTCTTGTGGTCCCTGTCCTTCCTGTTGGCTAAACCCATTTGCAAATAGCTCTGCTGAAATGAGAGCCAGGCTCAATCCCTGTAAATAAAGACTGCTGATGCACACTTTCCGCTAAGTCTGTGGGAGAAGCTTTTTGTTTCTCTAATCTTTCATATAGTATTTGCTTTATAACCCTTCATTTAAATAACACCACTTTGTGCAACAGGCGCTCTTTTACATCCAAGGGTATATGAACATTACATACAAGCATCTGCAAATATTAAGAAGCAAAATAATTTAGCAAGGGAAATTCTCACTTTGGAGATGTTAAATGAGTTACTTTAAATGACATAACCAAATCAGCAGCAGAAGTGGGAAAGAAATGCTTAGGAACACTGACTCACATTTCTCTACTGCAACCAACCGAGACCCTTTACTCCCTGTCATTTTAGCAGCTAGTGGCATTTCCCTGTGATTTTAAGACTTCTATGGTTTCTCCTCCATTTTGCTAAGGATATTTATCCCTCCCTATTTTTATAAGGAATTTGATGTAAGGCAATTTTGTGGTTGAAATCTCACATCAAAACACATTTCTCTGTTTCAGCTTGCATTCAAGACAAACTTTTGGTGGCTCCATTTGTAACCCATATGTTGAGGCATTCCATTCTGTTTCACAGTTAAATGGATGGCACTGGACTGTGAAAAGTTTGAATTAATTATTTGTGATAAACTGTGGAAAATCCGTGAATAAAATAATAATTGGACACAAATATGGTAAAAGCTGTCATAGAAAGAAATGCAGCACAACCATGTGTCGCATCACATCCTGTCACAGGCACTTATGAAAGATGTAATATAAATTGTCTCAAAAAACTTGCAAAAATAAAAGGCAGCCTGGATAGCTGTATTTTACCAAATGTGTTTGCACTAAGGGTACCTTCTGTTGAACAGTTCTGCCCACAAGCTGTCTGTAGAATATAGAACATCTCTCGAGCATGCTTGCCACCTTGAAGCAGGGCAGTCGGAAGCAGAAAAAAAAGAACAGAATGCAGAAAAAAAGGTGAAGAAAGAGAGAAATGAGGGACAGCAAGTCTAAGTACCATAAATACATTTAGAAATGAGATTAGCAAAGTATGACAATAGAATTTAAATGACAGACAACATTAAGATTGCAGTAAATAACATAGTATGAAAAAAAACAATTCAGCCATACAGCGCTCTTTTTTCAGCTTAGCTAAGGAGTCATAACAAAAGCAGGAATATTATTATTATTGTTATCATTATATTAAAATAGCATTTTCATTTCACCATTACAAAAGTGGCTTTAATTTGGGGGGACCATTTCATGGTTAGTTTTGTTGCTCTCAAAACCACATGTCCATATGCTTTACTTCTGAGGCATCCTCCTCGCACCCAACTTACCGACAATATCAAACCAGAGAGGGATGTTAGATGGCTGCACAGAGACCACCCCGACAATCTCTGTCACTTTATCGCTTTCCATGATGGTGAAGTTGTAAAAGGGTTCATCAAAAGTCAGGGGCATGGGTGAGGGCGCAGGTTTTTTTATCCACTCAATATGGAGACGTGCAGTTGAAGATTTTTGGGGCCGGCCATTGTCCACTGCTTTTATCTGGCAGGTACAAAGAAAAGAGGGCTCAGGCTGAGCATCCCAGCTTGGCAGTTCAGACCTAATTTTATTGCATGACGATAACTTCTTGGAAAATGGCCTTTGTAATCCTATATGTAAAATCCCATGAAAAAAGGAGGAAGATAAGCACTCATTTCTCTAGTCTTACTTTTTTTTTTTTTTTTTGCATTATGCTTTAACTGAAACAAATGCTTTTAAACAGAAATGTTTTGTTTTAAAAATGCTGGTGTATGGCCTCTTGGAGATGCAATTCAAGCACTTCCCACACAGCTCCTCCTCTCCAGAACCAGTTTCCCTCTCCAATTTCATCTTACACCCAGCTCCTTCTTGCATCAAAGCTGGAAGCTTTATAATGACCCTTTGTGAGACCACGCATTTGCAAAACATGCTCACCCAGAGCATGTTTGATTGCTTTTAAATGGCATCTGTGTTGCAGATAAGACTGGTATTCCTTATATTGCTTTCCTCAGGATCTTTAATTGAGTTAAATAAGTTTCAGGTCATTTCCCCCATCCTCCATAACAAATCTAATTTAAAATATTGCCATATTTTATTTTATATTATTTCTCCTCTCTGTCATGTTCATTAGGAGTTGTTCTGCTTGGTGCTAATTCTTTTTATTATAAAGTCCTCTAGAAAGATGAATAGACTTGATATTTGCATGGCATGCTTTATGGATTTAGCACAGCAAAGACAAGATGAGCAGCAACAAACACTGGGCTTAAGAGAAGGGTGAATGCAGGTTACAAAATGGGTGCTTAGGAGGATAACATCAATATTAATCAAAGGGATTTTCTTTTAAAACTAAAGGAAATGTTTCTGGCTATATAGGACCACTGGTGTAAATATGCTGTTACTATACCTGTTAAAAATGAGAAACAATTTTTTTTTTCTGAAATACTTCACCCTGTGTCTTCCTCTCCTAACACTCAACACCCTGCTCCATTCTAGGCAGGCAGGTCCTTAGGAAAAAGATGCTGAGGGTGTGATGAGCAGTTTCAATGTAGAAAATCTTCACTTGTTGCATTATAATAAGGGTCAGATCTCAGATATGACTTCAAGCTCTCCAGAGGGAAAAGTACTCACTCACACGAAGGCTATTCTACTCTGATACTAAGTATTTCTCAATATTTTGTTATTTATTCATTTTCCTACCACAGTTTCCAACATTATGAAGATATTTCAACAGAGACCTGCTACTGTAAGAGACATCACTTCCTTTACAATGGGTCAGACCATGGACCTCTGACAATTTTTTCCAACTCCTTAACTACAACTTACTGGCTTATTTCTGTAGATGAAGAGTGCTCATTCCAGTCTTATATTGCTTTATATCAACCCCACCATATTGTATTCTCCCTTTCTTTGACTTTGACTACATAGTTTAGTTCTGAAAGAACTTTGATGAAGATGTCTTTTAACTGAAATTGCTGCCACACTTAAACTCTTTAATATGTTGAGTACACAGAGTACACAGTACTCCTCCTCTCTTGAGTGAAGCCACCTAACTGGGACAGTACAACTGTGTCCACAAAAAAAGTTAACACCCATTCAAAGCTGTATCTGCCCAGTCCAACATGATACAACTTTGCAAGCAGACAAGTGCTTGGTCTTTATTTCTATGTATTCAAGGAAATGGCTTATGTCAACAAGTTGTCTTAATACTCTGAGAGTAGTTCACTATCTGCAATAGTATGAATGATCTCAGACTCAATTTTTTCACAGTAGTTGTATATGAATACTAGATTTCTTAATACAGTCAGATCTTACATATAGGTCATACAGTAAAAACAGTCATAGATCACTCTTTATACAAGAGGGTCTATTTCTAAAAAAAAAAGCCAGTCAAATCATGGGTTTGTATGTCAATGAAAAAGCACTTACTGTTAAGATGTCATAACTCCCTGCTGTGAACTGCTTTCTGGAAGAAACCATCCCTGTTTTGGGATCAATAAAAAACTTCCCATCATCATTTCCATCCACAATGCTGTATGAGATTTCTGCATTAGGGCCTTCGTCTTTGTCAAAAGCAAAAGCTCTGTAGATTGGCTCCCCTCTTTTCTTACGGTCCCGCTCTGGCAGCTTAATCTGATAGACTTTCTCTGGAAACTGTGGTTTGTTATCATTCTCATCCAGAACCTGGACCACCACCCAAACGGAGGACTGCTTGGGAGATGTGCCCCCATCTGAGACGGTTACCTGAAAAACAGCATTAGAGGTTATTCTGAATAGCTTACAACAGGACTTCATAAACTGGAAAAAAACCATAAACCATAAGGAAATGTTGCCCTCCCCAAATCTAACCTGCACTGCAGTTTACAAAATCTTCTGTGTACATGAGACATGCTCACTATAAATGTGCTAAGTACTTAATTCAAATTTGTTCACAATAGCAAATCCAGGAATCCAGAAAATTTCTTACTTTTGACATGAACCTGGAATGGGGAACCTGCACTCCAGGAAGCTATTCTCAAAACATGTATCTCAAATTCTGCAAGTTTATCTCAGAAGGGAGAACTGGAATTAACCCATTAAGCAGGATGCCTGCTTTTTTTGCAAACATATTTTAAAGTTTCTTCAGTCATGGAAAGAATTTGAAAGATGTATTTTTTCTTAAATCCTAAAAGAACCATTGTCACTTTTTTTTTCCATTAATTATTTGGAATTTCTTAAACAACAAAAGAATTGCTGTCAGTTCTTTTCATTCATTATCTGAGATGTGACAGCTCATTAATTCCAAACCTGCTTTATATGATTGTAAGGAGTACAGAGAGGCAGGAAACAAAAAAAATTCTGCTGCATTTTGTAAAGAGTGCACTGTGCTGCCAGAAACATGTAAGAAATAAAATCTTTGAGATGAAAGTTAATTAGCAATTTAGCTGCAACTTAAACAGAATTACTAATAATTTTCAATCTGAAACACCATGAAAATGAAATGATTCAAGATCAACAAGTCCTCAAGAGATTTAATAATATGCCTTCAAAATGAAATCAATATGTTTCAAACTTCTCTCTCAATATTTCGATTGCATTTTTTAATGAGAAAGAAATAAGGCAGGAACTTATTTCTGTTTGCATGAAAGAAGTTCAAATTTCATTTTCAGTTGCATATGCTAACATGTCGAATCCCACAGTAACAATTTTTGATGATAGTGAGCCAAGATATTACATACCCTTCCCTGCTCATACTGATCATCACACATTGACTGGTTTGCTGGTTAACTTCTTCATGTTTTACTTTTCCTTAAAAATTTCTGCGTTCCCTTGAAAATCTAATAGTCCTGATATCCAATCCTTAGGCAAAGCAAATTTTTCTGGCAATAATGTCCTTTGGCATTGTCCCATCCTTGTGTAAAGAAGTCTAAACTTAGGGTTATCCTGATATAACACTGAAATCAGCAGAAAACTCATATTTTCTCTAAGAAAGGTAAAAGACATTTTCCATTTCCTGTATTTAACTCTACTGAACAGCATTTATAATGTTGAAAGGCTGCACACATGGCTGTGAATCTGCCTTTCCAGTCGGTGAGAGCCACACCACCAGGAACTTTAGTCTTTTCACTTCACCACTACGGGAGAATGTCAGTACTCCTGCAGCAAACAAAAAGCCAGTTCTGCCAGTTCTCCTATTAAAAGCTTTCAGCAATAAATAACTTTTGTCCCACTATGAGGTTGATCCTGTCTATTTCTGTTCTACTCTGGTGCAACTGGTCAAGCTCTTGGCCAGAGCACAGGTTAACAAAGAAAAACCTTTTTTGGGATTTCTCCACAGATAAAATAATCAATGATGCCAAGCGGTACAGTCTGTACTGCATAGAAACAATCAGAGACACACTAATCCAAAATCAAAAAATGCCAACAAAATGCTTTTTTAAGGGGATAATGTTCTTGCATTGAAAAACATTGGCAAGAGTCTGGAAACTCTTGTTCTCTGAACAGATCATACAGCATTTTTTAAAAAAAAGGCATTTTCTTCAACATGCTATCAGTAATCTACAAAAAAGGTGTGTGTGAGAGCGATAAGGAGTTTACAACTAATAACGATAATAAAATCTCTGAAAACCAAGTGGTATAAACAGTCAAGCAACTATGATGAAAAAAACCTACTTAACTCAAGAGACTGCTCAAGAAGTGAACCATCCTCCTGTCTTACCAATACTGTCTCACAGTTTGTTAGGTTACTGCCAAAATCTTCACTAATATGGCATTGTGGCAGTAAATACATGTGTGCATTTGTATGCTTTTATAAACCCAAATTTGAGGGAAAACTATCCAATAACAGAAAAGTTGCACTGAAAATATTTCCTGACATCTAAAAGAAAATAGTAATGGCTATAAACAAAATGTCAGTTAAGTATAAAAATTAACATAGAAGGCCTGAAGTTAGTCAATTCTACTCAGGATAAAACTTAGCATCCCTAGAGAGGAAAATGTTAGGTACCAACTAAGCCTTTTTCCTCTGGGTAACACTCAAAACTTTTTAAAATGACAGGATGCAGCTCGACTCAAAAAGCTCTGAGTGGCAGACACAGGAGTTGAAGTTAGCTCTTTGCAGATATGTAAATTAATTAATTAAGCCTTCCTCACACCAGTCATGTGATTATTTCCCTAACTGTAAATCTGCACCCCAGTAGACCCCTCTTCTCTGCTCCAGTTAGCCTGATTCCAGCCTGGCTATTCAGGTTCAAGCCATAAATAAGGTAAATAAACTGCAAAAATTTCCTCTACCCTGCAAAATAAAAACACTATGACAACAGATGAAAACAAACCAACAAGTTGCTGCCAGTTCAAAAATTGTTCCCAGACAAAAATGGGGAGGACCAGAAGGATTGTTCAGCACATCACTCTGCAAATACCATTTCCATTAGGACACAGTATCACACCAGCATTTAGAGGCCTCTTGAACCAAGTCAATTTTGATTCAAACATTACCATAGTTTCCAGCAAACCCCTTAAACAGCTGAAAATTACAGTGAAAAGTAAGCAGGGAGAGAAGGGAGGTAGGTATGTTCATAGGACCGAGATACAAAAGCTAATTCACAGCTGGTATCTCTGGAAATGTGAAAGGCAGATGTGCAAGACACAGAAGAGCTTGCAGGAGAGAAACTGTAATTTATGGGCAGTGAGGCTGTTTTGTTTAGAAACCTGCAGATAGCACGACAGGGAAAAAAACAGAAAAAGGTGAATGTCAGACTGTCTCAATATATGCTTGTCAAGATGTGCCATCAAAAACCAAACAAGAGGTGAATCTCATAGTAATCAAGATGAGAAAACGGTAAGGATCAAAATTATGGCTTTTCCAGAGGAGATGAAGAATGGCTGCTTAGTCAGCATGTGCCTTCCTAAATGCTGAACAACTTCAGACTATGTGTCGAGTCTGGTACCCAGATACAACTGCTGCAGACAAGCAGCTTCTTGACCATATGCAAGCTGAGATGGATCGGCCAGCTACTGTCCCCTCTGCCCTTCTGGTTAATATTGCTTCTCATGCTGTGTCAAGACAGTCTAAACAGAGGATACGACCTCCCAAAGCTGGTATATGGCCACAAAAAAGCTGCATTTGGAATCTCTGACCAATCATACAAAGAGTTGATCCATTCAGCAAGGGTGGAATGTCTTAAAAGGCATGTGATGACATATTTAATAAGGTCTGAATGCAAGAGACAACAAGAATAATATGATCTTTCATACCACTTTCATGGGGAAATCCTAAGCCTCACTGCTCTTTTCCTACAACCTACAGATAGTTTCACTACAGTTTTCTTCAGAAAATGAGCACTTTCTGTCAGGAATTTACATTTACCCATTGACTTTACTGAAATACATCAACCAATAGGTATACATCAACCAACATATAGGTATTGGTTATGTGGAAATTTCTTTAATAGAGTAAGAACATTTACACATCCCTTACAATGTTTCCTTCAGCTGGATGGACCAGGACAAGGCCTCCTCAAATTTCCTCTACTTACCTCAGACATGCATTTTTTGAGAAAAACACACAAAAATATCTCCTTCTGCAGAGTACAACAAATTCAATGTAATAGCAGAATTTTCGAAATCCAAGTAAAACAATTTCCACTTCTTCTGCAGGACCTACTTCAATAGTTTTGGTCTACAGACATTACCACACCCTTTCCTACAGAATCATAGAATCTGCTGACTTGGAAGGGACTCACAAGGATCATCGAATTCAACTCTTAGCCCTGCATAGGACCATCCCCAAGAGTCACACCATGTGCCTGAGAGTCTCTCCACCTCTTAAACTGTCAGGTTTGGTGCTGTGACCACTTCCCTGGGGAGCCTGTTCCAGTGCCCAACCACCCTCTGGGTGAAAAACCTTTTTCTAATATCCAGCCTAAACCTCCCCTGACACAACTTCAGGCTATTCCCTCGGGTTCTGCCACTGGTCACCACAGAGAAGAGATCAGTGCCTGCCCCTCCTCTTCCCCTCATGAGGAAGTTGTAGACTGCAATGAGGTGCCCCCTCAGTCTCCTCTTCTCTGTTCCCCAGGACATGGTTGGCCCTCCTGGCTGCCAGGGCACTGCTGACTCATATTCAACTTGCCATCAACCCCCCCTGGTCCCTTTCCGTGGCACTGCTTTCCAGCATCTCATTGCCCAGTCTGTACGTACATCCAGGGTTGCCCCATCCCAGGTGAAGAATCAGGCACCTTCCCTTGCTGAAGTTCCTACGGATGGTGATTGCCCAGTCCTCTAACTTCTCAGGTCTCTCTGCAGGGCCTCCCGGCCTTCGAGGGAGTCAACAGCTCCTTCCAGTTTTGTGTCATCTGCAAACTTGCTCAGTATCCCTTCCAGTCCTGCATCCAAGTCATATAGGAAGATGTTGAAGAGCACAGGGCCTCAGATGGAGCCCTGTGGAACCCCACTAGTGACAGATAGCCAGTCTGATGTCACACCATTCACTATCACCCTCTGTGCTCGACCTTTGAGCCAACTGCTCACCCACCACAAGATGTGTTTATCCAGCTGTGTGTTGGACATTTTGTCCAGGAGGATCCTGAGCGAGACAGTATCAGAAGCTTTACTGAAATCCAAAACGATTACATCAACTCTCTTCCCTTGATCAGCTAGGTGGGTTACCTTGTCATAAAAGGAAACCAGGTTTGATAAGCAGGACTTTCCTCTCATGAAGCCATGCTGGCTGTGGCCAATGACTGTGTTGTCTTTCAGGTGTT